ATCAATCACTGGTTTTATTACATATCCTTGACTGAAGTGAATTAAGTTACCAAAGTCAACCCATAAGGGTGACTACAGTAATCTAGAAGAGTTAAGTAGGAAGTAGAGCCATCCCCATGTTTGTGCCTTGCTAGTTAATTGAACTGCTCCATGGACAAAGGCCTCATGCTCTCTCTCTCTCCAAGATTAGCGATCTAGACGTGCTGAGTCGACTTTAAGTCAAAAGACCTCATCTAGTTGAAGTAAAATAAGCCCTAGAATGCTTTAAGTTCGAACAATCGTCGAGTTCAAGGAACTCCAGAGTCTGTGTACTCTTTGCAAGTCTTGTACTTGAAGTCAGAACCTGTGCATTCTTTGTAGAGTGATTTTGCACTCTTTGTAGACCTCAGAGTCTTTGGTTGTTTGATTATTTGAAGTGTCCGCTAGAAGCTCTTCTAGATGACATCAAAACGAGTATAACTTGCTCGACTATACCTTGCAAAACAAGTTCATAAACCCCGCTATCGCAGATTAGTGTACTTTGTGCAAAACACATCAAAAGAAGAATTGAAGTTGTTTTCAGACAAAACCCCACTAGATTATCTAAATATAAGTACATCACAAGTGCTTCTATCGTACTCACCCTTGAACTTATGTACATTGGTGATAGTGTGTGTGTGTGATGTAGTATCTAGATTGATGATCTAGACACTTGTTTCATTTGCATGCTGCCTGTTACCAAGCACATCAGCACATGTGTCAATGCAAAGTGGGATGATGGCAGTAAGCGGAAGAATTCATAGTCGCCTGTCAGAGAACAAATGATGCCAAGTGTTGACGTTATGTTGATCGATGATCGACATCTCTTTTTCTTCTCAACCACGTCTATTGCTATGACTGCCACTTTCTCTGTGCATGCCTCTCCAGCACACCATTCTGTAGCCTCATAAAGATACGGAAAACTTGGACCTTGCCAATCTCTCTCACTGGCCTTTGACATGATTGCTCTTGTGAAGGAAAAAAAGGGCTACTGGATGTTGCCTGCTTCGAGCTTCAGAAGCAAGCAAATGCTGATGATGAGAGATTGACTAAACCAACATTGGAAAGTTTGGCGATGGAATAGTAGACTGGTCCTGTCATTTGAAGAGGTATGTCATGAATTCACCTCTATTTTTTGCTTATCTTATCTTATCTTGGCAACTCATCATTCGACTCTCATCATCATTCCTCGTACCTGATCCGCATCATTCATGACCCACCTGGTCACATCGCTCACACGCATTACCTCGCACCATGGACCACATCACCGGGACTCTGTCATGGGCTCTGCAGCCATACATCATGGGAGGCAGCACCATACGGATGCTGCCCTTCCTACTTGCAGGAGTGCTTCCTGCATCATCACACTCACACCACATCACCGGAGCATTGCCACAACACAACCCTCAATCCCATCTGATTGGTCCCTGGATCACTGCTCACATGCATGATCCATTTGATGGCCCATAGATCCGATCATACTTCTATGGGCCCCACCCTTGATGTTCCATCATGCTTTGTGGGACGACACAAGTCACATCCCAGGATGGATAGAATGCCACATACGCTCCTCAGAAGACAGCACCACACAGGTGCTCGTCTTCTGACTCACTGACACGCTTCTACCATATCAAGCACCATATGGACGCTAGTCTTCTTACTCGCATGAGCACTTCTCCTATACCAAGCACCATACCAATGGAAGCCTTGACATTCACAGGAGGACTTCTACTATATCAGTGCCATACGATACAGAAGACAGCGATGCATTAGGACAGTACATACTAGTAAATACTGCAATGTATTTAGTTAAGCCCCACTGTGGTCTTACACCCCAGCTTCGGCTAAAGTTATACACTCCTAACTTTTCATGCAGAAACTCCCTGTTTCATGCCTAAGGACTATTGTCCCTAACATAGTGTTTGCAACGCCCTCCATCATACTGAATCACCAAACACGAGTGACAGTTTGGAGGTAAACGTCAAGCAATCCAAGTTAGTGCGTTACAAGGTATGGGCTGGGCTTTTTCTATTGACTATGCCATGCTGATTCTTGGGCTTGCAGTATTGGACTGCGGATCAACTGTTTGCTTTCCAGAGGGCATCCATGATTTATCTGGCAGTCATCAAGATAGCTTGCACTGAAACCCCTCAACAACCAGCACACCTTCCCTCTCCATCATTTGGCATCAAAGTCAAAAGGTAAACATATCTCACTACACATTGGCCTTGGTTCTGACCGTGTTGTAGCATGCTTACAACGTCGATAGTTGTAGCAGTCCTTATCGAAAATGACAGCTGCAGACATTGCCTGGTCCAAGTTTACGTGTTAGATGCCTAGTCGTGAAGGATTACTCAGTCAACACCTATGCATTGCCAGCCATCACATTCAGTCACTTTTCCTTTCCTCCGAGGAATAAATATCATTCTGCTCTTGCAGACTACCTTTGCCTGCCTCGTCAGTATCATCAATGCGCTTTGCGCCTTCATTGCCAGCCCCAAGATCGACACCATGTTCTGTTTTGCAGGAGACATATCTTCTTGTGTCAAAGGATGAGAAAATGGTGGTCCTGCAGTCGACTCAGCACCTGTGATGAACCCAATATCTGATGTCAGCAGAACTGACTGTCCCCACTCCCCAATGCCTGGACCCTAATAATGTGAAGTGGTGTGAGAAGGGTCAAAACCGTGACTATCATTGACCTTGAGGAGTCTCAACTGTTGTTGCTCACTTCACCTTTCCACCAAGATACTTTTGCTTGTGTCATGACTGACATCAGATGGCCTAAAATGATAGCAGAGTGGTATGACCAATGCCCAAAGGCTGAGGGCAGTCAAACATATGACCTCTGGAGGCGTGAGCCAGTTTGAAATTTCTGTTGGAACATGGCTACACCCTATGGCTCTCAGAAAACGAACTTGGAATCACATCTGAGTCACGGGATGTAGAGCTTATCCCATTAAATGATGAGCCTCACTGTCCTGATGTCTACACTTTTTTTACTCATTATGTATGCCAGTTCAGTATGATCTTTAATCAACTGAATTGTGGCCAAATGGTACATTCGACCTTCACTCCCTTTATGTTCTTTTTTTTCTCATTGCCAAGTATTCAGACCAATATTTACTGTCCTGTCTGCACCATTCATAATTTGGACATTATCATTGTCGCTGCTCATGATGAATGCTCCAATGCGATTGCTGAAACCTGAACTATGATGTAGCACACTGCAACTGTTAGATTTTATCCTGGTCTTGTAGAAGAAATGCTTTGTGCTCTGATGGCATTGATACCCAAAGGAGAGTGGTGGAATGGGAGAGGCGGTAAATCTCTACTGATCTAAAACTATTTTCATGGGCCAATGGTATTGGATGTAAGATGATTCATGTTACTAGATATGGAGAAATAGGGCACCGTGCATCAGGCATGCCCCAGGCATATAGCAAACATTCCTGTGATGTACTGATGCTCAGCCTGTTTCTGAATAATATAGCATTTCCATAGTTCTTATCATGCGAAGCCTACCATAAGACAGACTCCTGCTAGTTATCTTGCATAATCAACAACCCTCCCTAAATGCGGCAGTGGCATAAGAATGGACAGCCAGAACCAAGCAATAGTTTGCCTTCAGTGCCTGATACTTAAGCTAATGCACATTCAATGTTGCCAGTGCACTAGCAAGCCCACCACAGTAAGGTAATTATGTGTTTCTCACCATTTCTCATACATCATAGGAAACGGACCTGCTACATGCTCAGACAACAAGACTGGTATATTCACTCCTCGTCATGATCTCTCAAATGCGGTCGCCCAAACCTAAGCAAAAACTAATGCTTCAGGAACTTTTAGATGATCTCACGACTTGGCAAAAATGTTCCTCCATGGCAGTATTAAAAGAACATATTGGTATTCAAAGGAGGGCTGTAAAGGGGGGAGAAGTGGTAATGTCTACCAGATGATTCAGGACTATAATTATAGTATATACTGTAGGTCAAATAATGCACAGAATTTGGTGACAAAGTTACCAGCCTGTGAACAAAGATCTGAAAACAAGCCATGTTGTCCCTCATTGGATTGTCAATGGTCATGATGACAGCAGGAAAAAAATAGTAGATGCTGGGAGATTGAACATTCAGTGGCCAAAATGTTTGTAAACAGCAGATGATGTCATGAACCACTCAACTACAAGAGCATGCAAAATACTGACGAAATACCTTTCAAACTCTTTATACAATTAAACAGAAGAAATCACCTTGCTGCCTTCTCCAAGCAAGAAACCCATGATGGCTGGTCTCTTGTCACAAAGGGAGATGAACCCATCTGCCAGGTGAGCTGAGTGAAGTATTATCAGATGACTCAGATCACAATCACATAAACCAAACATCATACAGATTTCATACTTTGGTGACATATATGCTGGACTCCAATGAGCCGATACCATTGTTCACTCCTATTTGTCTGTTACAGCTCAAAGGCCACCAACTGGAAGTCTTCATTTGTCAACAGCAAAGAAAAGGAGGCATGGTTGGCTCATTGTCTGTGAGAGACAGCCAATGCAATCTGAATTCATGATGTGTTTTTGGGATGAATGACTGGAGAGAAAAGGGCTAATCAGTGGTGACTACAAAGGATAGTCAGATAAATAGTAAGTAGACACCAACTTAGGATTGAATGCTCAACAGCCAACAAGTGCATCAGTATAGTTGTTGCAATTTCTGCTTTGGATGCAACAAATTGAACAAACAAATGAAATAAATAACTCACCTGTGATCCAAATACTGAGAAGAAGCCAATACCGAAGGCTCTTGTTGTACAGGGAGGCTGAACCATCTTCAAGGCATGGCCCCAACCCAGACAGTCACCTAGAGGTACAACAAAGGGCAGAAAACAACTGAACCAGGCCACTCTAAGAGTTCCAAAGACTTGTGGAATTTCTTCTGGAGCTTGGCATTCCTGATGACTGTGGAAGCATTGGCCATTTGTCAAAATAGCTCTTCAAGTCGATGGAAGACTCGGATTATACTGCCCTTGAAGATGCCAGTGAGTTACATAGAGAGGAAGGGTCAGTCAGGATAGAAGTGCTCAGGAAGGGGAGATCAGACCTTCTTGATGTCCTGGAACGATGTGCCTCTGCACCATTGCATCACTGCATCCATCAATTCCACCTTGAATGATGCGACAGTCCTCTTCCACAATGGGCCATTTAGACTCTTTTGATACCCTCGCTATATGCCTGGTGGTCTCTTGCATGACACAGAGTGGAGCAGCAAGTTCCGCTTTGACTTTGGTTTCCTCTTTGCTCTATGTGTCTAGTCAGTCATCATGACATGACCAATTCATCACAGACATACCTCTCCATCAAATATAAAGCAGCTAAGCAAAGCAGCACACTGTTCCAGAGAGAGAGCATTGAAGATGCCATTGAAAATGAGCTCTGTCAATAACAACTCATCCCCAGAGCTGAGTTCACAAGCCACACATCCCTTGACATCAACAATATCATCCGAGGTGACAAAACCCAACTGCCGAAGGACACATTTCCGACACTTCAGCTTGTCAAGTTGGAGGACATCCTGTGATGCCCAGATCTGTTTCTTCAATGATCGCACCTGCTCCTGCACCTTGACCTTTTTTGCATAGGCAACATACAGTTCAGGAAGATGAGGATTGGAATGCAATGGGTTCTTGAGCATCTTATCTTCCATCGCCTCAATTTTCTGTGAATGCAGTGAGATTAAGAACAATTGTAGGACCTGGACGCACCTTGATGAGAACAGCCAACTTTTTTTTTCATCCTTGATTCCCATATGTCACAATGGGTTGACAAGTGGGATCCCACCTGGAAACATCTGTTGGATCTCAGATATGCTCTTCTACACTGTTTCTCGTTGCTGGACTTGTGTGAAGTCCTTAGGTAGGTAGACCCATAGAGAACTGATACTCTTGATTGCAGAAAGCAGGATGGGAATGATGAGGACGACTCCCTTCTGTCCTAGAGAGCAAGGTAATAGTTTAGGTGGAGTGGCAGTGTGCCTAGAGCGATCTTTTGATATGTTACTACCTGTGGCACACATTTCAGGATGATGTCAATGACATGTTGTTCATGTGGAGGGAGATTGCCATCATTGAGAATGGGGATAGGGCGATTCTGTAAGATGGAAAGAAGATAAACATACTGGACAAGTAAGGAAGCATTGACAATACTTTTGTATGGCGAATTTTCTCACAGTTGACAACAACTCCCCAACCAAAGTCAAGTTTCTTGTGCGTCACTCTGAGAAGATGCCCAGGATAAGAATAGCAAGGAGTACATGGGATGTGTGGCGACCGCTCTGATTTCAGACACCATCTGGTCAAGCGGGTGCCGATACTCATAATATTGGCTGACGAGATCCTCATCCAGAATAGTTATTTTCGCCATAACTTCTTCCTCCTTCCGTAGTAACCATGTCCATCTGGACAACCAGAGACTCACCTTCCTCCATACACGGTGTTGCGACTGCAGCCTATTTACACATGTAATTTTGCAATCTAACGTGTTTTACATGCATACTGAGATATAGTGAGTGAGCAGACTAAAACTATGCAGCGACACTAATGCTACATGGTGCAATGATATGGAATATAACTTATGGCATAAGAAGCAATGGGATTCTAAACAGGACTTAGTCACAGCACTGTACCTGATGGGCATGTATGATGAGAAGGCCAAACCCTATACCCAATGCCTTAGGCTCTAACTTACAAGCATGCTTGCGGGAGCTAGATAAAACCTTGAAGATTGCAGTGACACTGAGAATACTTAGTGTGCTCACTAACTGTGATGCATCATACCTGAAAATCCAGGGAAATCCTTGAGCAAGATGACAGATATCACCAGCATGAACTTGGGCAATGGACTTCGGCTGAAGTCTGCGAGCCCACGTCCCATTGTTCTGAGTCCCATTGTTAGAAGACTCACTTGTTGCCATGTCTATGAGAAGCCTCTGTGAATCCAAGAAAGAAGTCTTGAATGACATATGCCAGGACTGATAGTTCCATGCACCTAGACCTGTTGGTTGCTAGAGAACAAGCCTGCAGGTGTCGGGAGAGCACCTCTTGGCACACGTTTAGTGAGCTCACTATAGAAATGAGACTAAAACTGGGAAGTCCGACTCGGATGCTCAGTAAGGCAGCAGTGGCAACATGCTACGCATGTAGGAGTCTGGGTACTGCATGACGTTTGTAATTCTAATTCCCCTGTAGTATAAGCAGGCTGGTTACAGTAGGTAGAAGCCAAGTTTCGAGCCTCCAAGTTCCCATGCATGCGTTGAAGGCAGTACTGTAACAAAGGATCAGTTTGTGACTTCGAGCTTTGCGTAGAGTTAGTGAGCTCACTCAGAGAAATACGAGATACCCTTGAGAAAAGACTTTTTGTGCACTTAGTTCCGAGAGAATAAGAATCAGTGAAGCTGTTCTGTTCCATTGAGTGTTGATAAGTCCGTTCAGAGTATGTTCTGAAGAGGAAAAGTGAGATCTGTTCTGTTCTGTTCTGTCTGTTCTGTTCTGTTTCTGTTCTGTCTGTTCTGCATCAGTTCTGTTTCGAGTTTCTGTTTTCTGAATCTGTTTCCGAGCACTTCTGAGGTGTTCTTGAGTCGAGATCATCTGTTGAAGTTAGTTGGAGAACCCCTACATACAGTTGTGTAGTGAGTGGGCTAAGTCAGTGCTTGCCTGTGGTGTTCTTTTAGCAAGCTCACTAAAGTTTCAGCATGTATTGGCCTCTGTTTCTGTCAGGATCAGTGTCCCTTGTGTATTATAACTCAAATCTGCCTTGAAGGTTGTGTCATGCCAGTGAACGACCTTCCTGTAAAAAGTTCCTAGACTTAGGAATTCATTAGAGAAAGCTTAGCTTCGCTAAGAGCACTGAGAATAAGATAAACTCTCCGAGATATTGAAGTATAGTTGGATCACATTAGAAATAATTGCTCCCCCTAGAACTTACGAGGGTGATTGTAGTTTGTGTAGTTGTGTGAGTGTGTGTGTGGGTTTTTGAGGTTCGCCTTTTAGCCTGCTCACTATTCCACAGGTGCCCACAGCCAGCCTCTTCACCATGCCATTCATAATTCGGACATTACCATTGTCACTGCTCACAATGAGTGCTTCAATGCAATGACCAAAACCTGATCTACAATGGAGCATACTGCAACTGTTAGATTTTATCCTGGCTTTTGGAAGAGATGCTCCGTGCTGTGCTATCTGACAGTATTGGTACTCAAAGGAGAGCAGTGGAATGGGAGAGGTGGTAAACCTCCACTAATCTAAAACTATTTTCATGGGCTCATGGTATTAGATATAGAGTGATTCACATTACTAGACATGGAGAAATAGGGCATCGTGCATCAGGCATGTGCCAGGTGTATAGCAAATGTTTCTGCAACATACCCGTCTTCAGCCTGAGTCATTTCCGAATACTACAGCATTCCCATGGCTATTCAGCTGTTCTTATCATGTGAAGCATATCGTAAGACAGACTCCTGCTAGTTATCGTGTGTAGTCATTTGTGATGCATTCAAGATCAACCCTACGACGAGTCCCCCTAAACGCAGTAGTGGCATGAGAACGGATGGCCAGCAAGGATTTAACAGAGAACCATTCAAATGATTTGCCTTCAGCACCTGATATATAAGCTAACACACATTAGCAATACCTGAGAAAAACCACTAAAGTGAGTGAATTCCATGTTTTCTCACTATTTCTCATATATTGCAGGAAACAGACCTGCTACATGCCCAGACAACAAGACCAGCATATTCACTCTCATCATGATCTCTCAAATGCGGTTGCCCAAACCCTGAGCAAAGACTAATGCTTCAGGAACTTTTAGATGATCTCACAACTTGTTAGAAATGTTCCTCTGCAGTGGTATTAAAAGATCATATTGGTATTCAAAGGAGGGCCATAGAGGAGAAGAAGTGGTAATGTCTACCAGATGGTTCAAGACTATTTTCATGTAGCCCAAATAATGCACAGAATTTGGCAGCAAAGTTACCAGCCTGTGAACAAAGACCTCTATATGGTTCATCAGTGGTCATTGAACACTTGTGAGGGTCAGCCAACACCAATTATTCAGCATTGAATGGTGGGTGAGTGACTTTCCCTTCTTTCAGCAAACAATTTTTTAGGTACGAGTAGTGATGACAGCAGGAGAAAAAATTAGTAGATGCCAAGGGGTCGAACATTCAGTGCCCAAAATATTCACAAATAATCCAGATGATGCCAAGAGCCACTAAACTACAAGAGCATGCTAAATGCGGACGAAATACCTTTCAAATTCTTTATAAAATTAAACAGAGGAAATCACCTTGCTGCCTTCTCCAAGCAAGAAACCCATGATGGCCAGTCTCTTGTTGCAAAGGGAGGCGAACCATCTTCTAGGCAAGCTGACTGAAGTATCTACCAGATGACTCAGACCACAATCACATAAACCAAGCACTGTACAGATTTCATACTTTGGTGACATATATGCTGGAGAAAAGCAGTTTGTCCTTGAGAAAGGCATCAGAGGGCTTTGTAGTGTTCATCTCCTGTGGCATTGCCATTGATGCTGACCAGACGGATAAGGATGTCTTGATTGTGGATGGTGTGTGCCAGACAGTGGATGTTGTTCTATATACTTTATAATGAGCAAATTGAGCTGAAAAGACAGAAATCTCTGAACATATGGCTTGGCTAAAGCTTGGTTTGTGAATGAAGATGCCAGGCTGGCATTGGTAATGAGAAATGAAGGTGTAACCATCGGGCCAGCAGGGTTCATCATTGGGAGGATGAAGCTGTATGTTGTAGATGTCTCTCATGCCTTGTTCATACTCAGATATCCACAAAGTGTAGCCATGTTCTTGAAAGAACTTTTGGAGTGGCTTGCACTTCCAGAGGTCATATGGCCAATTACCCTCAGGCTTCCAGCATCTGATGCGCCATTCTGTCACTGTCTTGGGCTATTTGAAATGTGCCATGATGGTACTAGTCCGCTTGATCAGAAGAGATGTATAGGGTAAGGACCAGGATATGGAGTACCGACAACATGCCACCCTCAGTCAATTAGAACTCTGCATGATGCAAATCTTGCAGCATACCACAACAACTTTATATATGTGATGAGCATACTTATCATACATTTTGTAAATGCTTCATGTCATACAGAAGCAGTATATTGAAAGAACATGCATTCATTGTTACGTCTTTAGTGCTGATTAGAATTCATCATTAATATGCAAATTCTTCCCAAGGTTGAGCCTGAAAGAAGTCAAGTGGTAGATATTAATACTTCTCTCATTCCACCGCCCTCCTTTTGATACTGATGTAATCAGACAATACCTCCAATGAGCAGCTCTTCTGCAAAGTCATGAGATCATCTAAAAGGTCCTGGAGCATCGGTCTTTGTTCAGGTTTCGACAACTTCATTCGAGCGATCATGATGAGGAGGTAATATGCCATCCTTGCAGTCTGCACACATAGGAGGTCTGTTCCCTGCATTGTAGCTGAATAAATAGTAACTGGGGAAAGGCACAATGCACTCACTTCATTGGTTTTACTCATATACTGTCAATATCATGTTGATGAGATATGGTGGGCTGAGATAGTGATACAATGCACCTTGTCGAATGATTTCATCTGGGCTTTGGATTAGTAACGAAGGTAAGGTAAGGTAAGAGTGGGATACATATCATCTTGTCAGTCTTTAAGATGTCCTAGGGTAGAGGTTCAGCACATCAAATGAGCTCAACACTTTCCACTTGCCTCGGTGAAGTATTTTCCGAATACATCATCAAATGATGCATCTTTCAATTGCTGTATGAGAAGGTTAAGAATAAATTCACCATCAGCTTAAGATACTCCCTGCCTCTTCAATGAAGCCCTTCACTTGTGTATCCATATCAAGGTTAAGCATTCAGCCCAAATACCACACATCTGCTTTGGGACAATAAAGATCACCAACAAGCATTTCCAGTGCATATTCCCAAGCATATTCTCCAACTCTAGCCATTCGGTCAGTAGGCAGGCCAGTGATTTTTCTGCTTGCCAGATCAGAGTCCTTATCAAAACAAACTGCCAATTCGAAATTGCTGATATAGTATCGGATAGGGAAGTGAGATTGAAATGGACCAGTGACATCAGGTTCCGTAGTCCTGTCAGGCTCTGTTCGAGCACCTAGAAAGTTGAAAAGAATGTTATTGCTATCGAGGTCCAGGCAAATTGTCAATGTAATGTAGATCATTGAATATGGTGCATACGAGATGTGCAATCAAATTGTCATGGCAGAACTTGACACTCTGGAAAAACACAGGACTCAGTCAGACATTGAATGAAATACTGCAATGGATAGCATACCTTAAATACTTGCATCAAATAATTGAGTATCTCATCCACGTTGTAGAACCATAGTATATATCTGATAGAAAGAAGAGGGAAGATGACAAATTGAAGACCGTTGAATTTGAGCTCATCCAAGAGAGGAAGAGAGTAGTTATTGCCTCGAAAAGCAGTTTGTCCCTGGGAGAGGCATTGGAGGGCTTCATAGTGCTTGTCCCCTGTGGTGTCGCCATCAATACTGATTAGATGGATAAGAATGTCTTGATTGTGGATGGTGCATGCTGGACAGTGGATGTTTTTCTAAATGCTCAGTAATTAGCAGAGAGAATTGGAAACATAGGAAATTGCCAATGTACGAGTTGGCCAAAGTCCAGTTTGTAAACAACAATGCTGGGCTCACATTGATAATGACTCATGAAGGTATAACCATCGGGTCGATGAGGTTTGTCGTTCAGTGGATGAAGCGTTAAGTTGTGGTGGCCTGAGTCTCCCAAGCCAAGTTCATGCATGGTTACCCACAAAGTGTAACCGTGTTCCTTGAAAAAATCCTGAAGTGGCTTGGGCTTCCAGAGGTCATAGGGCCAACTTTCCTCTGGCTTCCAGCACCTTTTGTGCCATTTGTATAATGTCTTGGGCCATTCGGAAGACGTCATGATGAGGATACACTAGATGGTGAATTAAGATGGTCAAGACTGAACTGATCAACTTCAACATTGCACTTGCAAAGGATTGAAACTCCGCCTTCTACTTGATTGATTGATGAGCCTAGCTCAACCGGACATACCCTTCATAAGCAGACTACTGTATAGATGTTCAGAAGTAGCCCATCACTGAGGAATAGGTGGACTCAGAGGATGCGTAGCTGCAAGGTGGAAGGGATGAAGCTTCTGGTGAGGGTCTGGTTGATCTGATCTGTTTCAATTTCTGTACAAGTTGGTGAGAAGCAAATAAGACATAGAGCAGGACTTGCACATTGAGGCCAGCATCGCCACGTAATTTGCCTGGAGTGCTGTGAAAGACAGAGACTCCCCAACAGAGGTCCACTCATTGCTTGTAGCATACCATTAGATGCACAGAGAGCATTGAAATCTCTCCATGCCTGACACAAGGATTCCAGTATGGTTACATCAAGAGGCAAGGGTAACCTTGGCAGAAAGGCCAAAGCCAAAATGATAGGCAAACCAATAGCAAGGGAATAAGCATGAACCATGTGCTGATGCCATAGATTTGTAGAATAATAGTTGTTGAGAATAACTAACATCTAATGAGGATATGAGAATCAAGGATGAGCCATATTTTGCAGAGACATCTCACACACCTATGACAATTCTTTCATTAGCAAGTACATCCATTGTTTTGTCAGTTTGTCTATGATCCTTCCAAGGTGCAAGCTAAATCTCGGGCCTTGGCAGGAAGCAGAGGTTGCAGAGCAAAGTTTTTGGTTTTGCAGAGCTGAGATATATCTGTTCTTCCTAGAAGCAGTTCCAGTGGGATGCTGTATCTGGTCTTTGTAGTCACTCCTCAGTTGCCAAGATGAGCAAGGGACATTAGGAGTGGGTGGTGGTAGGAAGACGAAGGTGCCATTGGCAATTTGAATTACAGTAAGGTGCACCTGGCATGCTCTCCAAACTCCCAACCAAACCCTTGTCCAGAATGGCCAAGAACGACCTCTTCTCTGTTCTCGAACATTCGGCCACAAACCAGGACACTTTGACAATGGATTCACCTAATGAAAAAAATGTTCCAATGGCAGTTGACGAGAATGACAGGTCAACTCTTGTAAGTCAAAAATGGAAGGCTTTTGCAGTGGTTTACCCCAGCCTTGCTGTTCACTCATTTGCTCCTGAGGAAGCAGGTGACCAGCAGGACTCGGCGAAGAATCCTAGGCTGACTCCATCTCTTCTGCTTGATGATTTCGAAACCAAGGAAAAACAGGAGGTTGCAGCAAGCGCTGGACTGGATAATGCGGTTGAAGCTGGAGGAGGTCTTGAATTGAAACATCAAGTGCATCTGTAAACCAATAAATATCTGTCAGTAATGCCAACCTGCGACAAATAGGTTAGACATCAGGTCACCATACCTCCCAGTTACAATTACATTCCAATATCCCAGCACATTCCTCCTGCAAAGCCACATCACGAATATAAGTTTGAACTTGATCTCTTCCAAAAAGTTTCTGTATATGTGATCCAGTGGAATGAAAGTGTCCTTGTCTCCATGCATACTAGTGCAGGGAAGATGGTGGTGGCAGAATACGCCATCACACAATGTTTGGTGAGTAAGCAGAGGGTCATATATACTAGTCCAATCAAGGCAAGTCGCCTCTCAATCCGAATTTTCAGCACTTAATGCTGCCTTTTGGCAGGCCTTGAGCAATCAAAAGTATCATGAAATGTTGGTAGAATTTGGCAATGTCAGCCTCATGACAGGGGATGTAACCATCAACTCATCCGCAACATGCCTAGTCATGACTATCAAAGTCAGTTTCATATCAGCCTGCTGCTCCTTCTTTATAACTCTTTTTTTCAATACCAGATCCTATGCTCCATGCTCTACCATGGCTCTGAAATCATATGGGAAGTTGTCTGGGTAATCTTTGATGAGATCCATTACATGCGAGACAAAGAGCGAGGCATCGTCTGGGAAGAAACCATTATTCTCCTGCCCCATGCCATATGATATGTCTTTTTGTCAGCCACCATTCCCAATGCTATGCAGTTCGCCAAATGGATCTGCAAGTCTCACGATCAGCCCTGACATGTTGTCTACACAGACTTCTGCCTGACACCGCTCCAGCATTACTTGTTTCCAGTGGGTAGCAAAGGCATTTATATGGTGGTGAATGAGAAGGGGGAGTTCAGGGAGGATAACTTTATGAAGGCTATGGGGTTGTTGCAGCACAATCTCGGAGAGGATCCAGCAGATCCGAAAAGTGGGACAGAAAAGAAGAGCAAGTCTAAGAAGGGTGGGAACAAAAAATATGCATTGTTTTTCTTCTTTTCTTCCAATTTTCAGTATCTAAAATCAGTACAGAGTCTTCAGACATCTCAAGATTGATCCAGATGATCATGCAGAAGAACTGCAACCCTGTCATTGTGTTCTCCTTCAACAAGCAGGAATGCAAATGGAATGCACTCGAGATGATCAAATTTCAGTTCACCTCAGCCAAAGAACAAGATCTCACCACCACCATTTTCCACAACACCCTTGAGAACCTCTCTATTGAAGACAGACAGCTACCTCAAATCACAGTCCTTCTTCCTCTTTTAAAACAAGGCATCAGCATCCACCACAGCAGGTCTACTTCCCATCCTGAAGGAGGTTATCAAGATTCTATTCCAGGAAGGTCTGATCAAAGTCCTCTTTGCCACAGAGACATTCTCCATTGGTCTGAACATGCCCGCCAAGACTGTCATGTTCACCAGGACTACCAAGCGGGATGGGAAGGAACGGCAAAGCCTGCCATCAGGGGAGTACATCCAGATGTCTGGTCACATGGGGAGGCAAGGATTGGATGAGAGGGATATCGTGATAATGATGTGCGATGAAAATATTGAGCCGGTCATTGCAAGGGAGATGATTACTGGTCAAGCAGATTGACTGGATTCAGCGTTTCATGTCAGATACAATATGGTGTTGAATCTCATGAAGGTTGAGGGTGTCAGTCCAGAGTATCTACTCCAGAGGTTGTTCTTTCAGTTTCAGAGCAGTGCAAAGATCCCGTTGAAGAGGCTGGCTGTGGGCACCTGTGGAATAGTGAGCAGGCTAAAAGGCGAACCTCAAAAACCCACACACACACTCACACAACTACACAAACTACAATCACCCTCGTAAGTTCTAGGGGGAGCAATTATTTCTAATGTGATCCAACTATACTTCAATATCTCGGAGAGTTTATCTTATTCTCAGTGCTCTTAGCGAAGCTAAGCTTTCTCTAATGAATTCCTAAGTCTAGGAACTTTTTACAGGAAGGTCGTTCACTGGCATGACACAACCTTCAAGGCAGATTTGAGTTATAATACACAAGGGACACTGATCCTGACAGAAACAGAGGCCAATACATGCTGAAACTTTAGTGAGCTTCGCTAAAAGAACACCACAGGCAAGCACTGACTTAGCCCACTCACTACACAACTGTATGTAGGGGTTCTCCAACTAACTTCAACAGATGATCTCGACTCAAGAACACCTCAGAAGTGCTCGGAAACAGATTCAGAAAACAGAAACTCGAAACAGAACAGATGCAGAACAGACAGAACAGAAACAGAACAGAACAGACAGAACAGAATAGAACAGATCTCACTTTTCCTCTTCAGAACATACTCCTGAACTGGACTTATCAACACTCAATGGAACAGAACAGCTTCACTGATTCTTATTCTCTCGGAACTAAGTGCACAAAAAGTCTTTTCTCAAGGGTATCTTGTATTTCTCTGAGTGAGCTCACTAACTCTACGCAAAGCTCGAAGTCACAAACTGATCCTTTGTTACAGTACCTGCCTTCAATGCATGCATGGGAACTTGGGGGCTCAAAACTTGGCTTCTACCTACTGTAACCAGCCTACTTATACTACAGGGGAATTAGAATTACAAATGTCATGCAGTACCCAGACTCCTACATGCATAGCATGTTGCCACTGCTGCCTTACTGAGCATCCGAGTCGGACTTCCCAGTTTTAGTCTCATTTCTATAGTGAGCTCACTAAACGTGTGCCAAGAGGTGCTCTCCTGACACCTGCAGGCTTGTTCTCTAGCAACCAACAGGTCTAGGTGCATGGAACTATCAGTCCTGGCATATGTCATTCAAGACTTCTTTCTTGGATTCACAGAGGCTTCTCATAGACACTGGCAACAAGTGAGTCTTCTAACAATGGGACTCAGAACAATGGGACTGTGGGCTCGCAGACTTCAGCCGAAGTCCATTGCCCAAGCTCAGTGCTGGTGATATCTGTCATCTTGCTCAAGGATTTCCCTGGATTTTCAGGTATGATGCATCACAGTTAGTGAGCACACTAAGTATTCTCAGTGTCACTGCAATCTTCAAGGTTTTATCTAGCTCCCGCAAGCATGCTTGTAAGTTAGAGCCTAAGGCATTGGGTATAGGGTTTGGCCTTCTCATCATACATGCCCATCAGGTACAGTGCTGTGACTAAGTCCTGTTTAGAATCCCATTGCTTCTTATGCCATAAGTTATATTCCATATCATTGCACCATGTAGCATTAGTGTCGCTGCATAGTTTTAGTCTGCTCACTCACTATATCTCAGTATGCATGTAAAACACGTTAGATTGCAAAATTACATGCGTAAATAGGCTGCAGTCGCAACAATGGGCAGGACAGTAGATATTGTTCTGAATACTTGGCAATGAGAAAAAAAAGAACATAAAGGGAGTGAAGGTCGAACATACTGTTTGGCCACAATTCAGTCTGTTAAAGATCATACCAGGCTGGCATTCATAACAAATAACAAAAGTGTAGACATCAGGATGGTGAGGCTCATCATTTAATGGGATAAGCTCTACATCCCATGACTCAGATGCAATCCCAAGTTCGTTTTCCAAGAGCCACAGGCTGTAGCCATGTTCCAAAAGAAATTTCAAACTGGCTCATGCCTCCAGAGGTCATATGTTTGACTGCCCTCGGCCTTCAGGGCATTGGTCATACCACTCTGCTATCATTTTAGGCCATTCGACATCAGTCATGACATGAGCAAAGGTATTTTGGTTGAAAAGTGAAGCAAGCAACAGCGATTGAAACTCCTCAAGGCCAATGATGGTTTTGACCCTTCTCATGCCACTTTGGTTATTGGAAAACAGAGCATGGTGCCAACCTTGCAGCTGCTGGCAGTGAAGGCGCAAAGCGCATTGATGATACTGACATTGGAAGCAATGGTAGTTCTCAAAATATGAGCAGAATGATATTTATTCCTCGGAGGAAAGGAGAAGTGACTGGATGTGATGCCTGGGAATGCCCAGGTGTTGACTGAGTAATCCTTCACCACCAGGGTGTCCAACATGCAAGCTTGTACCAGGTGATGTCTGTAGCTGTTGTTTTCGATTATGGCCATTGCCATTATAAGCATCCTACAACAGGTCAGAGCCAAGGCCGAGGTATAGCAAGATATGCTTACCTTTTGACTTTGATGTCAAACAGTGGTGGCAGAAGGTATGCTGGCTGTTACGTTGAAGGGTTGCACTGCAAGCTATTTTGATGACCACCAGAGAAATCATGGACATGCTCTAGAAAGCAAACGCTCAACCCGCAGTCTGATACTACAAACCCACGAATCAGCATGACAGAATCGATAGAAAGGCCCAGCATGTACCTGTTCATAAGATAGTTCAGTCTACTATTCTTTTTCCATGCTTTTCGGTGTCGATTCATACAACCCTTGCCATCAGCATTTGCTTGCTTCTCAAGCTTGAAACAGGCAGCATCCAGTAGACCTTTTTTTTCCTTCACAAGAGCATTGTGTCAAAGGCCATTGAGAGATATTGGCGAGGTTCTAGTTTTCTGAATCTTTACAAGGCTACAAAATGACGTGATGGAGAGGTGCACACAGAGAGAATGGCAGCCATAGCAATAGTCATGGTCAAGAAGAAAAAGAAATGTTGATCATCGATCAACATAACAGCAACACTTGGCATCATTTTGTACCTCTGACAGGTGCCTTTGAATTCTGCCTCTTACCACCATCATCCCACTCTGTGTCTCCTCTCTATAAGGTTCTTCAACAGATTGCCAACTTCTTGCTTATAAACATCAGTTTTGACTTCTTCGAGACACGTTCAAGTTCAGAACATGGAGGTGAGGTGAGGTGCTGTTCAGTCACTGTATGCCAACACTGACCTCTGGTAGAAACCATGGCATTGGATGTCGAGCATATCATCCGTTGTCATAGCTTAGGACCATGTATGCAATCTACAGTGGAAAACCATATTGTTGACTGCCACCTGATGTCAGTGGATAATGGTCAAGCTGGTTCTCAGCCGATAGAGGAGCTCCTGATGTTCCCAGGCCTATCTTGATACAGCCTGACTATGTGTGCAGTAAAGGAGGATGTCAGGTCTCTTCAATTTAGTTCTGTAGGTGAAGGTGACCAGGAAGGTATATATGCTTTCACAACTCCTGTCTTTGTCTGCGCTAAACATGAAGCCTATTCTCTACAGCTCATCACCATGACCATCATCTGGATCTAGGCCTCGGCCACCAGCCTGACTTGCATAAAATCCTCTCACCTCTATGTCTTGTGTTGTAATTTCCTGATATTCCTCCATCTGGGCATTAATCTTTCCCACAACATCTTTGCGAAGAATTACACCAGAATTTGGTCCTGGCACTCCACTGAGCGCCATCTTAGGAAAGTACTACAAGGAGCATTGGGTAACTGATAGTGATGGCCTGATCAATAAAACCCTCATAAGTGTACCCTAATGGAAATCCCTACTTTGCTGACGTGTTTGTCTCTCACAGAGCTTTGCTGGCAGAAAACAATGGCACATCTGTGTTTCTCCCACCAATACACTAGTCAGCAAGATCTATGCCAGGAGGTTCTGGTGAGCATTGCATTGCTTACATGCTCTGGTGTTGAGTGTCAGTGTCTAGCCAGTCTGGACTGCTGCTCGCATTGATAGAATATGGGAGTTATATGATAAGCCAGCTGGTCGAGCTCCTTTTAAGCTTATAGGATGGCGCATCAAAGTTGTACAGATGCTGACTCATATCACTGATCGGCATTTGGTCGGTGGTCTCTCCTATGCAGACTCTTACATCTTTTACAGTCAACCAGTCAAGATTGGAAATGTATCTCCTTCGCATCGGACAACAGTTGCAAAAAAGACTGGTTGTATGTATACCCCAGTGCACAGATTGTCTAATGGAAATACTGACTGCACTGCCTATGTTGGAGATATCAGCGAGAAGCCACAAGAAGATGATAGAAGGTTCAAGCCTGGCATGATGCCTGGGTGAGCTTTAATCAGATAGTTACTGTTTATGGACATTTTTGGTAGAACTTTCTAGATACTTTTGTAGTATAAATACTGGCTCTGTAGGAGCCAGAGAATTAAGTTCATTAGTTTGGCTTTACCAGCCACTAGTCTACCCACTGTGAAACCTCAGGATTCCGACAGCCTATTAGCAGGATAGTCTAGATGTTTCTGCAGAATGAAAGGCGAACAAGAAGAGCACGAGTACCCAACAAAGATTACATGCCACACCCACTTGCTGTTAAAGATGTGCCACAGATGGGTGATCATAGTTCTCATGGTCCAGAATTTTACCAAGATCTCATGTCCTTCTAGCTGTTTGTTCATCATAGAAATCATTTGAAGGAATCCCTACCTCAAACTCGACAAGAATTGCAGATATACAAGTCATGATTTTTTAGATGTGTGCACACCTGACCACATGCACAGACTTTGAATGATGTCTGGTGAACCAAATGGAGCTTCGAAGGTCGGGTCGCTATGCAAATGTCCCATGCAATATTATGCCAAGCCCTACTTCTTTATACCAATTGTCCAGGCATTCTTTGCAGAAGTTTATTTTTATACATCTGCCTCCACAAATCTTCCAGCACAGTCTCTCAAATGGTATAAAAACCAGGAAATGTAGAGGTTGGCAGCCCAGCAGCATCTCTTGTTTGTTTACTGTCTTTCATATCCTGCATTCTGGTTACCATGTTCCAACATGCTTTCCACCAATTTGTTTTCACCACCGTGGTGCTTGCACTCATGTCAGCTATCCCAACTGGAGAGCTTGAGGAGCATGCAAGCTGCATGATCTCCTCTGTCTTGAGTGCTTCATCCATCTTGAGCTGCTCGTCTGTCACTATCTCAGCCTTCACTGTACCCAGCAGAAGTAGGTCAAGGACAAATTTGTCTTAGTACATAATTTGATGACTTTATTTCTAGGCACTCTTATGCTCTTTATACGTCACTCTTCTGAGCTCATGTTTGCGGTTAATTCTATTAGCCCAAGTCAGGCATGACTATCATCATGGCTGGCGACATCACCTTTGCCAAGACCTCTAGTGTGTACCTTCTATAGGCATCTGGCTGAAATCTGACCATGAATGTCTTTCTAGGTGACAGACCATTGTTCACCATCAATGGTGATGACATCACATTCAATGGCATGGGATACTCATTCGATGTGAGCTACCTTTCATGATTTTCCTGCTTCAGTGTTATAATATTTGTGATAGGGAAACAGTGCCAAGTACTGGGATGGTGAAGGCACTAACGGCAGTGTCGACAAGCCTCACCCTTTCTTGAAGTAGGTTCTTTTTATGTTCACAATAGTGTTCAACGGCTTCACTTTGGGCATAGGTTCAAGGGCTCTGGCACCTACTCCAACTTCACAGTGAGCCACTGTAATCTCATCTTTTGTTACGATGCTGAAATAAATGGCAGGTCTTGAACAGCCCTGCCCAGGCTATCTCTATTGGCAACAGTGACAGCCTTGTCTTTGACAGCATCACCATACATCGAATTCCTCTCATTTGGCAGTTAGGAGCTTACCAGATCTCCATAGGTGGACAATAGCGATGGTGATGACGATGACCTTGGTCACAACACCGATGTTGGTACATTCCATTCTCACTATGGCCAAAGGTTGATAGTTTACAGGGTTTCGATGTTTCAGCCAATGACGTGACTATCCAAAACTCCGTCGTGAAGAACCAGGATGACTGTATCGCCATCAATGATGGCTCGAATATCATGTACGTGTCATTCTATTCGTGGAAGCATGTCCTTACCCCATCCATTCGCTAGCTTCAAGAACAACAAGTGCTTGGGCAGCCATGGTATTTTGATTGGTTCCATCTCTAGTGGCAAGTCAGTCACTGATGTCACCATCTCTGGAAACACTGTTATGGACTCAATGTATGGATTCAGGTAAGTCTTCCAATGCTCAGTTGGTGTGTTCACTCTTTCTAAATTGGTACTCAGAATCAAGGTCAAAGCTTCTGCAACAAGCATGTCAGTGTCCAGTATCACATACTCTGGGTAAGTATTTACTTAATTTACATTCATCAAGCTTTTTCCTTATCCCTGTTTGCATAGAAACACCCTCAGTGGCATCAACGAGTATGGTGTCTTGATCACCCAGTCTTACCCTGATGATGAGGGTACTCCAGGAACTGGTGGTCCCATTTTGTGAGTCAAATCCATGTCCAGGCTATTAGTACAGCTTTTGATGTAACCTGACAGGGACATAAACTTCACTAGAAGCACCACCACCATCAAGTGAGCCCACCATCCCATTTATACCATCCCTGTACTCATGTAAATTTCTGCTAGGGTTGGAGATGATGCCAAGCATCTGGCCGTTGACTGTGGAGCTTGCTCTGGGTAAACATTCATACTCATGTAGGAATGATGTATTCTGATCCATTTGTCTGCAGAACTTGGGACTTCTCCAAATTGAAGATCACTGGCAGATCTGCAGGGAACAGTTGATAGTGACAATGCTACTGTAAGAATCCACTCCCCTGTCTGCTTCAACTTTCTACTGACACTGAGAACAGATTTCTGGCAGATTGTATTAGGTTGATGATAGTATAATTTATGTGGTGCATAATATTTCAGTATCTCTTTCTACTAATATTCCCTGAGTTCTACCTGTCAATCCGACAACCTGTGGCCTGAAATGTATTCTTAAGATACTTGATGAAGCTCTACCTGAAGTCTACCAAATTTTCTTCTCTCCTCTTTGGCTAAATACATCGGCACTAGTTTTTAATTAAGGGGTGATGGCTCTGTTCTTCTGATGGTAAGCCTAGGTCTCACTTTTGTTTCAATGAATCAGTTGTAGTAAGATGAGGTTTAGCATGTGAGCAGCTAGGATATTTTGACTGAAGAGTCCAAGAAGATATTTACAGCACACTTTTACCAGATTCTGCTATGGTTGCAGGATGTCACTTCATGTCAAACTGCAATTTTAATATTTTGACCCAGATTTCAACTTTTTTAGAAGGAAACTAGGTATGTTTAAGGCCAAATCCTGCCATTTTGGACCATGGGAATTTTGAGAGGTACAAACAGCCAAATTTCTGTGAGATCAATGACATCATGACTACCTATTTGGAGGCCCTGTGGTGAACTTCCACTCTAGCTCTGCTGCCTGTCTTCTGTGTCGGCATCATGAGCATAGTTCAAGTCTGAGAGCACATCAAAATTAGAGTCTGAGTCATTGGGTTTGTCACTGGTAGGATATGCAGCAGTGGCAGTGGCTCTAAATCATCCAGCTGAGTCCCTTTTAGGTCCCTTGGGTTGAGGCATGGCTATGTGCAGGACTTGACAAACTTTACAATAATTTTTTTCGAGTTCGATTGCCATATTGGTGTATTACATAATAATTGCATAGCCACCCAACAGCCAAACTTATAGCACTTTGACTCAATTTTTGACTAAGCAAAAAATGGCTCTGTAGAAATGTCCATATGATCATCTTATGTTCAAAATTGCATTATGAGACCAAGGCAAGCTGAGTTGCAGGAGCCTTGGGCAAAATACTAAGTGACATCTGTGACTATAGGCAAATATGTAATTCGACAAAGCAGCAGGACGTTCAGAACAGCGAGACTTTGGGGCAACGTTACAATGGACATAGCACTATCAATCAGAAGTTTAACTGAGTGAAACAGGACAACCCTGTGGCTGATCATCTTCAGAAGATAGATAGATACCTGGGTCCTGAATGTTGGATCAAACTGGTGATGTAAGCAGCTTTTGGCTGTGCACGTGACGCACCATGTTTTCTCCTTCCATCTTGCCTGTTTTTTCCAATACAACTAGCTCCCCCCTTCTTCTGCAGTCTGTCATGAATTCACCCCTATTTTTTGCTTATCTTATCTTATCTGGGCAACTCATCATTCGACTCTCATCATCATTCCTTATACATGATCTGTATCATTCATGACCTGCTCGGTTGGGACACCTCTCGTATACTAACACAGCCAATCTGGAAGGAAGCAACACATTAGGACACAAAAAGAGAACCTCTCGAATGACACAAACACTTCCAACCCCACTGGACGACACGGGGTACGAGGGATTTCCCCCACCACCAAATTGGCAACAAACCCCAACTGTCAGGACATGCCCCTTGACTGGGGCGCTGACAACACGAGAGGTCAAGACAAAGGCTGAACTGGGGCCAGACTCTCAGAAAAGCACAACTCATGCGCAACTTCAGAAACGAGCAAGCGAAGTACTGCTGCTGGCGGTATGGGATCAAAAATGAGTAGGCACTGCTGTGATGGCGGTGAACCCCTTGGGAAAGTGGATATTCAAGCCGCAGGGATGTTGGAGGCCTGTAGCAGTAACAGAGCTCCAAAAGGTTTGACAGTAACCTCCCTCATCCCCAGAAGTAAGAGCAACTGCCCAACCTTGGAACAAGATCCCTGACAACCAGAAGACGACAAGGAGAAGTACCGGAAAATGAACACCAACTCGCCACCAAGTTAATGCTCATTTTCTGAGACTCTTCACTAGGAATGAGTAGCCCTAATGGCCAAAATCCCAGAGAAGCCGTCCCAAGGGATGGTAATGCCTAGGCACAGAGGGAAAGTTTGGGATGCAACCTAGAGACCCCCTCACCTAGGAAGAAGCCAGGGACAGCGGGCATAGCACAGAAAAAGCAGGTGAGCCAAGGACCCTCAGGGATCCCTCCCACCTTGGGTTGTGAAACCAAGGACATGACCCATGGTGCAGAGCTTTGTGGTGAGGCAACTGTGTGCCACTCTACCCCACCTAGTACTGTCGGGATCAAAAAAACATTGTGTCGGACATGACGCCGCAAGAGGAGGTTGCAAGGCATGGCAACAAGCAGTCCCCCGAACCAGTCAGGACCGAAGAAGCTCAATCGCCCACAAGGATCAAGAGGGCCGAACAGGAGAGAGAGGCTCCCCCTCCCATAACTTCAACCCAGTTATGGAAAGGGTACATATTCACCTTGAAGAAATCACTAACGAGGAGGACACTGTACAGTTACCTGACAGAGTTTACAGAACTCTTAAAAATCCGGACTGTGCAGGCCATCCCTGAGTGGAAAAGACCTTAGTAGCGCAAGCGAACAGGCAGGAAGCTCAGTAACTGCAGAAGACCAAAGGGCCACAAATCCTGCAGCGAACGGCGACAGGGGAAAGTCCCCGATGCTGAAAGAGGAAAACCTCGAGTACTCATCGGAGGAGTACCCTTCGGACCAGTGACACCAAGAACCCTACACACCTAAGTGGACATGAAGGGCCATGCACATCAAATCAGATGCTGCAAAACCCACTTATAATGGATATACCCTTGATGGTGTTGCGACTGCAGCCTATTTACACATGTAATTTTGCAATCTAACACGTCTTACATGCATACTGAGATATAGTGAGCAAGCAGACTAAAACTATGTGTCAACACTAATGCTACGCGGTGCAATGATATGGAATATAAATTATGGCATAAGCAATGGGATTCTAAACAGGACTTAGTCACGGCACTGTACCTGATGGGCATGCGTGATGAGAAGGCCAAACCCTATCCCCAACGCCTTAGGCTCTAACTTACAAGCACACTCATGGGAGCTAGATAAAACCTTGAAGATTGCACTGACACTGAGAATACTTAGCATGCTTGCTAACTGTGACGCGTCATACCTAAAAATCCAGGGAAATCCTTAAGCAAGATGACAGATATCACCAGCACAAGCTTGGGCAATGGGCTTCGGCCAAAGTCCATGAGCCCGCATTCCATTGTTCTGAGTCCCATTGTTCGAAGACTCACTTGTTGCCATGTCTATGAGAAGCCTCTGTGAATCCAAGAAAGAAGTCTTGAATGACATATGCCAGGACTGATAGTTCCATGTGCCTAGACCTGTTGGTCGCTAGAGAACAAGCCTGTGGGTGTCAGGAGAGCACCTCTTGGCACACATTTAGCAAGTTCACTATAGAAATGAGACTAAAACTGGGAAGTCCAACTCAGATGCTCAGTAAGGCAGTGGTGGCAACATGCTACACATGTAGGAGTCTGGGTACTGCATGACGTTTGTAATTCTAATTCCCCTGTAGTATAAGTAGCCTGGTTACAGTAGGTAGAGGGCAAGTTTTGAGCCCCCGAGTTCCTGTGCATGTGTTGAAGGCGGTACTGTAACAAAGGATCAGTTTGTGACTTTGAGCTGTGCATAGAATTAGTGAGCTCACTCAGAGAAATACGAGATACCCTTTTGATAAGACTTTTGAGAACTTAGTCAGAGTGAATACGAATCAGTGACGCTGTTTCTGTTCTGTTAAGTGTGATAAGTCTGTTCGGAGAATGTGTTGAAGTGGAAATCTGAGTTCTGTTCTGTTCTGTTCTGTTCTGTTCTGTTCTGTTCTGTTTCAGTCTGTTCTGTGTCAGTTCTGTTCGAAGTTCCATTTCTGAATCTGTTTCTGAGCGCTTCTGAAGTGTTCTTGAGTCGAGATAACCTGCTGGAGTTAGTTGGAGAACCCCTACATACAGTTGTGTAGTGAGCGGGCTAAGTCAGTGCTTGCCTGTGGTGTTCTTTTAGTGAGCTCACTAAAGTTTCAGCATGTATTGCCTCTGTTTCTGTCGGGATCAGTGTCCCTTGTGTATTATAACTCAAATCTGCCTTGAAGGTTGCGTCGCGCCAGTGAACGACCTTCCTGTAAAAAGTTCCTAGACTTAGGAATTCATTAGAGAAAGCTTAGCTTCGCTAAGAGCACTGAGAATAAGAGAAACTCTTCGAGATATTGAAGTATAGTGGATCGCATTAGAAATAATCGCTCCCCCTAGAACTTACGAGGGTGATTGTAGTTTGTGTAGTTGTGTGAGTGTGTGTGTGGGTTTTTGAGGTTCGCCTTTTAGCCCACTCACTATTCCACAGGTGCCCACAGCCAGCATCTTCAATGGGCAGGAAAGGTTCAGGATGCAACTGAGAGGCCCTCTCGCCTAGGAAGAAGCTGGGGACAGCAGATATAGCACAGAAAAAGCAGGTGAGCCAAGGACCCTCAGGGACCACTCCCACCTTGGGCCGTCAATTTAAGGATGCAACCCAAGGTGCAGAGCTCTGTGGCGAGGCAACTGTGCACCACTCTAATCCACCTAGTACCATTGGGATCAAGGCAACATCATGTCACCTGATGCTGCAAGAGGAGGTTGCAAGGCATGGCGACAAGCATCCCCCGACTAGTCAGGACCGAAGAAGCTCAATCGCCCACAAGGATCAAGCAGGCTGAACAGGGGAGAGAGGCTCCCCCTCCCATTCAAGGTAACCCTTGAAGGAATAGCTGACGATAAAGTAATTCTAGCTGTTGACAGAGTTTATGGAACTCTAAAAAATCCAGACTGTGCAGGGCCATCCCCGAGTGGAAAAGACCTTAGTAGCGCAAGCTGAACAGGCAGGAAGCTCAGTAACTGCAGAAGACCAAAGGGCCACAAGTTCTGCAGTGAATGGTGACAGGGAGAAGTCCCTGATGCCTGAAAGAGGGAAACCTCGAGTACTCATCGGAGGAGTACCCTTCAGGACCAGCGATACCAAAAAACCCCATACACCCATGTGGACACGAAGGGCCATGCACCTCAAATCAGAGACTGCAAAACCCACTTATAATGGATATACCCTTAACAGGCAGGAAAACTAGGCGATTAATGCGCAGCCTAAACAACCTGCCTGTGGAGAGAATCTGCTAAAATCCTATCCCAACCAATTGGCGATGGACCCGCAAAACGTGAAAATCAGAACTCATGTATGAAGTGGTCTGTACCCCACCATCATAGGCTAGCACAGATAGTACTCAAAAAGAGAGTTATTGGCCATAATAACTGCCTTGAATGGACAATACCACGGCTGTATAGGCGCTGTACCAAAGGATTCAGGATTAACCAACCATCCCGATCTTCCACATCCTAACCAATTGATCAAGGACCATCCCTCAGTGATGACCCTGATCAAATAGCAATAATGGAAACCCATCCATGCGAGTTGGAATCCCACCAACCAATCCAAGACACAAAAATTGGATTATTGGAAAGAGACCTGGAAACTTCAGCCTCCAAGGTGGAGAAACTGACCTCCACCATGGAAAATGCTGAATTGCTGGGGCGGATCAGATCAACGGTGACAATGCCAAAATGGCAAACATTCACTGGAGAACTTATCATTGGCGACCTGGAACCTGAAAGGTTCCTAGGACCAATTACGGACAATAAATCCCTTTCATCCTAGAATATAGGGAAGGAAGAAAACCTTTAAAAACAAAAGTTATGTCATGAAACCCATCCATGCGAGTTGAAATTGAAACCTCCTAGACCATATCTCTGTGAAACATTCCAAGAATGCAACAAGATATAAGTCATTAAAACGAGAATACAAGATGTGTCAAGAAATTGAAGACCAACACATGGCAGCTCGGTTACATCCCCAGGCTGCACTCCTAACTTTCATTTGAGCAATACCTACAACTGAACCAAAGGACTTCTTCAATGAAGTATATTCCTATTGGTGACTAGCAATGCTCAAAGAATGACTGCAAGGAGAAACTACCCCCATTCACATCATTGAATACCCACAACAGTAACTGACACTTTGCTCATGACTGTTAACCACCTAAACCAGAGTTGTTGGACCCTGCCCATACAGGTACTGCCAATCCCTTTCGCTGGGACATGCGAGGCTATGGAAGCCACACAACCAATATACCAGGAATCTATCAAGGTTTCAAATTGAGGAGTAAACCTCATAAAAATCAACTGAAAACGAGAACTACCTCGTTCGTTAAAAGATCGGTGACTGAGAACAGTCAACCATTATTAGAGGAGTAAACCTCATAAAAATCCCATATTTATGACAAGCATGGTCAATACCACCCACACAAGGGTTGGGATGGTATGTGACCTCGAAGACAGAAGGATCCCAGAGTTTAAAGGCACTCTACATTCGGGTTCTATGAATCTTCAGGAGAACAACCTCCTAGATAAAAGATCATTGACTGAGAACAGTCAATGTTGCTAATCAGCAACATTCACAGATAGTAGTGCCCATGCACAACCTTCTCCTCTTATAAGGGAGAAGATGGAGCACCAACGAAGGAGTTCATCTCCAAGAGCTCACCTCACTTAACCCAGCGATTGCAAGGGTCTCCAAGACCTAAGTCACCCAATGAGTGTGACCAATGCGAGACAAACCTTGTTCAATCCAAGTTAAGGATCGATGATCTAAGGCCATGAAATTACCTTAGAGGACAACCAACCGTTTTTCCAGCCAGCATTCGAGCAATGCCAATAAATTGAACAGGAGGACTTCTTTAATGAAGTATGTCTCTATTTGCAGCGAACAATGCTCAAAGAATGATCACGATAAAGAACTGTTACCACCTCCTCGAATCACCACTGCCTGAGAACTACCTCATCAAAGATCGCTAGCTGAGAACAGCCCAGAGAACCAGGCCAGGATGTCACCCCTGGCTGGGATAGAACTGACTGATCTCAATCTAGAGATCGAGGATCAGGGCCATGATCAATATTGATGCAAAGGCCAAAAAGGAGAATGACCTCCTATATCAAAAATTGCTGCATGAGAACATGCAAACAATACTAATCAGTGGTAGAGAAACCACAGATTACTTCACAGAAGCAAAGGCTCCTCAAAATCCATATCTCTCCCCGACTACCCACAGCAGATCTGGACTAAAGACACAAGACTGAAATTGAACAAGGAAGCAGAACCCTTGTAATCAATTTCAAGAAGATGTGCCCAGAACCACTAGCCTAGTTGCCAAGATGAAAAAACCAAAAACGAACAAGGAGGCAGAATCCTTGTAATCGACTTTGAATAAACATTTCGTACACAAGGCATGGATACCAAATATCAGGAAGGAGATTGGAACAAGGACACCAACAGAGGAAATTAACTCCAAGAGATCACCTCACTTAACCTGGCGATTGCAAGGGTCTCCAACATCGAAGTCACCTAACACATGTTACCGATATGAGACAAGCCTTGTCCAATCCAAGTTAAGGATCGATGATCTAAAGCCACAAATTACCTTTGAGAACTACCTCATTAAAAGATCAGTGACTGAGAACAGTCAAAGTCACTAATCAGCAATGAATTTGCAGATAGTCATGCCAAAGCATTACCCCTCAAATGAAGGAGGCAATAAGGGCACCATATTAAAGAAGGTCTCATCGACCAAAAAGAGGTCAAGGGACACCAAATCAATGCCGAAATCACTACACCTTGGACACAGGTGTATCACACAGAAATGACACTGGGAGCGAAGCTCCAGTGCAAGGGTGCAATCCACACCATACCACTACATCGAAACAAGCTCTGCTTGACATCATGCTTGCCATCCCAAACGACGAAGAAGAGAGTTCCACCAGGAAGTGGACTCTAGCAGGGTGCAATTGATGCCATAACAGGGATCAAGGCCACCCATCATTGTATGATGAGCACCTTCATCACCACCAACATCAAGACGGGACACCAAACTATGGTTAGAAAGCCCTACGAACATCCTGAACCAAGGACAATTGGGAAACAAGAACCTAAACCATTCGTTGGAAGACGATCATGATTTACAACACTTGAAGCAGCAGAGGGATAACACCATATCATCTCCTGGCTCTTCAAGAATCGAAAACCCGACAGTCGCTTCACCTGAACTAGCTACAAAGGTTTATTTGCTGCATGAAAAGAATCAGCAGTAACTCGCATGGAAGGACTCTATAAAAACCCCACCAGCAGCAGGCTCTGTCCAACAGGAAACCTATAACATCCTGATCAAAAACATCCACAGCCAATATGCGACTAAGGTGACAGGGTTAGACACCAACTCAAGTTTACCACAACCAGCCAAAAACGGGCCAAAAGCGAGCCAGACCCTTCAAAATCCTTGCAAAAGAATGGCTAGAAGCATATGAACGATGCTTACTGGTGGAATGGAGAAATCCACAAATCGATTCAATAAGTCTACCTAAACTTATTGAAGAAGAGGAAGACGACTCATCCATGAGACCTCCATGATGAGACGCACTAGAGGAAAGCCCTTCAATTCAGAAGGTGGATCTGATACCCCATGGACCAAGAACTCAACTTTCTTCCTGGATTCCCTGGGTCCAGCTTCAGACGCATCCGAGCATTCTGTATCTCCTCTATCGAATACTGAATGGGAACACGAACCATACACTGACTCAGTCAGGACGACCAAGTCTTAGTGAGGGGGTAATGTCATGAATTCACCTCTATTTTTTGCTTATCTTATCTTATCTGGGCAACTCGTCATTCGACTCTCGTCATCATTCCTTGTACATGATCTGTATCATTCATGACCTGCTTGGATCACATGCCCACACCATATTACCTTGCACCATGGACCACATCACTGGGACTCTGTCATGGGCTTTGCTGCCATACATCGTAGAACATAGTGCCATACGGATGCTACCCTTCTTACTCGCAGGAACACTTCTCATGTTATCATGCTCACACTGCATCACCAGAGCATTGCCACAACACAACCATCAATCCCACCTGATTGGTCCCTGGATCACTGCTCACATGCATGATCTGTTTGATGGCCCATAGATCTGATCACACGACTATGGGCCCAACCCTCCTTTACCCAGTCATACTTCTTTAGGTTGACTCTGGTCACACCCTAGGATGGATAAGCCACCATGTATGCTCCTTCAGAGGATGGTGCCATATGGATGCCAGGTTTCTTATTTGCAGGAAGGCTTCTCCTAGGATGACAGGGATCCACGTATGCTCATCCAAGGATAGCACCATCCCTCTGACTCGCAGATATGCTTCTACCATATCAAGTGCCATATGGGTGCTTGCCTTCTTACTCGCAGGAGAGCTTCTCCTATACCAAGTCCCATACAACCAGAAGACAGCGATGCATTGGGACACTGTGCACTGAGACGCAGGAGCAGTACATACTAGTAAATACCACAATGTATTTAAACGAGCCTTGCTGTGGTCTTACACCCCAGCTTCAGCTAAAGTTATACACTCCTAACTTTTCATGCAGAAACTCCCTGTTTCATGCCTAAGAACTATCGTCCCTGACCTAGCGATTGCAATGCCCTCTATCACACTGAATCACCGAACATGAGTGACAGTTTAGAGGCAAACGTTGTTCAATCCAAGTTAGTGCATTACACAGTCTTGTCTCATGAATTTCCATGTATACTCAGTCTCTAGAGATATGTTCTCTCTAATTCTAACAAGTTGACAATCTGAGACCAAGTCTGAGAACCTGCTTGTGTCCACTGTGCCGAAAGATCAACCTAGTTCCACTCTAGTGATTGTTACAGTGCAGGTCATCAAAGCATGGAACTACTTCATCTCACTCCTTGCCTCAAGAGGCCCCACCGGTGATTCCTTTGCTCCCCCTTCTTGACGGTGCAGTGTCAATCTTATAGTTACAAGACATATGGGATGAAAATAATCTCAGCTACATTCGATACACACTGTGCAACATTAATCAATCATACAGCGTTTGTTCCTTTGGGTTCCCATGGTTGAACGTTGAATCACTGTGGCCATGTTCATTGTGATCATCCTTGCAATGCACTATAAAGAGCATGTCTGTGACCTTGCATTTGTTTTATCGACAACCAAATGAGTTCAAACGTATCTGTCACTGAAGTTGTAAATTTTGGGTTGTATAATTTCTTCTTTCGGATTTCTCTGACCAAAGCGCAGGTGTAACATGGACAGTTGATCTCATGGGACTATCTTATAACTATTGACAATGAGGTTCATTGCTCTGACCGATCTTCTCATAGCGAACTCTCACTTGATTGGCTTGAAGATTACTCTCTTCTGGGTACATACTCATTCTAACAAGGCTTTATTTCTGTATAGCACCTGACAACATGGTGGACAGTTTTCAAGAAGATCATGGATAACATTTTTATTCTTTACCGTAAGTTGTTTTAGGTAGCAGACACAAGTCATTGAGGTTAATATTTCAGAATCACTATCTGGGACTCGTTCTGTGAATTTGGGATGTCGTCAGTGCTGTCATGTCCGGTATTGTTGTCTCTGGCTATTGAATCTGTGCCCTACTAGATGAAGTACTTGAGAATATAGTGAGTTATGTTTATGGCTTCAAGTTTCTAACTTTTCATTGGCCAATGTAAGGTGTGGGATCCATATCAGTTAGTCTAGTTCAGCTAGTCTGACTTCTTTGCTGAGCCTCAAGTGTAGCTGCGAAAAAAGCACTTTTTCTGCACCTAGTGACTTTCATTATTATACAGAAGATGTCACCTGTTTTATGAGCACTGAAACTTATTCAGTTATATACGGTATGCTTTCATTTATTACATGCTTAACATTTCCGTGGATTTATGTCCTACAGTGATATTGCAGCTCTTTGTCATCAAAAGTATCCTTGTCCTCCGAATTTGGGCAATGATGGGCAAGTGGTGATGCATCTTGTGGATTTTCTTTGGCTTGCTTGCCTGCAGCACGACTGCATCTATTATGATTTCTGTATACTTTTCCGCCGGTATGGCAGGCCTTTTCTACCTGTGAGTGTTTCACCACATACTATGATCCATGTTGTGATTGTTGTCCAGATCACCGACCATGCTATATGAGATTATCATCTTCATCACTGCAGCACGTTATGGAATCAGGCAATCAGGAGGTCTGAGGTCGCTCTTGTTCTGAAATACAGGCCAGTTTCAGTATGGCCCCGAGCCTATCATGCGTCTACTATTTCAAGACACGGTTCTGTACTTTGCAACGTGAGCATCTTTCTTTGTTATGCCTCCTTGTGTATGTTCAGTGTTCACTGTTTCCAGGGTGCTTTCCTCTATTTTAATTATGACAGTTGTGGTACATTGATATAACTGTTCTAATCAACAAATTTTGACTACTCTCTTGGGATACAGGACCCTCATTTGGGCTTAACCATTATGAGTGTTACAATGAATTGTATGCTTCTCGGTCTTCGGAAGCAGGCTTTTTCCGATTCCGTTGGTCAGTATTCCCAAGTGGTGGAATTGACAACGTTCAGAGCTACCATGAATGAGGTGATATCGTTGTAGGCAGGAAAAGTTGTCATGAATTTTGAGGCCTGGTATCACATAGACATGATCAAGAGTACTTAGTGAGGAGAAAAGGCGGCTTACATCTGTGGAAACATGATATAGGAACTCGCTACGGAATAAACTGACGTATGTAGTACGAAAAACCCTTGGAAGGCCCCTCGAGATTGAAGATAGAACAAGTGCTGCTCACTTCAGAGCCGGCCCGTAAGTGCAGCTAGGGATCACTTGGGAGAAAGCTCAGCTCCTTTGCACAGGTTGTTAAGGTGGCTGGATACTATCATAGTACATCACTCACCAATTCTTCATCGAATCTTATTACGTTACTACAGTCAAGCTTCATCCTCCCTTCCAGTCCCGGTACGATCAAAGTGGTTTGAGGCTACCCCAAATTTCCTGATGCTTTCCATCACCATCTCTGTTGATCATTGTTCTTGATTTAATTTATCAGATCCCTCATTATGAAACTTCTACAAATCATGATGTCCAAAATACCGCAAAGGCAGCATGGAGATTCGGGACAAGACGGGGAGCGGGTCGTCATCTGTTACTGTTCAATGTTCAATGAGCACTAATCTCTGGTAGGATCATCTCACAGAATATGGAAGCTAGAATGTAGTGACTGAAGCCTTTTGTATGTGTATGAATAACGGAAGACTCCCCCCTCGAACCACAATTAGCACCTTGGAGGAACCTGTGGGGACATGATACGTCCGGATGCAGGTTGTTGCTACCGTGAATAGCTGGCACCTTCGAAGCCTTAGTCACCAGATTGCATCGGAAACAGCTCAACCTTCCTATGCAGGATTGTTAGTTGCCATCAAAGGCCGAGGCATCTCTGAAAGTCCATTCCATGACCAATACCATAAACTTCCCCTATATTATCAAGACAGACAGTACAGTTCTCCCTCATTGGTGTGCTTCCGGTGGCCATATGAGCACATAAAATATCATTATCACCACTCCAGGACCACACCGCATCACATATGCTGTAACTGGAATTTTTTGCTTTGCCATGGAAACTGAAAAAGGACTCGTCGATGAAGGTCTTAGATGACGAGTGATCCATCCCCATCTGTCAATAAATACATACTCTGTAGGCTTCTTCTGTGGTAAAGAGACAGCGAAGGTATTGAATTTTATCAGGGACTGGCTGTCTCTATTGACAACAGTCAAAGTTACCACTTAAGAGGCTCCTTGATCCGAAACCACCATGTGGCCACTTGTGGTCATTGGTTTTGGATGGTCCTGCGAGGCAGGCAGGCAAGGTCTGGCATGCATTACTGGTGTTTACCAACCAGCTAGAGACTTAAGAATCAGCCTCCCAGCACAATGAAGGCTAGAGATGTGTATAGGACTGCCTGTGGGTCACACCCCAACTGAGTGGCGCAAGGAAGTAGCAAACTCCTCTGGCCCTCTGAAATGGAAGGAATATGCTAGATGCGACAAAATCCTACGAGTCAGCTTAGACTAGGACTACTGTCTCATATCCGGTACTGAACCCTACCTAAGAGACCAAACGTCCACTAAACCACATCTATGAACTCAGGAATGTGCCACTCACTGCACCCCATCAGGCATGATAGCCTCGCAATAGATATTATTAGAAAACCCACCAAAACAAGAACTGAACAAAGTAAAGCCAGTTTCAAATTTTGAAGCCACTGGTGACCACCATGAATGAAAAGATAGCGGGCTTTAAAACAGTACAAAGGAGCATTATGCCAAGAACCTGAGAACAAAGTAAGGGAGTGACATGCCACTGTGATGGTCACAACTGATCGAATGATACTGCAGCCATCGCACAAGCCCCCGACCTTTTCCAGCCAACAAAGGAATGGGCCTCCCCCTCGACAATGCAAGGAGATTGGCTTGCCCAAAGACATATCGAAGACCAGAAGTACAGGCCTCAGCAAGACAACCCACCCGAGCTGACTATAAAGACAAGACTAGCAGCCATGCCGATGCAGAACGACAAACACGAATCATACAATGCTGGACACAAAGCAACAAACTAACTCAAAACGGAAAAAAGGAATCCTCGTTTTTTCAACCCTGGTCCACCTGATTTTCATACATAAGTACTTCCAACTGGCATGGATGCACTCACGAAAATGAAACCCCAGACTAAAGCACAGACCAAACTCTCATACAACCCCTTCTACCACCAATATGTCCAGCTGAGCCAACACCGCTAACTGCATCATCCACACCAAAAGCTCCACGACAGACACGAACGGAACCTTATCAGACTCCTACTCCAACCTCAATGCAATCAAGCTGTGCCCCACCGCCACATGCGTCGGAGCCAAAACTGAGGAACTCAATGCCTGCGAAAGGGAGGGCAGCCACGAATAAGAAGAAACAAGGCCCCAAACCCCAGAGTAGCGCCCCATCCAAGCAGCCTGAAGTCGAAGAACAAGTGGCTACCATTGACATAGAGAAAAAGGTGTGCTGTATACACAATGCTGCAAAGACGAAGCTCACCATGATGTAGAACAACCCTAACATGACTGGCCCTAACAATGTGGGGCCCGAGAAGGTGAAAGAAGATGCAGCCCCAAAAGAAGTTGGCATCGATGTAAGTCCACCATGAGCGCAACAGAATATTTCATTGATAATGCAAAACAGCAAGCTGCTGAAGAGAACGTCACAATGATATCAAACATGGAAAGGCCAAACACTCCGTGCCAACCTGAAGATCTCGCAGGTCCGACCTCCAATGAGGACACCATTATGGCTGAGCAAGATAGCACGCCACGTCTCCAGAAGAGAAAATCCGAGATGGATTTGGAGGATGTCAGATGAACAGTTTATGCCAGGGCCAAAACCGCTTCTCGTTGCTGTCAGAACATAAAGCGCACTGCATCCAAGAAAGCCAGAAAACGATGCGAGATGGAGAGAGAGAATGAGATGGAGGACCAGATTGATGGAGTAGTAATATCCAGACAGGTGTGGTACCTTACATATATGCACAAACAATTAACCAACATGACTGCTATAGTCGACGCCCAACCCAGTATCAGATGATGAAGACGGTGCCAACCAGGACATGGGCAATGGCAGCGACCATGACACGATCGAAATCACAACGGAAGCCTGTACTCTGACAGTGAAAGCCCCCAGAAATGAGTTCGCTTATCCTACAAGACCTACACCCGCCCTCCACATGGCAATCCATTTGCCAGGCACCTCCCAGATGACAACCAGAATGATATGACCGATGACCTCACCCTTTCAACTGAACCTCGATTCCAGGTCGCAGCACCTGCCCCCTCATTTGCCCAGCCCATCAGCAGTGAAGGAGACCCTACAAATGTTCACACTCAGGGAGATCCCATGCCCAGTTTTGCGAGAATGATCGCACCTGTTGCACTGACCACACCATCATCGCAGGACCACCAGGAGGGCTTCATGATCACTATACATGGGGAACATGCTGGGAAGTACTGCCCCACACTCCATTTCTGCACCCCATGTTTTCCATAACTACAATTGGGAACAGATCAACAATCTGTACAGCAATCAGAAACCAAGCGATGTCCTAGTCATCATATGGGGCCTCAATATCGGAACCTGAGGTCGGCGCACGAGGCACGACTGGACGCAACCCTTCGGACCTACTTTGCAGGTGATGCGAAGGTTGAATACAAGATCGCATCTCCTTTCCCACCCCCCTGTTACTTCACCAACGGTATCGCCGGCCCAAAGGAGCAACCTTTTATAAAGGACCACACGGGAACTCCGTTCATGTTCTACCTGCATGGGCTATCCGGAAAACAGAGAACCAGACTTCTGTCAGATATGGTGATCCCCACTAACTTTGAAACGTACATGATCCTTGATCCGACTGATTTCATCTCGGATTTTGCGTTCACCATAGATGGGCTCAATGCCCCCCCAACCGAACAAGGGCAAAAGATGGTCGAGAAACTCCTCAAGGACAAACTGTACATGACAGACAAAGTATGGACTTTCCTCAGCTCTCACCATGACGCTATCCCCCCCTCAGTTCATGACGACAAAGTACTGGCCATGGTCATCCTCTCTCTCATCGCGAGAAGCATATGGATCGAAGGAAGATGTGGTGAGCCAGGATGTCAGGGGTGGAACATCTGGATCCCTCATCCCTCAAAGATACCTTGCCACCATGTAGAGTGGCTTAACATGTTGAAATCCGCCTTCCCCATCCGGACTGGATCAGGCTTTGGAGGAACGGCTCGCCTTATCAAAGTCCCCTTTTTTTGCAAAGGCTGCAAGGGCACGAGCCACCCTACCATGCAATGCCCTATCAAGGAACAGCTAGGAGACCTGCTGTGAAGGCCACGAGAAGATGGACATAGGAGAAATGCAACTAGAGCCTGGGGAGGCCATGGAAACTGCAGAGGCAGGTCAGGTGGCTATGATGGGCGATTCTATGAGAACTAGATATTAGCTACGGAATGTACATGAACCTGATTGCAACACGATAGATATGATCCCTTGTTGTATGCTTATAAGAGAATAGGGCCCCGACCTTGAGGGTGGGAAGGGAATACCCTGTACTGGTGGTGAAACCCTTCGAGACCCAAATACATGGCCCTCACAGGCTATAAAACCAAAAAACCAACTATGAAATTTGTAAAACATAATGAAAACACAACTATGCTGGTGCCCGTGACCACCCAAGCTGGCCACGGCTGGCAAAGCCCCTCATATGATGGGGATCGAGAGCATGATTGATCTGACAGATGCGATGGATCACCCTGTTCTCTCCCAGGGCGTACCGGAAGATCCAGTCCCTCTACCCCTTGGAGAACAGGCCCCCCGAGGGGAAGATGGATTCACTGGAAATGAAGACGATGCGCCCAAAATATATACCCTGGATACCCTGGCCTGGAACGCAGCACCCGCACCTGAGAATGAACATGAAGGAATGAACATGTATAATGTGCCATTACTAGATACACCATACCCTGTACAACGGAGACGCCAGCCACCACGAGAGGCGTCGAGACGGCAACAACGACCAAGTAATCAAACATCCCTGCATCAACAAGCGATTGACGAGCAGATGAATGAGATGAATCGTGCTATCTCACCTGAAGGGCCAAACAGCTACACCACAGAGCCGACAAAAAGACAAGGCAAGCGTACGAAGGCATGGTGGATAGTAGCCTCCCTAAATATGAAAGGAAGGGGCTCCCAGAATCCAGAATGAAGCAAATGGTCAGATATAAGCCTAATGATGAAGGAGCAGAAGATCAGTATTATGACTTTGCAGGAAACCCACCTGTCAGACACTTACACAAAAGAAGTTTTAGCCTTGCATGGAAAACAGCTAAGCATACACTTCTCCTCTGATGAGCAGAACCCCACAGGGAAATCAGGGGTAGCAATAGTCCTAAATAAAGATCTCGTCAAAACTGAGGATGTGGTGACAACGAACTTACTGCCGGGAAGAGCACTGCTAGTACAAGCCCCCTGGCATGGAGGGGCAACTTTCCACTGGCTTGCGATCTATGTGCCAAACAGGGAAAATGAAAATAAAGAAATGTGGGAAGACCTGACGAGGATATGGGATGAACAACGTCTCCCAAACATAGACGGCATGAGTGGAGACTTCAACTTCGTGGAAGATGCCATTGATAGACTCCCAGTCCACGAAGACACCTGTGTGACGATTGAAGCTTTCAAAACTTTCTGTGCATGTCTAGGGCTAAAAGACGGATGGAGGAGGACAAACCCAGATAGAAAGGATTACACTTACACACAGATGTCCGGGAATTTCTCCAGATCGCGAATTGATAGAATCTATGTTTTGGAAAATGCTTTTAAGAACTGTGAACAATGGGACATATGAGACCCGCCCCTAAGTACGGATCATTGAGCTGTCTATGTTCGAATGGCCCATCCGAAGGCCTCACATGTTGGCAAGGGAAGGTGGTCAATGCCGCTGCACTTGTTGAACAACAAGAAGGCAATTGGAGAGGTGGAAAAGATAGTAAGACAGATGGCCAAAGATATGAGGTCTTCTGCAAGCAATAGAAACGATGGGGAGAACCCGCAAACAGTCTATGCTAGAGGGAAGAAAGAGATAATTACAGTTCTGCAACACTATGCTGGCTGCAGTATACCAATCAAAAAAGCGAAGATGGAGAGCCTCCGGGCTGAGCTCGACATGATGCTGCAGGACGACACCATTCCGGAAGACGACCGTCTCCTCTTGGCAGCTCTGATCCAACAAAGGATACAGCAAATTCAGGGAGAAATAAGTAACAACAGACGCACCATGGGACTAGTCAAGGCCAGACTTGAGATGGAGACTATCAGCAAGTATTGGCTGCGAGCCAGAAACCCAAGGAAACCCTGAGATACTGTGCAAGAACTGTGAAGAATAGGAAGCAACCCACCCACCTACACTACCAGATCTGATGAGATGGCTGAGAGTGCCTGAAACTTTTACGATGATCTACAGAATATAGAGACCTTCCCAGACATGTCAGAGGATGAACGCACGAGAGCAAAAAGGACAGTCCTTCGGAGAATACGAATGAATCTACGACAACCCGAGACAGACATACTGGTGGAGGTTTTACAGTACGAAGAAATCCTGAAAGCACTAAAAGCAGTGGCAAAAGGGAAGGCAGCTGGATTAGATGGCCTCCCTTACGAACTCTGGATTATGCTGTGGAACAGATTCATGAACATGGGCGACAGGTGTAGAACGCACTGACATAATAGAAATATTCCACATGATTTTCAATGACATCGAGGCATACGGGGTCATGGCAGAGACAGGATTCTGTGACGGATGGATCTGTCCTTTGTACAAGAAGAAAGACAAGAGGGAAATCACCAACTATCGACCAATAACTCTGCTAAACACGGACTATAAGATAATGACTAAGGCATTGGCTAACAGACTTGCTGATGTTGCGAATAGTGTAATACATCGAGACCAAGCGGGATTCATGAAAGGGAGGAGTATTTTTGACCAGATAGACCTGGCAAAAGACATGATTCATTTCGCTGAAGCAGAAGAGATTGACGGAGCCATAGTAGCCCTCGACCAGGAGAAGGCATACGACAAGATCAAACACGATTATTTATGGGAGGTGCTAGATACAGTGGGGATACTGACAGCCTTCATGTTGACAGTAAGGCACTTGTATGAAAAAGCAGAATCAGTCGTCATCATAAATGGAGAAAAGAGCACCCCCTTCAGAGTTACAAGAGGGGTGTGGCAAGGTGACCCACTCTCATGCCTTCTCTTCAACTTAGCCATCAAACTCCTGGCTCAAATGTTGCGTGACTCGAGCTTGGAAGGCTACAGGATACCTAATGTGAGGGACCGGCTGATAGCAATGCTCTTTGCGGACGACACAACAGTTTACTTGTCAAGCAAAGATAGTTGGACAGAGCTTGAGGAAATACTGAGTTTGTGGTGTTGGGCATCAGGCGCGAAATTTAATATTGAGAAGACACAAGTTATACCCATTGGCAGCCCAGAATATAGAGCAGTGGTCCTGGAAACCAGGAAACTTGGTGGAGGAAATGAGCAGATTCCAAACGATGTGCATATAGCACGAGACGGAGAGGCAGTTAGGATATTGGGTGCCTTTATAGGCAACAAGGTTGACACAGCTGCCCCATGGACCCTGATACTCGACCGTATACAAGAGAAATTTGAGACATGGGAAGACACGCACCCTACGATTGAAGGTCGTCGACTACTGGTGCAGATGTATGCAGGGGGGATGACGCAGTTCTTGACAAGGGCACAGGGAATGCCTGATGCAATCCTACACCAACTACAGAAGATGATAAGTGAATTCGCATGGGATAATCAAGGGAAAACACCAGTGAATAAGACAATTGCTGCAGCCACCATAGCAGAAGGAGGAATGCAAGTCCTAGACATCAAAATGAGGAACCGTGCCATCGAAGTTATGAAGCTCAAATCATACCTGAACTTTGATGCAGATCGACCACTTGCTGGGTTTGTGAAAGATGCTATAATCAACAAACACGTTAAAAATGGGAAGCCGAGCCCAAACGTGATGGCCAACACCGTCTTGCAGACATGGCATGTAAACGTACGACCTAACTCTCGCCTACCCCGTCACATTGCAGGTATGCTGCGAGTGGCCGGAGAATTGAATATGCGACTCGACATGCAGATGCCGTCGCAGGAGGTCCACCGGCAAATTCCTATATGGCACCATATAGGGTTCAAGGAGAAGACGCAGAAGAGATATGGTTCGAAGGCATACAAATGTCTGGCAATGAACCACCGTGTCGAGACAGCAGGGGAGGCTGCAGATGCAACAAAATGCCTATCTGACATGACACATACTAGCCAGAAGAACTGCAAGTGTGACAGCTGCAGACGGGATAGAATGGAAAGAGGCTGCGAAAACCCACACAAATGTGCTGTGGCGGCAAAGAACGTCCTGGACAAACTGGTGGAGAAATGGGATCCGCGTCGCCCAAATGTCGACAATGAAAAGGGATTGTCGCCTGCAGACAAGGAGCATAATCTAGAGGAAAGTGAAAACAACGGTGTCATAAGGTTTGACCCAGGCATGGATAACGAAGACTCCCTCACAGATGGAATAAGGATATTCACCTCGGGATGGGATACTTGCCCCAGACAAGCCTCCAGGAATGGCAGGCCTGAAACAAATGGTGAGGATGCAGGCACCATATCAGTAGCCTACACAGATGGAAGCGCATACAATAATGGAACCGCTGAGGCGCGAGCTGGTGCTGGAGTGTGGTTTGGAGACAATGATGAACGGAATATCTCCATACGTTTACCAGGCCCGCACCAGACGAACAACTCAGGAGAAATTCGGGCCGTCCTAGAGAGAGCCCTGGCAGCCGTCCAGAGAGTAGCGATGCTGACGAAATCTGACTCGAAGTACGTGATAGGTGGCCTGTGCTTCAACCTAAAATGCTGGGAAAATAGAGGCTGGATCGGGATCTCGAATAGTGATGTATGGAAAGCTACGGTGGCTGCACTCCGACAACATAATGCCCCAATATTTTTCCAGTGGGTAAAGGGCCATAGCGGGGACTCTGGAAACGAAGGAGCAGACGAGCTAGCTGGGCGAGGAGCACAACTTGGGGAAGACGAAGCATCCCCAGCAAATGTTGATATTGATCACGAGTTCAATGTTGACGGGGCAAGGCTATCAACCCTGACCCAGAGTCAAGCGTACAATCTCCTGCGAATGGCGGCTGCAAAGGAAGAACGGTCGTCATCCCAACGAATAGTCGCGCAAGTAATGGCAGCAGTGAAAGAGATAAACGGCGTCGAACCGATGGCCACCCGGCTTTGGACGTCAATTCACCACAAAGATGTATCAAGGCCAATACGAGGCTTCCTGCGGAAGGCACTCCAGAATACTTTCAAGATTGGAATCTTTTGGGAACGTTTGGGACCTCAGTATGCAGTGCGAGGCGAGTGCCCTCATTGTAAGGTGCCTGAATCAATGGAGCATATTCTTTTAGAGTGTAATATCGAAGGCCAAGCCACGTTGTGGAAGCTAGTACGAGAACTGTGGGAAGGCAAAGGCCAAAAGTGGATTCAACCAAGCCTAGGTATTGCGCTGGGAGCAACACTGATACAGATCCAGAATAGAAAAGGAGACGTAGACAAAGCTGCTACCAGGATGTACAGAATCCTCATGACAGAGACGATTCATTTAATTTGGAAGATTCGGTGCCAACGCCGGATCCAGAGAGGAGATGACGACCCTTCGGGATGGCACACAAGAGAAGAAATCCGGGGTCTATGGATTACTGCGATGAACCGCAGATTGATGATCGACCGCATGCTAGTGGATAAGCGCAGATATGGCTCAAAAGCGCTGACGAAGGCGGTAGTATTAGCAATGTGGAAAGGTACATTACTGAATGAGAAAGCCTTACCGGAGGACTGGTTAGACCAGAGCGGGGTTTTAGTGGGTATAGTGCCGGGCTGTAAGAGGCCGCGAGGAAGGCACCGAGTCCCACACTGACCTGAATAGTCGTGCATAATGGCATTTCCCCGTGGCGCTCCCTGGTTTTGGCTCTCATCGTTATGGTCTCTCGCAGGGTATGATATGTACCATCTTGTCCGTATCTAAGATGTCCTAGGGCAGAGGTTCAGCACGTCAAATGGACACGACATTCTCCACCTGCCTCGGCGAAGTATTTCCCGAATACATCATCGAACGATGCATCCTCTCGGGTAGCTTTTAGTTGCTGCACGAGAAGGTTAAGCTTTAACATATCGTCAATTCGAGATACTCCACACTTTTTTGATGAAGCCTTTCACTTCAGTATACATGTCAGCGTTAAGCATCCGGCCTAAATACCACACATCCACCTTGAAGGGACAATAGGGATCGCCAACGAGCATTTCTGGTGCGTATTCTCGAGCATACTCTCCCATTCTTCCCACTCGGACGTTGGGTAGGCTAGTGATTTTCCTGCTCGCAGGATCCGAGTCCTTATCGAAACAAACCGCCAGTTCGGAATCGGTAATATAATATCGAATAGGGAATTGAGATCGAAATGGCCAAGTGACATAAGCATCCTTATTTCCATCAGGCTCCTTTTGGTATCCAATAAAATTGAACAGGATGTTATCGCTGTCAAGATCCTGGAGTATTTTCAGTGTGATATAGGCGACCAGTGGCAAAACATACGAGATGCGCAATCATGTTGTCATGGCAGTACTTAATGCCCTGGCAAAAAGAAAACAACAGATTCAGTTAAACTCCAGAATGTCTAGACGAACGCCATACCCTGAATATTTGCACCAGATAATCAAGTATCTCTTCCACGTCGTAGAACCACGGTATAGACTCACAATCGCCGTGAGAAAGAAGAGGGAAAACAGCGAATCTAAGCCCATCGAATTCAAGCTCATTCAAGAGAGGAAGTGAGTAGTTATCTCCTCGGAAGCAGTCTGTCCTTCAGAGAGGCGTCGGAGGGTTTCATGGTGCCCGCTCCCGGTGGCATCGCCGTCAATACTAACTAAACGAATGAGAACGTCCTGATTATGAGCGGTGCGCGCCGGACAGTGGATATTATTCTAAATGCTCGGTAATGAGTAAGGGGAACTGAAAGCTCCCAAAAATTGAACGTACGAGGTGGCCAAAGATCATTCTTCCAATGTCGAGGCCTGGTTCACATTGATAACGACTCACGAAGGTGTAACCGTCAGGTCGACGAGGTTCGTCGTTTGGCGGGAAAAGCTCCAGATGGTCTCGAAAATCACCTCCCAAGCCCCATACATTCAGATTTATCCACAAGGTATAACCGTTTTCCTGGAAGAATTTTCGAAGTGGCTCACGTCTCCAGAGGTCGTATGGCCAGCTGCCTTCTAATTTCCAGCATCTGTCGCGCCATTCCTGTAGTGTCTTTGGCCATTCGAGATGCGTCATGGATTGGGAGCGCGAGCGAGGTGGTGATAATCTTCAGATTATCATGAATGGTCTCTGACATTCAACAGTCACCGTCGGAAGATTAGAACTCCGCCTTCTTACCATTGGGAGGAGTACGAACTCCGTCGCGATTAATACCGTGGACCGATCTTGCGGCTGGAGGTGAACGTCACGTCGATTGAATTCAAGCTCGTTCAAGAAATAATTATCTCCCCCAAAAGCTTATTGGAAGAATATACCATCCGAATCTACACAAAGCTGGGGAAAGATGGCGGTGATGGTCAGAAGCTAAAGATAGCTATAGATAACCTCCAGAAAGGAACGAAAGAGTCGGCAATTATCGGCCGATCATTCTTCCTCTTTACCCACCACCCAATTGAACTCAGCTCTATGCGGACCTTAGTGACTGACTGGCATTCTCGCTTTCGAACCTCAATTTATTTGGAATGAAATGCCTTTGGAACATGGCAATGGCAGCCTCAAGGGTAAGGCGCGCTCGTATCGTCATCCATCAACCTTTAACATCGACCTCTGGTAGGGACAATCTTGCAGGATATCGACTCGGTGTGTAGGATAGATTCGTGGCATCTGCAGCAGAAAAATGGCTGCAAACCTGCCCACTGCTGCCCAAACCGTCGCCCGCATGACCCAACGTGACTGCAACGACTGGAGCCCATTATATGCACGTGAAGAACAGGCGACCCACCTCTCGACCACAATTAGGGCTTGGAGGAGCCGTAAGGATGCTCTACGTCTGGATCTTTATGCATGCCTCCTCGTGTTGTTAGCCAATGATCTCAATTTAGTCTGTCGGTACTATGGTTTGGAGGCAAGGACAGCTGGAAGGTGCGCGCCTTGATAGTCCGCCAGCTTTTTGTGCTGATTATATCTGCAGAAAGGATAGAGGGATCGCCACCTTTCACAGACCTTTGTCTAGGTCAACATCTTAGTCACAAGCTCACCTTGAAGACAGTCGAGCCAGCGCAGGCATTTATGTACGACGCGTCACGGTGAAAGCAAACTTCCCTTCGCGCGTGCGCGCCCGGTATCCCGATTATCATGAAGACGCTCCCGATGGTGTCGTAGTAGGTCTGCCTTCGTAAAAGTCTATACATGCGCTTATGTTTTTCTCTCGCAGGGCCTTGGTTTCCGAAGACGCTGGTCCATCTGTGCCTTCATCAACAACTACAACGGTTCTACACGCGTCTTCATAGATTCACCTGACATCATCAAAAGTGGAAGAAAAGGCGCTTCCCCATTCTGGAATACGTGGGGGGCCTTCCATACAGTACGTCGGGGACGAGGACTTGTTGGTTTCGATATAATGTCCGGAGCGAAAGTGGAAGGAACACATTTTTTTTGTTCACGGGTGGGAGGCTTGGTCATTTGGGTCTAGCCTTGTCTATGGACACGTCAATTTGAAGGCATCTTCCTCTGTGACCATTTTGGTCGCCTCTCCATTAGCTGCATCACTACCGTTTCCATAGGTTAGCCGTATCAGCTGGATTGAGGTATCTGAGACTTCGTGGCATGAAAGCCTGCTGCTGGAAATGGTGGTGCTGACGGTGCCATCATCGGTCGCCCACCTTTTACTCGATCATCCCCGCAGGCTTCCATCCACTGAGGACAAATGTCGGTTTCACATGCTGTCTTCCATGGCGCCAACGACACGGCCAACAGGGCGGCAGCGATCGAGAGGGAAATTGTGACCACGGTACCAGGAAACTCGTGATCTCTTCTGGTTACCGCCGCCGCATCGTACACAGTTAGGCTGCATCCTTCCCACCTGACTTCTCGACGAGGTCCCCGCGCTCCTTTTGGTTCTACATCGCGACGCGAGAGTATGCGGTTGCCAGAGTCCGACGAGTTTTATGCGGCGACCAGTTATTTATATCTCGCCTTGCGCAGTCGGCCCTGTACGGAGAGTGGCTGGCGGGAGCCAGGCCAGGGCTGGTCATATGTTGTTCGGTGGGTTCTATTCATATATGTCCATGTAGTGGTTTTGACTCTTAGTTCTTAGGCAAGATGAATTGCTCTTCACTCACTTGGTATCGCCGTCCAACCTACGTACTGTGCGATATTGTCTCGAGTGACTGATGATGGTCAATATATCCTTCTGGTCCCTCTTCTTGAGCACAATGACACACCATCCAGTGTTACAGCAGCCATATCCCCGGACGTGATCCTCCCAAGTGTCGGCCATTCGTCGGGAGCTTCGCGGGATCAGGTGCCCTCCATTTCGTGATAAATATAGGTCGTGCTATTTTGGATGCAATTACTACCGCCGTTTTCTAACGGAAATGAAAGACACGTCGTTTCATTGTGGAAATGATCTAGAAGAGAAGGCTGGAAGAGACGATGGAGAAACTTATGTCCAGCCCCACGGGCGTGCAAAAACGACTAAATGTACAGTCAGAGTATCGGCTGAAGCTATAAGAGCTGACGTCTTGACGGCTCGTAGGGGATGGGGCTGGTGATCTGCTGCGTCGCGTAGAGAACCGAATGCTCTAGCTACGCAGGAGACGCGTAATGCCTTTTTGAGACTGTAAACCGTCGAGACCGCATAAACAAAAGGGTTCATCAAGCGACGGTCAACGTCACATGGCGTTCTAGATGCTCTTTACTGACTCGGATTTTGCGTGAGCACTGAAGACAATGATAACTAATCGGGTTGGGTCAAGTCACTGTGATCCGCCCAACACGCCAATGGTTTTTACCTTGCTCTTTTTTTAGCACTGAAACCACTCACGCATTTCTCTTAGAATTTGTCGCCTACTTAATTTTCCTCCGTGGTTCATCCAGCACAGTCCCTCTAAACCGTATATAAACCTGGACATGTCGAGGTTGAAGCAAGCATCCTTTGTCTGCTTTCCTATCACAACATGTTCAAGCACGCTTTCTACCAGTTTGTTTTCACCGCCGCTGTTCTCGCACTTGTGTCGGCTATCCCGACTGGGGAGCTCGAACAGCGAGCAAGCTGCACGATCTCCTCTGTCTCCACTGCTGCGTCCATCTCGAGTTGCTCTTCGGTCACCATTGAGGCATTCACCGTTCCGAGTGGAAGTAAGTCAACGTCCGTTATTCCTTCTACGGTGTTTCTTACTAACGACCGTACGTTTTAGGTACCTTGACCCTCTCTGTGAGTAGCATATCGAATATCCTTCCTTTAAAACTGTATCTCACGTACGACACTAGCCGATGTCGGGCGCGACTATCACCATGGCTGGTGATATCACCTTCGCCAAAACCACTAGTGAGTATCTTTCGTAGTATTCTTGTTAAGTGCATCCTTACTGAATCCACTCCTAGGTGACGGCCCGCTCTTTACCATCGATGGCGATGACGTCACATTCAACGGCGCGGGATATACATTTGACGTGAGCAGAAACGGATTATTTCTTACCTTTCTGTAGTTCAACCCATCTTTCAGGGTAATGGCGCTGATTACTGGGACGGTGAAGGCACAGATGGTGGTGTTGACAAGCCTCATCCATTCTTGAAGTAGATTTTTTTCGTCTCTTGATGATGCCTAAGTTGATGTGTTCCCTAGGTTCAAGGGCTCCGGCACATACTCTGACTTCACGGTCAGCTAGATGTTCTCTACTCCGGAATACTGCTGAATAGGGAACAATAGGTTTTGAACAGTCCCGCTCAGGCTATTTCCATCGGAAACAGTGACGGCCTTGTCTTTGATAGCATCACTGTACGCTCCAATTTCGTGTCAGCTTCCTGGGTTTACAAGTGCTTTCTAGGTCGACGACAGCGACGGTGATACCGATGACCTAGGCCACAATACCGACGTGAGTAGAAGTAAATGTGACTTAGCTGCGACTAAAAAACTGATGCTCTGCAGGGTTTCGACGTTTCCGCTGATAATGTGACTATCAAAAACTCGGTCGTCAAGAACCAGGATGATTGCATTGCTATCAACTCTGGCTCGACTATCGTGTACGCCGAGTCATTCCACCTGTGAAAATAGTCTCTCATGAAGTCTCTTAGTTTCGAGAACAACAAGTGCTCTGGCGGGCATGGTATCTCTATTGGTTCCATCTCCAGCGATGCAACCGTCTCTGGCGTTACCATCTCTGGAAACACCGTCACCGACTCGATGTATGGATTCAGGTAAAGCTTTTTGTTGTCCACCTGTACTCGATTTCTGAGTGAGACTCACTATGCGCAGAATCAAGGTCAAGGCCACAGCTACAGATGCGTCTGTATCCGGTATCACATATTCTGGGTGAGGACCGGTCGATCTCTCGTGGTCTCACGGAAAACTAAAAGGCAATCTATTTCTACAGCAACACCCTCAGCGGTATCGATGAATACGGCGTTCTGATCACTCAGTCTTACCCTGACGATGATGGTACCCCCGGAACTGGCGGACCCATTTCGTGAGTCAGCTTCATGCGAGGAATTCGAGTCGATGCTTGATGTCGTTTGATAGGGACGTGAACTTCACTGGGAGCGCTACTACCGTCGTGTAAGTCTCGTGCCGTGTATCTCTTCTTTAATGTCCTCACCTGTTGCTTCTTATCTCCAGGGTTGGAGATGACGCCGAACGACTGGTTGTCGACTGCGGTTCCTGCTCTGGGTAAGCTTTGTTCTTGTGTGATTTCTTGCAGTGCGTTAATGATATAATACGATAGAACGTGGGATTTCTCCAAACTGACGATCACTGGTGGTTCGGAAGGAACAATTTCCAGTGACGATGCTACTGTGCGTCTTTTTCTTCTGTCTCTTTTTGGGGAGTCATGAAACGAATGCTGCCCCTAGATCTCCGGTGGATCGTATTAAGGGGAGGAATTTAGTATTTGTTCCGTAATTCGTTGTTACCGATCCTATTTATGCTCAAATGTCATTTCGGAATATTCACCTCGTTATTTGACCCAACTCTCTTCAGGACCCAAAAACTTATCAGTTCGGCACTCCTCATTCGTGAAGTGGACGCCTCACTGTGGGTAACAAGTTCGCAGGTCCAGTCTTAGAAAGAAACGATTCCAATTTTCGCGATCCTTCACATGAACATCCATGTATCATTGCATCACGAACTCCAGGCGCCATTGATGATCCTCTTGCCAATGCCATGGGGCGTATGGTGGTGCGCACAGGCCAATGATCCTGGCCCTTCCTAGTCCATAACGATGAATAAAGTCCTTGATTTCGGAAATTCGGTGCGTAACCCCGTTCTTCGGGAACATGCTGTGAAGCTCAGACATCCTTACCACCTTGGCCTTTGGCGGTAAGGCGATGGTCACGGTGTCTATGGGTGTATTCCAAAAATCACGCCCAGCAGGCTCACGAATATCTTGTAGCATGGCTTCCCGCTTGCGATCGTTAATCCGGATGGCTTGCCTTGCCATAAAAGTGAGCATATCGTAGTCGCGTGAGCAAATCTGCATGAATTTGGAGCCCTCTGCTGGGAAAATGTGTCAGTCGTAACATGCTTTAACCAAAAATGATGCTATCCATACCAGTTCGTAGTTCCAGGCATGACTTCTTGTGGTTGCTCCAATCACTAGATTGGCATTCCGATGAACAATACTCCACGTTCTTGCATCCTGAGCATGTGGCAAAGGGGTGCGCTGACGCTTGTAAAGTATTCGTACACTGTGTGCTGATGAGAACGATCCATAAAATAGTTAGGAAATCGAAGCACCTCTGAATAGGAGCAGTGACTTTTTCCCTCTCTCTCATCATGCTCAACTTTGACGAAAGTATAGAAATCTGCTGCCTCCTCCAATTCGCTCCACGAATCGTTCAGCCAATCGGGAATCTCAGCCGTCCGTCTTTCTACCGCCTTAATGGATCGGTTTATTTTCCGCAGCAAGGTGCGATAGCCTCAGGCCAGGCAACGATAAACATCAACGATGGAGGACATTGCGTTGCACGTCTTTGAGCCGAACATACCAATCGATTCCTCATCCGTCATAAACCTTGATAGTTTAACAATATACTCCAAAATACCGAGATCAAGTAGTTTTGCCGCCTTAGCAATCGTGGAGTCTGACCGTAGGCGGGTTTCGACGAAATCGAACAATTCCCACAGGGCGAGACCGGGTGTCTTTAAGATGTCACTAGAAGGATCCCATCTGGACCCTGGCTCTCGGCCTGCCATGTCTATAAATCGGCGAAGTGCGTAGAGAGTCCATCCAAGGATGTCGTTGTCCATGAATTCCTGACATAATATTGTCGATGAACATCCCCTCTTAACCAGAGCGAAATGGTCCGAAAAGGCGCGTGAGTCGATTGGGGTTCGGCAAGCCTGTTCGATGACGGATAGCATGCAGAGTCTGACATACTGAGATGGTTCCTGATGGATTTCCTTCAGGACAGGATTGTGCCGCGTGTCATGCTTGTCCAGGGGAAGGAAAAGATACAAAAGCCGAGTCTCCTCCACCGCGCATGAATGTCGCGACTTCCAACTCCGGTATATCAAAGGCCCAAGTTCGTCTGATTCAGCTATCAATTCCTGAAGTTCTTCATATGTGCCGAAGGATAGTTTATCAATGAGGCGAACAGCATGCAACGGATACGTATGGCATTCGTGGTTGAGCAGATAGATGGACCAAGCGAGAATGTCAGGCCAGAGTACTACGAGGCATTTCCTGTCTTCCTTTGTCTGAATCCCATGATATATTTCAATAAAGCACTGCAGCGCATCGGATGTGTCCTCATTTAGATAGGCGGGTACTTTCCCAATATGTAGGTGACGTGCGAAAACGGGAATGAAATAAGGGAGGATATTGTCGCTTGAGACTTCGGTTAACACGGAAGCCGACTGCTTTGCACGTCTCTATGAATGTTTCCATTTTACTGCTTGAAGGTAATGCATATACGTGGACCTTGCTTTGAGAACACCAACTTCAAAGTGGGTGAGACGGTGGGTGGTAGCCATAGAAGTCAACTTAAATGAAAAAAAGTTCACAAAGAATGACAGTGCCGCCCAATGGAGAGCACTTACTCACTGAGACGCTGTTGGTTGATGACGAAGTGAAGGGAAGGGTAAAGTAGCATTCGATGATTGCTTTGACGTGTGACTGGAGAGAGCACCCCGGTCCCCCATATCCGTCTTGTATCCGTCTTCTACCAATTGGGTTGACCATAATCCTGGACAAGCGGGGAGGCATTCGCGAAGCAGTAGAAAAAGCGTGGAAAGTTCTATGAAAATAGTATTTAGTATAAAAGTAGGCACTATCTAGTCAGCAATATCGAGAGAACTTAGTATAAGCCAGAGAAAAGAATCAGCATGATATGTGTAGCTATAGCGTGCTCACTGAAGCTCAAAGTTATCGGCGTTAAATTGGAGTGAACACTAAGACTCAAATTGAACGATGATCGTTGATATACGCAAAAGTATACGTTAACTCAAGGTGTCAATGCCGGCAATTGCTGAGAATAGAATCTTTTTCTTCCTACCATCGCGCATTGTTATCTACGTTCTGTCTCATCCCCATCACTTTTCATTCAATCATGCACCCTGCGAAGAGTCTCTACTCCGCGAGACGCACTCAACAGTGTGATTACAACGGTATGAGCCTTCGCAGCCACAGCGCATGGTTCGCCATGTCAGGGCTGTGGACCCGGCCATTCCTTATTGGGACCTGGCGCCGGTAACACCACCACCAACCACCACCATCAGCACGTTATCCTCCCCTCTTTCCTCCTCAGTTGGAAATCAGGCCTAAAAATGGAAGAGCCAATGAGAAGGGCGAGTTGTGTAGCCAATGAGAGCGGCGACGGAAGCAGGTTCCGACATCCACCTGTTGTATAGTAGAATGACCGCAGACGTTTGCGGAGACTACTGGCTGCCTCATGTTATTTTCAAATTCTCAAGAGTTACAATGCGGGGTTCGTTTATACTTAGCTCTGGCGTGTCCCGATAGAAATATCCGAGATCTACGTGAAACCTGTCGAAGTTGGTTATTTGGAAGCTCAGTATACCTACACATTGACTACTACTCCGTGAGACAATTTCTACCTCAGATACACATCATAACCCCGTTCGCAGATCACGCTCATTTGATCGCCCGAAGCCGTGGGACTAATAGCGCTCTCCAGACAAGAATCTCGTTCCGAGGAATGCTCGACGCTGATACAAAGTACCGACAGACCCCCAGCTTCAAACTTGGAAAAACTCCGCATCCGCGTAGCCCGTACTGACTAGGATCCCTTGATGTGGTTCATACCTCACGACGTCTTCATTGGTCTTGCCTCTGGTGGTGGCGATGTTACCGGCGCCAGGTCCCTGGTATCACGAATTCTCCAATCTCTCACACTGTTCCGTTCCCCCTATCTAATCATGGAGATCCCAATGTTGCTATACCGACACATAGGTATTAAAGGGTCTCTATTCTTCACGACAGCAGCAACCTCTAATGCACTTTGAACGCGAACTTCCGAATGGTCAGGATATGGCTACGTCAGTCATGGTCGAACTCTTGAATACGGGCATCGTCGGCGGTCTTATGTTTGGTAAGCCCGTTGTTGTCGATAAAATTGTGTATTATTGGTTTGACCGTCGATCTTCAGGTGTATATACGACAATATTTGCTATTTCTGCCTGGAACATTCGCACACGTTATACGAATACCTCCGTTCCAGTGTCTCGACGTGCCAAGGGAACGAACACTACTGTCATGACTGCCGCAATCATTGTCTTATACGTATTCTCTTCTCTCCACTTTGCCTTCCTGTGGTACTTGGAGCGACAGGCATTCATCTTGGAGTCGCTCTCCGCTGCCAATCTTCTCCCTCAACACTATGTATATTCCATCACGAGTGCTATATGCACCATCTCGGCCACTAGTGTTATGGTGAGTCGAACCTTTGTTACGAAATAATCGTCTGATATCATTTGACCAGATTTGGCGATGTTGGACTGCCTGGGATCGCTGCTGGCAAATGATCCTACTTCCCATCCTACTAATGGTCTGCGCAACCGGTTCGTATTAGTGCAATTCCTTTCCTCGATACCATCTTCTCTGATGTCCTCCTCCTTCTTTCGTCGTAGTCTTCTATACTCTCACATGCTACCCTAACGATGTCCAAGCTCAAGCGGCAGTCGCATATCTCTGCTTGGTCCTTGCAGCGAGCATCTATTGCACCTGCTTCGTCATATATCTTGGCTTCTTTGATTTTGTAGCACTCTTCTCTGCGTACTGCATCTCACTGATCGTCTACCTCGTTGCATTCGTACGGGATGAGTCGTGGCGGACGTATGCGGATGTGTTTCATTTCGCCATTACTGTGGGTTTAGCATTAGCATCTCTTTTAACTGGTTACTCATGTTCGTCACAGTGCATCACACCTACGTTGATAATCATGCGTTCAGTGCCACACGATGTTGCGGAAGGTGGTAGGAGGACGATATCAGTACCTATTTTGCCTGTGGAGCAGGGAAACGTGTATCCGGAAGACAGGAGGGATGCCAAGCCAATACCAACCACAAGGAAAATAGATGCGAACTCAGAGAGAAGCTATTGGTACGATGACGATTGATATGCTGATGTTACTGTATTCTTTATTGTATTAAACAAGGCAGAATGTACCTTCTGGAAAACAGCCGAGGATCAAGATGTTCATGTTATTTTGTAGCGAACGAAGTTGTGTTCCGGCTGAGCACGGCGGCTACACTGATAAGCCTAGCCGGGGATAAACTGCCGATGCGATTGATGTCAGTTGGCGCAGGTTGGCGCCGACTTGCGATATGCTGTGTCGGAATAGTTCCGGGCAAGATCAAATTACTCTAGTATTTTCGGGATTATGCGAAGTTCAAGATAGTTCAAAATAAAACGAATTGGAATAGAACCCGCTTGAAAACATGGCAATGACGTCTTTGCATTCTGTTTGCAAGCTGTTCACAGAAAAGTCGTTCAGATCCAGTTTTGGTGTAGGCTATGAATTCATCCCGTTCACTGTTCAGTCGGATAGTTTAATCAACACAACAGAGATCGTCCAGGGCCCGGCAGTAACCGGCAGTTTAGTTTTCTGTCCCAGCTTCCCGGTGATGACATTGATGACACAGTTCAGTGAGCATAAAGAGCAGTATGATCGAACCGAACCTTGTAAAGTTGAAGACCCATGATGGCCGACGATAAGCAATGATATGAGATTATCTCTGTATTCACCTAGGGTACTAGGAAGTAACACACGGAACAGTGGATATATACCAGATTTGTCTGCACGATGCATATATGCAAAGGATCTGGAGAGCAGTTGAATTTAAAAGGAGGTTCTCAGAACGGGATAACGCGAGGCATACCGTCATGAATAGCGCCGCAGACCCGCATCAACATCGATATAAGTCACCTGGTGAACGGGTAGGATCCTTTAGATCAGATCAGCTGAACGTTGCATGTCAATCCCTCTACTGCATGAAATCTATCTTCTCAATAATCGGATGTTCGGGAACTCAAGGTAGGCTCCTTCCGTAGTACTCAAGCGCCTAAGAGCCAAGTGCCCAAGATTCAATTTAAGGAGCAGAAAGTTATGGGCGAATTTAACTAACGATTAAGTCCTTTGCAGGAGTATACTGAGGCCATTGAAATCCTCGTCGAATTGCTGAACAAATCCTTGCTGTTATCAGTTGATTAAGCTGAGTGGCGGCCTAATCCGCACCACAGTGGTCCAGAGGGAAATAAAAGCGCCAAAAGAGCACGAAGGCTAGACGTAGCCTCCGGTGTTTTCCAAGTTCCACCAACGAGAATGTGACGACGATCTACAAGCCGTATCAGGGTGAGAACAAGCTCAGTTATCAGTGTTTGAGATACGCAAACCTAGTTAAACCGAAACCGCGGCTGGCGCTTGCTTTGGTTCCTGACAAATGATGTGCCGTTTTATGCTTAGGCAGTCTCAAGTCCTCGAGGTTATCAGATGGTTTCTTTCCTGGCGATAACCTGACTTTGAGCCACGGGTGCCCTCACTCCTTCCTTTATAATCTTGGGCTGGCTTTGATACTGACACCACAAATATCGTAGCCGTTGATTTTAACCTGCCCCTCGCCCTCCTCCTAGTTCCTTCTCTTCCTTTCTTCCAGCTCAGCGGCTCTCTTCCAAAGGCCCAAGCCTAAACGCCGGTTAACCGTTGCAAAGTAATTGCTTTACCTTATCGGGGACCGAGTGAATGTACCCAACCCTGTGGCCGCTATCTTTCGACTTACAACGCCTCGACCTTTTTCACCCTCGTCATGCTCGATACGGGCCTTATTGTCCATCCCCAACCAGCCCTCCGATACGATATTTTACAGCGGGCGAAGCACCTGAGGTTTGTGTTGATCTTCTTAGCATGTTCAGCTCCTCATTTCGACTCTTGGGCAGACTGATTTAGATCAGGCGCTGAGAGAAATTGCAGAGAAGATCGACCCGCTGCAAAAGCTGGAGACTCGACTGGCCAAACAGTATGGTATGACTAGCGTCTTCGACTCTGTGGATGTCTTCCAAGAAGCCAAGGCCAGAGCGTTATCGCGGAGAGACGCGCAATCTGTTTCGGCATCCAAGGCTCTCAATACACTCTACGAGCTCCGCCTCGAATTTGCAATCAAGCAGCGCGCGCTTCGCTACAAAGTGAAACGTGAATGGCCCTTGATGACAAGCGTTACGGTAAGATTATATTTTTGGACATCCTCCTTGATATTCATCGACAGCTTTGTAGACCCCGTGCCGCGTTGACGCCTCTAGATTTTGGGCGGTCGTCATTGGCATTGATGCATACAGAGTATCTCCACTGCGCGGCTGCGTGTCAGACGCTTTGTTAATGGAGAAATTCTTAACGGAGCACCTTGGCGTGCCCAAAATACGGGTTCGCCGCCTTATCGGTACCCAGGCAAATACATTCCCAGACGATCCCTCTATTCCCTCCCGTGTCAATATTATTCGAACCCTTCTCAGTGTCATGACCAACCCGCAGATCGAGTATGGCGATAACATCATCGTCTATTATTCTGGACACGGCTCGCACTACTCCTGTTCAGAGTACTTCCAGAGTCGGGACACGGACTCTGACGATGAGGAATCCTCTGCTGCAGGGAGCGGATCTATTGAGGCCCTCTGTCCGATGGACCGTAACACTCTCGACACCAACGGTATCCCTGTCCCTGACATCAGCGACCGAGAGATCAACACAATCCTTTTCCAGATCTCTCGCATCAAGGGACATCGAATTACTCTTATCCTAGACTGTTGTCACTCCGGTGGTATGACCCGGGACCTGCCTGAACCAGGAGTTCGCACCGTCTCCCCACTTGCTTCGCTCGAGGAGATGCTCCTTGCCGCAGACGAGACCTTGAAGCACTTCCCTAATTATAGATCCGTATTGGCAGAGGACTGGCTCCCGGATATGAATTCTCACGTGGTACTGGCGGCGTGCAGGGAGTACGAGTTCGCAAAGGAGCAGCGAGGAAAGGTTGGGTTCAACGGGATTTTCACCCAGGACCTTGTTCGCACTCTCAAGTCTGGTCACTTGGGAGAAGGATCGACATATGTCGACCTTGCACAATCCTTGCCTCGCTCGCGCCACCAGACGCCAGTCGTTGCTGGGAAGAACAAATATTCGCGATTGTGGTTCCAAGATTGATGGTGCTAGCAATATATGCATGTGGGAAGCAGGCCTCCCATTGACAGGTTGGTGTCCGGCGCTGTGTATGACTCAACTGATGACCATGACAAGTAGACTAATGGTATTATACGTCCTGATATAGTTGAACATAATTCGGTACCAGTTAATACGCATCTCAACAAGACCGCAGTAGTATATCACGATCCAGAATAACATAGACGTTATTTAATGTATGGTAGGTTCTTGGCTGTGAGAACCATAAGCTCACGCGCTTTGTACGTGGGGTCCAAAACTGGAGAGGACAGTAGCCTCCCCTGGAGCCTTTGTGATTGTGACGTCCAGGGCTATTCTAGTACAAGTATGGTCAGTTGCCAATCAACAGAAGATGGAACAGATATGGAAAACTAACACGGGGTGACAAAGAATTTGTGGCCACCACAGAACTTCATTGTTGAGAAAGTGAAGCTGGTAATAATGAATTCCTAATTCATCCTTCTCGTCTGGTTAGAGACAAGACGAATGACGACGAAAAAGCAGTCGAAAGGTGCAACATACTGTATAGACGTCTAAGCCATTGCCCAGCCAATGACCGACAAATATTAGACCGTCGCTTTCTAAGTGGAACCAGATTAGAGGCATTTTCGCTGAGAGAATAAGAGCTGAGATTGGTAATTCATACTTTCAGAAGCGCCTTTTATAACCTCGTAAAACAATGAACGGGGCCCGTTTTTGTGAAGCCTCGAGGAAGACAGGAGGCTCCGTTTCCTAGGGAAGTTTGTGTTACTCATATTCACGGCGCGTAAAGCACATTTCTCATGCGCACCAAGATCGTCGATAACGTGAGGAAGCGGATTAGTGGAACCATCGCCTCTTGAGCACTATCACACATCTAATGCGAACCGAGTTTCCGATTCCTATGTATTTGATTTGTTGAACATATGGCATGACTGGGAATCGTCGCGATGATAAGCACTGTGAATACTCGAGAGTGAATCCACATAACCCGAGAATTGAGCTCACCAAAGTATTCAAGCAGAATATTTCGCATCCAGGATCTGGGAGCCAGATTTATCTGCCGCTGTGAATACGCGGTGCCGATGCAGGACCTGATCTTTAAATCTCAGTTCCTCATCAATACGTGAACATAGAAATTTGAACGCGGAGATAATCGAAATTCGATTGACTAGAAGCATGTTGCCACAGCAAGACGTCCGCGGAAAAGGCAGATTCCGTACTAAGACACGAGATATTCGTCCTAGTTAGCGAACTAGCACGCCCTCCGCATGATGTTCCATTAATGGATTCCAAGATCTTCGGTTCTTTGACTACACGTGCCAAATACGTGGCTACCATATCCCGTGAAAACTCCCAAGAGTCGGCGACAGTGTGGGAGTCTGCCGTAGTTGTCTTCACACAGGTGCAATAAAAGCGCCACAGTCGGCAACCGGCAACGCGGGTTCAATATATTTTTAGAGCAAGCGTATCGTTGGTTACAGAGGGACATGACATGAGTTAATGGGTCCGTTATCCCTAAACGTTGACTCATTAGCACGAGGCCCAGAAATCAGGCGAACTTAGCGCCACGTACTACAGAAAAACCTAAAGCGCAGCCGCTCCTAAGAGCAGCTGTACAGGAAGTTGAGGACATCCTGAAAGAAACTTGAACCAGTACGTCTACCATATCATGGACGGAGACTGACCCTAGCATCATCGTCCCATGGCTTGACACCCTGGCACAACAACTCCTGCACTTCATCGTCAGTGAATCCGTTATTGTTCATCCTCTCTTCCATTTCATTTTCGAAATCCCAATCGAGGTCACCCCCAAAGTCTTGGCGGAAGCGATTCGCCGTCCGAGGGGCGTGGGTTTTGCCACTGGAGGTTTTCTTCCCTTTTTTCTTTGACTTCTTCTCGGGCACATCGGAGGAGACCTTGGAGGCCTCAGGTGTAACCTTTTCTGAGGCTGCGGGAGTGGCGGAGGCGGAGTCTATGTCCTCCTGCGTGAGGTGGTTGCGTGAGTGAGAGTAACGGCACTTATAGTCGCCGAATCGGCAGTAGCCTTTGAGAAATTGCAAGCAGACGTTCTTCCCCCTAGAGCATCCAGATAAGAAGACAAACTTCCCCTTGATACAAGAGCTACGTACCGCGAATCCTGTATACTATCAGAGTCGGCAGAATGCGAGTAGGCGCACTTGTCGCCCTTGATACAGCCTTCGTGGTTATAGAAACGACAAGCAATACCGTTTCCTACGTGAAGAGAGGCGTTAATCGACATTTTATGCTTGTATGGCATAGAAGGCAAGATGGCAGTGACTGGTGAAAAATCTAATTCAAGTCCAGACGCGCCCTTATACCGTCACGTGGTTCTTGTTGACGCATCACGAGACCTCGCAGTCCGGACCGACATGCCGTTCCAATGTAGCCGGTAAGCCACTTCAATAGATACTCGCGGAACTCCTAAGTATCCAATGAGCTGAGCTTCGCAATTCATGGATATACGCGCAGACACTAGGTATTTGGTATAGATTCCAATAATGCCTAAGCAGTACATAGTGTGGAGTCCATTGATGCATACAATTGATCTCAAATTGCTCTTCCGCCGACCAAAAAAATCAATCAGTTCGTAGCTTGCATCAATACATCTTTGAGAGCAGAGCGTACTGCTGTTCACTTTTACACACTAAGAGTATCGACATCGATCAGTTCGCATAATAATGCGCTGAATTCTTAGGACATACTTTTTTTGTGCGCGTTCCAGTGATCCTTCTGGCAAGCCCGGCTGCAATAATGTACCTATTGGACAAGTATAAAATCAACTTCTTTTTCGAGATGTAGAGGGAAATAGAGTTTTCACCTTCTTACAGCCAGAGCACTGCTGCCATTGCTTCACGGTTTCTTCCCTCTTTCCGCATCCTGGTTCGCTGCATGTTCTTAACACATGCTGTTTCACGAAGACGTCGTTGTCCACCCAACTCACGACATCTAGCTTCGACCATAAGTCCTGCGTAAGCCACAGGTGGTCATGAGCCGTTTCTCGCCCGTTCATTGAACGGGTTGGAGTGGCTTTAAGGTCGGCTGCATTAATACAACAAATCTTCATCAGGAGCGGTTGAGAAGCCTATGGTGGATCTGGAATTACATGGTCTCTTGGAATTTGCAAGCACCTTTAAACGTTGACAGCGTTAGGATCAGATACCATTATGCGAGAGGGAGACCTACTTTGATGAGCACCTGAGGGTTTGCTTTGACAGCGGCATGTAAATATTGTCGAGCAAGCTCGCAGTCGCCCCAGAGAGTAAAAGCTGCCAAAGCTGCGGGGTAGACCATTTCGTCATGAACCCATTTAATTTTCTTAGTTAGGGGTGCCGAAGACGGCTCCTTCAAGTCCATTCCACTTCCGGGCGGAGTACCGTCAGTAGAGTTAATCCATTGCTGAGTAAAATAGAGTGCGTCGGCCGGACGCCCTGCTTGTAAGAGCAGCGACCCGACCCAATATCGCTGTCCCATATTGTCCGAACTGCAGATGCGGAGAATCTCGAGTGACAAGTCTCTGCGCAGCGTATCGCAAATTAGCCAATGACCGACAGAAAAAACTACTGTACATACATGGCTTTGGTCCAGTCCTCTAACTGAACATATATACGCGTCATGGTACCAAGGAGACGCATATACGGCCGAGTTTCAAGTATACTCCAGAATTTAGGCGCACCATACCGCGCATTGTCTTCAAAGCAGTCCTCTCCGAGCGACCTCTTCAGGCCATCACGACCTAGACAGAAGTCAATACAAAGAACGTGTAAGATAAAACCGGAATAACGACGAGCCTTGTTGTTCCCCTCTCTTCAAGAACTCGATGGCGATATCGGGCGGCATCGCTAGAGCGAGACTAATGCATGCATCCAAATTACGGGGGTCTTCCATAGCCTTCAAAAGAAAAGGTATTGCTTTCTCAGGTTTTTTTTTGTTCATCCATTCCTGTCCTTTGTCTAAGCTGTATTATCAGAATATTAGCACTGAGAATAAAACACTCTACGATGGATAAAAACGCGCTCACTTGCTCTGTGATTCCTTGGATATGGCGCCACCACCAAGTCCAAATATTCCTTCAGCACCCCAGCGCCTCATGGTCAGTGTCAAAGTGAACGGGAGTGGAAGCGAATTGTAACGAGGGTGATTAGGGGCGTGGGAATATGCGTGGATCACCATCCGCGTTCCGGATCGGGCCGCATCTCTTTATGTTACTGCCATGAGTGAAGGTATTCCTTTGCTTTTCTTCTCCGTCCGTTATGCAACATATTATCTATCCTTCTAGTCGAGCTTAATCCGCTGCTGGACTTCCTGGCCGGAACTATCAGTGTAAGTGGGCCGTTAGACATACGGCAATTGACTGATTATCTCGAAGGGCATAGCTGGTCTTGTCGTTGGATACCCCTTTGACACTGGTAATTTAACACGCGGTACTACAGCACAATGGCTGATCATTGAATTGCAGTTAAAGTTCGATTTCAGAATCCGGAGATGACGGGAAAGTATCGCTCGACAATGCACGCGCTTGCGACAATCATTAAGGAGGAACGATTCATCGGGATGTATAAAGGGATCACCTCGCCACTGGTATGTTGACTGCGCACCTAGCTCTCGATACACTAATATCTATTTCAGGCCACTGCTGCTCTCATGAACGGTCTAGTGTTCGCGTCGTACCGGTTTTTTATGAAGATTCAATTAGAGAACAGCAGTTCAATTCCTACGCTTACCCAAATTGCTCTTGCTGGAGCTGGAAGCGGCATTGTATCCTCGTACGTACTATATCTCAATGAACCGTGTCTAATCTTAACTGTCTGATCGTATAGCATTGTGACGACACCTACAGAATTAATTAAGATTCGTCAACAGTCCCTTCTTGTCCCAAGCTCAACTTATGAGGTAGCCATGGATATATTGCGAAGGAATGGAATTCGTGGACTGTACCGCGGCATTGGGGCGACTGCACTAAGAGATTTGGGCTACGGATCCTACTTTTTGCGGTAAATTTTCACCTCTCGCTGCCGATAAGTATCTAACAGGAATCGTAGTACGAAGCAACTTCCCGATATTTCACACCAACCCCTGAATCGCCTCTCCATCCCTCTGAGATCCAACTCTTCCTATCACAAGTCGATGGCCAGGTTCGCACGCCTTCATGGATGGCAATGCTATTGGCCGGTGGTGTTGCCGGCATAGGCGAGTCTCACTGAGATCAAAGATGGTGCCACTCATTGTATATTGCTTTTTAGCCGGCTGGGTGACAACTTTTCCCCTTGATGTTGTCAAGACCCGCATGCAAAGCACCGAAAGTTCATATAGAAATTCGATATCAAAACCGAATGCTAGATCAAGCCCCGACTCTCCTCTGCTACCGCCTTCCCCAAATCGATATCGGACCGTGTGGTCCACCATAGTTGTGTCCTATCAGGCCGAAGGACTGGCAGTGTTCTTTCGAGGATTGGCGCCGACTCTTATTCGGTAAGTTCTTCCTTTAGCCATCTTCACGGGTCTGATCCTATGTCACATCAGTGCTGTACCAGTGAATATGGCGACCTTTGCCACATTCGAGGCAGTTATACATGGGTTCTCGTAAGCGTAAGCTCATATTTGACGCTCCAACGTTCGTTGTATTATAGAGTACCATTGGGACCACATTCTCTCCAAAATCAAGGAATCAAATCACGTGTATTACTTGTTATCTTGTCAACTACTCTAGCGCACATCTGCATTCTTATTCGCGACATTCCTCTGGTAAACAGTCATCAGCCAACCGCGCTTGCTGATATGGGCCGAAGTCTTATGATCAAATGCGAAGAATTTCCACGAAGTACTGCATCGGTATGTTGTACTTATTGGGACCGCGTTCACACGGATGCCCTGGAAGCCTTTGTACGTGTCGCGTTTTCTGAAACCAAAGTAAAATCCTCACCAGGCCATTCAGTAAATCGACCAGGATTCTCTGGTAGGCTCTTCTGAGTTACGGGGAGTGTATCCTCAGGATCATCCGAACTTCGGCCTCCTCTATGCGTTCCTTCTAAAATTGGCCCACATGCAAGTCGACAGCCAGGTTCGAACTTCGGACGTCCTCGTTGTATATTCGTGTTATTTGCCGGTACTTTTGCTGGCACACATCTACGTCCGGTTATCATTGAGAATACTGTCAATAGCGTGGAAATGCCGGTTCGAACCAAATGCTTACTGAGCTCAAGTCTGAATATGATTATCGGTCCAAGATTCAAACCATTAGATTGGTATCTACCGTTCCTTCTACAAGTCTCCAAAATTGCTCATATCCTGTCCTCGTGTTGCAGTACATGCCAGTGTGCGTAACGATTATTGCCACCTTGGAGTAGTAACTCGTAACTCTTCATAGCACAGGCTTATGGAGACGTTTCAACGGGCACTACTACCTTGTATTTTTCTTACTAACATATGCGCGATTATACCGCCGCGACTTGTTTGATGTCGCCAACTAATGTGTTTTGATCAGACAATTTAGTATAGTCTTTCCCATCGTCGTAGTCGGCATCGATCATCAACAAGCCAAACATCGGTTCTCGATGTCGAGTATCAGGCCTGCTGACAATTCTTTTAAAGCCCGACTATCGAGCATGTGGAAGCGCCGGAAACATTGATGTCCTCAACTAGGAGCTTAGAACTTCCCGCCTCGGAATGACATACATGCCCGAGCGTCGCTTAGGGTATTGAGGCAGTCGTCAGATCAACCGATCTGCACTGATTTTCCTATTCTGGGGGCAACTGCACCGCTTCTCGCTGTGCGGTGCAAGTTACACGGTCGCAGCAGGCTACATTAGGACGTCGCCTATTAATTGATCAGATTTCGCCGTCTACTATATAAGCACGAGGTATTCAATGCTCGCATCCTACACACCGATCCAGAAAACGACCTACTCTGACATGACCTTCTACGCATACGTTGATGATAACGGCATTTCATATGTCGGCTATTTTGCCGGCAATCCTCATGATCGGATCACTGTTTATTCAGACGGCACGAACAGTTTGGGGTGGTATGACGATGGCCAAGATCCAAATGAGAAAACCAAGGTCGCTCGTGTGATCACCATTTTTGTTCGCTGATTAACCAATAATTTCTAGGGAAAGGGAATACCATGTCTTAGACTCTACTTTGGGAAGAAGGCCGCGTACTTCTTTAGAGATTGTTGTCATCCCGCGTAAGCGCATCGTTTATCTCTTCATGCGCGAAGCTCATGCGATCATGGTACTTACCAGGCCGGACAATCTATGTATGACCCAGTCACCTGTATAGCTTCCTGTGCGCCGGGATGAACGAAGGCGGTAACCTCCCTATGTTTTAGCATGCGATAAACACAAAATAAGAAGCTGCGGACTCGCTTCAATGCCCCCCTAGACACTATTCTAGTATTATGTCTTTATTAATTATACCATATGTATACTCTCATCATCATATCTATTTAGACTTATTCTAATTTCTGCGCAATATGCTGACGAATTTTGGCTGTGCGAGTATTTAAGTGAGGAAGACCTAGAACGTCCTCAGTCAAGTAGTGGGTTCTCTACAGATGAAAGCTAGTAGAGAAGACTTCTGAGTGGATAAGTAGCAGCCTGCGGTAAAGATCGTTAACTCCCGCTTTGATGTCAACGTCACCCAAGTCAGACCGGGGAGGCCGGAAGGAAAAGAATTTGATTGCCGTCTATAGCTATCAACCATAAGGTGATTGTGACGATTATCTTTCGTCGTATACATGGGCTACTAGCCGAAACGAAATTTACGTCGTAATATACTTCGGTAATGACACACGACTTCTATAAGGCATATCTGATCACGGTGATTAGTCCATGAGAGAACTTGGAGAACAACGACTCACCTGAACAAAGGAGAGTCGACTCCTAGATTGGCGAATTCCGCCTTTCGATCCCCTTGAATGCCTTCTTTGGCACAGAGCACCTCCTTAGCTTGGTTGAGTCTGTAGTAGAGACAGATTGTGAACGCCGATGTGACGAATGCCATACACAAGAACCCGAGCACAATGCCTATTGTCATCATTATCTCATTGACGCGAACAAGAGTGTTACATACCGTGACCCATGTGAAATCTTGGAGTGTCCTGTGTTCTGTAGATGAACGAAGAACAATCCTAAAGGAATGAAGCTCAACATGTTTTTCTACGGCTGAGAAGACCAATATTACCCTCCAATATTACCGACACCACTCTGGAGCCCGATAATCACACCTTTCTTCAGCGAGCTGCCCGAGTTCCCTGAGCCCCAGATTAGCATCAGAGGAACCGTCGGAAATACCCCGCATGTAATCAAAATACAACCCGCATATACGACACCCCGGTAGGTTTGTCCGGACTCGTGGCATAGAGCATCGCATTATCCGAGAATAGCGAATAGCGAGCACCCCATGACAAACGGTCCGCGAACCTTTAAATCGGTCGGACAAAGAACCAATTAAGATAGTTAAAAAGGCAACCGATGGCGTAAGGCGGTATTGTCATCCTACGGGATAGAAAGCGTCGGTACTGAGAAACATAACGATGGAAGAGGGAAACACGTACAGTTGAGCCTGAGAAGCGGTGTATCCCAGAGCATTGATGATAGTGGGAAGAAATATCGATATAGAGTATAATGGCATGACCATACTGAGCATCGAAGTCAGCGAGAGGTTTACGCAAATAACGCGCCGTACCCAATATAAATGATAGTTTGCAACCATGACTTATAATCTCGTACGGTTTCCCATACGAATCGCATCTCGAAATGGGATGGCTCTCCCTCATTATCACGGCGAAGTACCTCTACAAGGTGATCCTTTCACTTGGAGTGAGAAATTTGGCAGTGCTGGGATACTACCATGCTAGTTAATAACGACGGTGAATTTTCTTATTGAGGATCCTTACATCAGGCAGTTTCCAGAATGCCAATAGAGAAGCAACGATAGTTACTGATATTAGTAATGTGAACGGTCAGCCACGGTTTCTCGGGAAATTACGCACCTAATCCTTCCAACAAAAACTACATGGCGCGAGAATCAATACTCAGGATGTAGTAAATAATTTATTAATACCGATCACTCACGATCCAGGCCCACCCTCGGAGGTTACCAAGCCTGCAAGGCATCATATCAGCATCAAAGGGATACTACGCAGATCACGTTGACTGACCCGTCCATTTTCTCAATTGCAAACGCGAGTAAGCCACCAAAGGCACCTAAACGGAGAGTAAGCTCGTATGAGGAAATGCTCATGACTTTAACTTACCAGACAGGGTCGCGGTCGAAAAATAAAGCGATAACGGACGCGCCTGGTCCTCACGACGATACCAAATGGTGATGAGAAATGCTGGAGAAATGCATGGAGCGCTGAAGACGGAGTTGGAGATCGAGAAGGACGTACCTACGCCAGGAGGTAGTCCTGCTTCGGCGAGGCCCAAGAACACTCGGGCACTACATAATGGTAGGTAGGCAAGGGGCCCCACAACAAACAGCGAAGGAAACATTACATGACGAGACCGTGATAGCTTTTGACAAATGCCATCGAGAACACTACGGGAATAAACTTCAGAAGACTCGCATGGTATGGTCTACGGCCTGCACTTACTGACAATCCCCCAAGCAAGCATAATTCCGGATACTGTCAGGGAAAAATCAATGAGATGCTGTTGAGCACTGTCGAAGTACTTACTCCAATTTGACGGCTGCATCAGTTTCATAATGACATTACTGTGCAAACGATTCGCTCAGTAGAATCAGATTGACGAGCTACACATCACTTACCATGGTATCTCGAGCAGACTATACGGGATCTACAATGTTGTCAAATGATTCTGAGGGGCATATTAGAGATACTCAAACTCACGAAGAACACAGCCGCCGCCAGCTGATATCGAAGACCTGTTAATTCCAGATCGTTCGCCATCCCCGCGACCTGCAACAGATATCAATGGAATCCATAGACAGCACGATGTCGGATTTACCCTTGCAATTACCTATAGTTTATTTGGAGTTAATTAGCGTTGGCAAAGAGTACATAACAAGCATGCGGACCAATATTTCCTCGATCCCTTCAAACAAGAATAAGCATCTGAAGAGAGAAACAATGAGCAACTCACAAAGCTACAGAGGTAGAGGATCGCAATGATGGGGATTAGATTCAGATCAACTTGCGTCGTATGCGCTTGTCCAGATCAACAGTTCGCTATCTGAACCAGGGCTGGCTATGCTCTTCTCACTGTCCCATCCATTTGTGACCGACATGGTGCGCTGAGACGAAGGATGGATATCGAGTCCACTAGTTACTGATGATCGATAGTAGCGTGCTTCTTAAAGTGCAACCGTCAAGGATGATGGTCATGTAATGCGGGCTATCGAAATGTGCCATGCACTTTGATTCCGAAATTGCGAATCCTATTGCAGCTGACGAACGCAAAAGCCAGAGGTCGAAGGGTAGCGGTGTGGAGTCGTTAGGCACGCCTTCTATTTCAAACTTGGTAGATCCCGGAACGAGAAGTCAGGAACAAATATAAACATCAATAGTGCCTGGGCTGGGTAGGGGAAACAGTGGATACAACTGGATAGACCGACACCACGGAAGGGTACAGAGCCAAAATACAATTATGTACACCATCAAGTTCACCGCGTTTATCATGGATATCAGGGACATCATTCTTCCACTTTACACCTGATGCCTTGGCGACCCTCGGTAGCAATCTGTCGAACTGCTTTCACTTCATCCAGCGTAGCGCCATTCCGCACAGATCCCCGTAGGTGCCAGTCGACTTGACGGGGCGTGTCATTAGCTATCAGAGCCGCCACCATGGTGAACGAAGTCTCAGCAGGCGAGACAACGTCGAAAAAGCTGTACGTGTGACCGTACGCAAAAGTCGTGGAAAAGAATTCTGTGGTGGCGGGTTAAATATGATTGGCTACCATTAATACGAGATCAATTCACTGACCAAAATCAGGAACAGATCTCCCGCAGGAAAGGTTGAACGGTAGCTGCAGTTTCTCCATAAGTCCGGTCAAAGTAGTCTTGGCCTTTCGCCGTCAAAGCTTCTATTGGCTTCGACACGTCACTGCAAAGATGCCAGCTGAGTATCAAAATAAAGGGCAATACCACGCAACCTACCGGAGAGGTTTAGCATCACGCAGTTCGCTAGGTACTGCGGTATGCAGCTGCGCAAGGGCGTTGATAGCCTAATATGACCGCACGTCAACGATGGTATCCGCAGACTCAAAAGTCACTTTGAACGGACGTACCTTGGAAATCCAGACAGCATCCCAGATTTATATAGCGCATCACGCAGTTTCCGTGCGAGGAGCAGCCGTTCTTCGTGAGTTTTTAGGCCCTCGAGCGCGTACTTGAAGACCTCGGGAACGGCCTCAGGCAAATTGCTAGAACTAAAGGCAGTAGCCAGCGACAAGAGACCAAGGACTGACAACCCCCCTCGTCCTGCTTGGGATAGAGCGCCTCAAGATGAGCGAGAAATTCACGAGTAGCAATATCAGCCATTGGGAGAATGGCAATGGACGATGTGAAAACCTGGAAGCATTTTCTTTTACAGGTGACCCTAAGAAGCACCCAGAGAAGTAGATTTGGCTCCGATTATGAATTCGGAAGCGCAGAATTGACCTCGAGGCCTTGGAGCATGGACGAAGCGTGGGGGGGAGATCCAAGAAAGACTGGCGAATCTGAGTTTGAAATTGTGGCCGCAAGTGTGGCTGTATCGGCCACTCGGAAACACAGAAAGCTCGAAAGTTAATTGGATTAAACAAGCAGGAACCCGAAGTGCTCTAACCAAGAACTTAGAAAGTATAGCGGTTTCTTTTACCAATGACGCCTCTTTGAATTTTTCTCTAAGCTACTTACCCCTGTCTGTGAATAGGAACGGTCACGTGAAATGTTAAAACTCAGTTTTGCTAGCCACAGGTGAAGACCCGGAATAGCCTCTTTCACCTCCATCCCTCCATCAGAGATAATTATCAGAGTCTCATTTACGCGTGACGCGTGATGATCACTCCACCCATAATTAATCATAGCAAAGTGACAAAGATAGTCAAGGTGCTTGTCAGCTGCGTTTCATTTACTTGCTCTCCAGATTCTCTGCCAGGCTGCGCTATCCGAATCAAGGGTACTATCTTTCCTTTCTGATTGAAAGTTTCAGTTTAGCTCGTTTTAGCGTGATCTTCATTCTCCGTGGCTCCCTGATTTCCTTTAGGTTCTACGTCGCTTGCCACAGTGGTTTGCTGTGGATATCATCATCGACGATAACGAATCATTCATACGGTACGGCGTCTTGTTCTTTCCGAGGACTTAGCCTATGCCGTTACGTGTATATGCGTGCGTAGCGTGGTCTTTGATTGAATTCAAGAAGCACGACAGGTAATGCACATCTTCTTTCGGATTGAGTCTCGGAAGGCCATGCGTACTAGACTTCATTACACTTCTGTTGTGTGGTGTGCATCCACCTCGCTTTATAACGTCGGCCCAGGCTTGCATGTTGTTGTATTGGTCTACCTTCAGCTTTTCCCGTCATGTTTAACGCAAGCGATCCCCTCGTTATATTGAAAAGTAAGTTAAGTCCGTATTTGATTTAGAGTGAAGTAATTGACGCGTGATTTGTGGCAGTCAGCTGTGCGGTGTGCTCCACGGTGGCTATTGCGACTACTGTACATCGTCTCTTCATTCGAAGGGGTCGATATTGGGCTGATGATGTAAGTTCTCGCTCTTGGAGATGAAAGGTCCATTAGCTCAAAGGTTTTTTTTTTTCCTGCCGTAGGCATGGGCGCTGGTATCCATGACTGCTCTCTTTCTCCAGATTGCGGCCGTGTTTATGCATTTACCAAATCCCGGTAAGCGCTGTTCCTGCAATACCGTTTTGTTTGCACTTCTAATTTCTTATGCAGATGTCCTCTCGAGGTCCACGCGTATAGCAGCTTACTACCTCATGGCTACCACTTTCTACGTTGTTATATGGTGAGCGGGGTACTATCTTATCGTCACCTCTCTAATACCTAGACAGGACAGCCCGGCTCTCGATCTTATTTTCGATTATCCGGCTGGATCCCAGCGAGAACCGACGACGTAGACTCCTATGCATCGCTGCTCTATTTATCCTCGTTCTCACAATCCTTATCGCTCAGCTCTACTGGGTCTGTGAACCGGAGCCGCGGTGGAAGGACATGCAGAGCCCCCAATGCACCCTCAATAAGCAAGTGGCTATCTCCCAACTAGTCTGTAAGTCAATTATGCTCCCAGTATCATCGGGATACCTGTTTAACTCCATTCCGTTCGACAGCCGACGTGATTGCGGATCTCATCTTGATTCTCGCTCCGCTAAAACTCCTTGCCGGACTAGAAGACAAGGGTCTTCGACATCGTCTCATGGTCATCTTCTCGACGTGCATCGTGACGACTGTAGTATCCCTCGTCCACGCGGCCTATATCCTCACTTCAGCCCCAACAAAGGTGGTCATCTCGGCCATAGTAGAGGTACGTAACTCCCTAATAATGCGTCGCTGCCAGGGGCTAATGAATTCGTACATGATCAGGACTGCTTTTCTTTGATTGTGTGTAACATCCCTGTGGTCGTCACGGCGGCAATAAGAATACGAGAAGAGTCGCAGCATGGCAAGGCTAAGAAAGGACAACTGGTATCTACCTTCCTGCATTTCGCTTCGCGCGTCCTCACGCACAAAGACACGGCGGCGACTCATCCTCACCTGCATGTTGCGACGGTGAAGCTTGACGACATAAATACGGGGACGACGGGAACTTCTACGACGACTACGATGACTCACAGTAATAAGGACTTGACGACGTTTGAATTGGAGGATGAACCAGATTTGCGTGCACCGATTGGGCTAGACTCGCGTGCGTATGGCAGTGGGACTAAATCCTACGGACTTGTGTCTGGTTCAAGTGTCCATGTATGATTGGACTAAAGACGTTTATCGATATTCCCTACCACCGATGTTAGCCTCCGGTTATTATAGTCCTCGATATCTTGATCTCAAAATTTAACATATTCTCGTGTATTATAACTTTACTTACTGCTGTATCCATCCACTTTTAGTATCTTCTTTTTTGCTATACACCGAGTCAGTGATAAATGCTTTTAAAACTAGAGGCATAGATCCCGTGGAAAATCCTATCCTCCGCTTCCTAACTAATTGACGACAATTATCGAGAGTAATTTGTTGGAAAACGGGGTATCGGTTCGTTCCCAGTGTCACATGCGCGGTAGCAAGCCAATAGTATTGCGCTTGGCTGAGCTCTGCAAACGCATGAGGATCTACGCTACAGTAACCTACTTTTATACTAAATGTACTTTTACTAGAACTTTCCACGCTTTTCCTAAGACTTCTACCTTAATAAGCAGACTCCGCATGATGCCGGATTGCCAAATCCCAACATAATTTCGAGATGTTATATTTTCCGATGCAACTAAAGCAGTCCCGTACAAACATTGATACTATTTACAACGAAACTAACGTCCCCAACTATATTTCTTTCTTTCAATGGGTCTAACGAAACTACGGCAAGTGGCGCAAGCGATGATGTCCGACGGGCGGTCCGACTTGTTCCGATGGCCTTTGGTAATCATCACGTGCGCATCAGGCGGGACGAGCGCTCAGCGCGTCTCGTAAATTTCGAAATGTCTTTGCTTCTCGCCATCATCTCCCGCCCAACTTTCACAAGGCGACGCTCATATGCTCAATGTTCGATCTCACACTAATACCGTCATGAGGCGGTGGCTCTTCATTCTCAGTTCGGGTATGCTATACCGCTGACGATTCTTACCAGAATCACGGGAGACCCTTACTATTGATTTTGAATGAAGTGTGCTTCGATGGTCCCGCATATACAAACAGGTTTGACTATGGAAGTATCGGCAGATACACACTGGGAAAATCGAAAGCAATCACTGTCAGAGCACTGCCGCCCTCCCTCTTAAATGGTACGCGTCGTTCGTGGCATATGTTGATCATATATGGCTTACAGAAATCCGGTGCAGAACTGCCCTTGTTATTTTCCCGGAGATATCAGCAACAAGTAGATGTGGGGTTTGTATTGTTCACTGCTATGATGCATGAGTGACGGCATAGTGAGTTTTCTATTCATCTTCATTTAAAACCTCCTGATCAGTTTGTCGGCAACGAGTTTCTATTATTTGCTATCAACACTTTTCAATAATCCGTTCGACATCGACACTCATCATTATGATTATCATTCTCGCTTATTTTCCCAACCCTAAGACGCCGGGTTACCCGAATAATCTATTTATTACCTCCAAAATGCAACATTGACGCCGCCTCACAAGTATTGGGTCGGAAAAAAAACAGATCGTACAATCACGTTCATGTTGCCTTTTTGCTTCTCCGCGTGGCCCTGATGTTTTTCCTCCTCGACAGAGGGAGAAAGCCAAAAAGGGACAATCGCTCATGTCTAAGATGTCTGAGACGCGTTGTAACGTGATCCGGTCATAAGGACCGAGATCCAGATCCTTATAAAAGACGTCAGCCTCTGCGATCGATAGTTCAGTTTCCAGCCATGCAGCTACCCCCAGGGCCGTTGCTCTTACTCCGTCTATTATTGCCATATTTCCTCTTCGCTCTAGCACTCTTTCATGCTGAGCCCGGAATTTCCGCAGTATTTTCTGGCTATGGCCTTTCGTGGATATTTTATCCTTGTGCTGCGCTGCTGCTGTATCTCGCTTCGCAGACAATGTCTTACTTGTTCAAGTTGGCGCATATGCGTCGAGGTGCTGCCGTCAAAGGCGCAGATTTTGTTCCGGATGTTCAGGAAAGCAGTCTCTCTATTATGAGCAGGCTCATGAGACCACCAAAAACCCTATATCCTGGTATGTGGCTACAATGTTTCAGTTTGCTCTCGCTCTCATCACAGGCAGGCGAGGCTTTTATAGATTGGCATCGACAATATGGAAACACATACTGTATCAACATATTCTCGGAAAGGCGGGTATGTTGGTGGTAGCTTGTGTTTATTTGGTTACTTACATTTACTCATGAAGATCATCACCATCGAGCCCGAGCATGTGAAGGTGATTTGCAATGTCTATCAAAGGAAGACTTGTCTGAATATTTCATAGGCGGTCTTGGCAACGCAATTCAAAGACTTCGAGAAGGGTGCGAGTAGTTGTCTCACTATCAGATACATTTCCCTCATCACCAGCATTCAGGATACAGGCTACGTTCTCAGTGGCGGGACCTGCTTGGCACCGGTGTATTCAATTCCGATGGTACGAGCGCGCATTCCATATAAGGGCAACTTCGAATGCTCATTTCAACGTGCCTAGGTGACATGTGGAAGTGAGCGCCCATGAATTAAGCATATGACAGGCTTCTCACTGACCCGGGATGACCGTTCCTTAGATATCACCGCAATATGACTCGCCCTTTCTTTAGCAAAGACCGGATTAGTGACTTCGATAATTTCGAGAGACACGCTGTCGAATCGATTAGATTGATAAAAGATAGACTTGAAGAAGGATATCCAGTAGAGTTCCAGGTACGTTTTATGAGCGCGCTGAGAATGACTGCTGACCCCAGTCATGCAGGACGTCGTTTCACGCTTTACGTTGGATTCGGCCACCGAATTTCTATTTGGCGAGGATGTAGGTTCGCTCTCCGCTGGGCTTCCGTACCCTTCTGGGTCGAAGGCCGGGAACACAATCGTTGCTGCGGATCATCCGTCGAATGTCTTCGTTCGGGCCTTTGTAAAAGGACAGGAGCTGATTGCTAGAAGGTCTCGGACCGGAACGATGTGGCCATTAACGGAGTTTTGGCAAAACAAGGTTATGCCACATAGACGAGTCATTGAAGAAGTTGTGCAGCCACTTCTTGACGATTCCTTCGCAAGGAAGAAGAAGAGAGCAGAAGTTGGCGAGGCGCTTGAAGAGAAAGAGGTCGCTTCTCTTTTAGACGATCTGGTCAAGGACACCGATGGTAATATTCTAGTCTTATCTCTGGGAGTGTTACTCACCATTGGGGCCTCTAGATACGCGTGCCATCATAGATGAGCTAATCAATATTCTCGTTGCCTCGAGAGATACGGTCAGTTGAATGTGGCCTTGTTATCTACGTTCTAACAGTATCATATAGACGGCGTCTTTACTCACCTTCGCCGTGTACGCGCTTACGGAGTACCCGCACGTTGTGAAACGCTTACGAGACGAGATTTCCGAAGCTTTAGGTGACAAGCCGCCAAGCTATGCCGACATTCGCGAAATGAAATATTTGAGGGCGTTTTTGAATGGTATGTCTGATCTATCGTTGAAATATTGTGTCGAGAGCTCACTGTTATCATGCGTAGAAACCTTGAGACTTTATCCTCCAGTGTAAGAACCTCTACCGGTTTCTGTCAATTTTCGTTGCTCACCAAGCAAAAACTTGTGTAGCCCTTTTGATTCTCGGTAGGAAACGTGCCATTCGCTACTATCGAAAATCAGCTAATATATGTGATCAGAACTGCCAATGTGGACACGACGCTGCCCAACAGTACAGGTCGGCCGTACTATGTAGCAAAGGGTACAAAGTAAGAATACATCTATCGTCATCTTCGAATATCAATCCTGAAACTCCCCTCTCAGGGTCATATGGGGAATTTTCTGGATGCACCGTAGGGTCGATCTGTGGGGTCCCGATGGTGTGTGCTGAGTTTTCATACATTTCACACGGACTTATGGTACGATAATAGCTCTCGAGTTCGACCCCGACAGGTTCTTGGATTCCCGTGTTCACAAGTATTTAACACGTAACCCGTTCATCTTCTTGCCTTTCAACGCCGGACCAAGAATTTGTCTGGGTCAACAGGTTCGTTGATCTGGTTTGTCTCGTCTTGATTTCCGAGTCATTGACTTGCTGTGCTATTCTTAGTTCGCGTACAACGAAGCGTCGTACTTTCTCATTCGGCTCCTCCAAACATTCTCATCCTTCAATCTGGCTGAGGATACACAAATACCGGAGGCGAAGCCCCCAGCAGGAGATCAGTTCAAGGGGAGGGACAAAATTATGTTCGGAACACATCTCACTATGTTCGCTAAGGTCAGTCGTTCGGACTCGTCTGTATTTGGTGCATTTCTGACTGCCTACTAGGGAGGAATGTGGGTGAGGATGGAATGAGCGCTGTGTTTATTTTCTTTATTTGTATTACTATCATACAGCCAATAACAATGCTGTCTGCATGGCGAACGATGAACACGGCGCTCGTCAATGCTTTTGGTACCAAAGTCAGTAAACCTAGAATGCTGACGCGCCTCTTCTGCTTGAAGGAACGAGACACTGACGAGAAAGAACGAGTGATTGTCTCGAGCTGTGGTGACCACATTTTTGTGATTTACTCCAAAAGAAGGGAAATTTTTTGGTCAGATCGCTCCCAATCTGGGGACCCTCAAACAAGAAAATCAGGACAATCTGTGTCATCATACGTCCATCGGCGGTAACATTGCTGGGTGACGTCCGGAGAAGTTCGGGCCTCGGCACCGATTGCAGCTAAGAATACTTGCACAGCCGCCACGTGGTACTTCTCAAAGAGGAAGCGCTCAGGCAAGGTGCTTAGCTTGTCCCCAAGCCCATCTTTCCCTGGGACCACCACCAACGCGCCTCATCTGTCCTCTATCTCTTTCTCTCTCCTATTAATTACGCGTCTCCTAGCGTTAAGCTGCGTGCCGCATCGACAGAGCATCTGCTTTCGAAGTTACGCGTGTTCTCGGTCCTGCACAAGCATGCTCGCTCTACTCACCGGCAGGCCTATCGTCCACTCAATTATCATTTTAGCCGCTATAGGGTGGATATGGTACCGTACAATGAGTATGTTTTCCTTCCCTTTCTGGCGCTTGAAGTGCCGTATTGACGGCGACATACAGCTAATAGCCAAGGCTCGACCTATCCCTGTGCAACACCTATCCATGACAATTGTTCTTTCTACGCGTCATGCTTGGAAACGAGGTACCACTGTGGTCCAGCTGGCTACCCTCTCGGTTACGGAGAGAAGTTCTGCACAAAGTTCAGTGAAGACCGCTCTTTGCTCAGTGCCAAAGGACAGACGTGGATGGTGGACACAATGCATTGTCTTCAAGAGGCACTCGTTCCAGACGCTCTTGGCTCAGCAGAAACCTGCAGCAAGCTGGAGGACAAGGCATTTGGGACACATGCCAAGTGTTACATCGATAATGGTCTGTGTTTTTTGCCTGTGACGGACTGGGAGGCGATTGTCAAGATAGTCGAGCTGCGGACGCTTTTCCAGAGCTGGGATGCGTTTCTAGAGACCTTGAAGGCTGGGGAGGGTTGCTTGGAGGCGTATGCCCATTTCGCAGAGCATGCGTTAGGTTGAAGAGGTATGCTATCACTTCTGGCGTTGTCAATGCTTTACTCATAAAGCAAAATGGATTCACATTGCAGACCAGACTGTTGGTATGCTGTAAAGGAGCTGGTCTTCTTCGAGAAACAGATTGGTTCTCCAGACAATGGACCTTTTCGATTAATAGGACGAGGAAGAATGCCAAATTGCCGTTTCACGGCTATGCGCTTGGTTGATAACGTTGTCAGCATTTATCAAGAGATATAACCAAGGTCTATGCTCGACCGCTCCTTTGTTTTCCTTTACATATTCGCCGTCTTTCAAGGACCAGCTTCACTTTTTCCGTGTCACCATTGCCTTAGAATGGAATAGTGATACCGGCAGTGTTGCACATTATAAGCTTATTATTATTATTCACTCTGAATGCTTTCAAGGTCCGTAAGTCGTTCGCTCCCCATCGTCAAGTATTTTCAGGAACTCATGCACCTCTGTGCAGAAATGATACATGCCCTGATATTCGGAACATCAAACTGGGAGCCGTGCTTCCTTCATCTCCCCCTTGTAGTCCAAAAGTGGCTCTCTTTCTAGTTTCTGTCTCTTCCATTTGCGACATGTTCACATCAAAGATTTCTATGTACATCGACAGCATCCTCAGGCATCTGGGCTACAAGGTATGCTCCGCCAGCCTAGAATCTAATCATGATCCTGCCACGCTCGAAGTAGCACACCAATATAGGCCGGACGTTATGGCCTGTTATGGCTAGGTCGCACAAATGTACGGACCATGCCAAACGGGCCTTTGGTACATAGGTATGCTGCTCGACGGTCAATGTCATTTCACCATTTTCAGTTTTGTATAGGTTTGGTAATAGCCATGGCGTTGTCGTAATCCTGTTACTACGAGGCAAACTGTAGATCCAGGACGGTTCAGCCTGCGTATCATTGCCCTGCATCAGGTGAAGTACTTCGGCTAAAGACGGCGAATGTGAATCAATTCTTATCTTCTGTTATATTTGGTGTCAGTGGAGTATCACCCTAGCAATGGAGATGACATGTCACTACGTTCCGGACGGAATACAGTCGCGGTGCTAGAGCGTAACAGGTTGTACGGAATAGCTTCTACTGATCCAAAGAAAGTGGAATTTTTATGAGATATCTGACCTTACTTATCCTGTTAGATTCTCTCACATACATCATTTCTGGACCATGGGTTTGTTTGTATCAGTGGGACTCCGTTCCTTTCTTACTGCACTGCACGTTGCTCGACCAGTAATCAGAATACCCTGACTACTGATAGGGCACAGCTTCTAAGAATACTCGGCCATACGTTACCGTCAGGATTAATGGGTTTTAGTTCAGCCGAGAGTCGTAGCAGTCCTCTTTTGGTGAACTGATGCTCAGACCGGCCACTTGAGGCAATTTCAGTGCTTCTGGAAGACGAAAAATTTGAAATTAAGACGCGCAGATATCACGTGCCCGTGGACGCATTCCCAAAAGAAGAAACTTGATCGCCTTGTCAAATACTAATAGACCCGGGTCCGCCGCTGCTTCCAGCCCACGTCTTCCATACCCCCCTCCCCTTGCTCGATACCCACCCCCTCCTCGAGTTCATGCTCGCTTTCCGTACTTTCCTTCACGAACAAGTCAGTGCATCCTCTCAGTCAAATAATGCAAAGGGCATACCTGTTCATGTGAGCGGCTTCGCGCGGCGCATCCATGGATGGTCCTGGCAGGCGGTAAGTGTCCGATTGGCAAATCCAGGGATTTCAACTCGAGACTAGAATTTGTCATTTTCGTGTAGTTCCCCATTGTGATGGGTACAAGCGCTGTCTATTTGACACTCTCGAACCTGAAGCACCATCCTGCGTTTGTGTCGAGGATAGAGACGGTGTTTTTCTTCTTTAACATCGTTTTATTTCTTTTGAATATCTTCATGCTTTTGTCGCAAGCTATTTGTGCGTTTTTCTCTTCCGTTCTACGTCTTGTGGCTTCTCGTGTCTCGTGTTCTCTTGCTAATGGATTCCTGCTCTTGCAGTGTTTCCTCGTCATGCATGGACCCTTCTCCAGGATCCAATTCAAGGAATATTCGTACCATTAATGGTGAGTCCCCCTCCCCTCCCCTCCTGGGGTACCCTTTTCTAAGAACCATTCCCTAGGTCCTTTCCCTCGCTACCATAGTTATCGGTACCGTAGACTACGACATGACCTACGGCCACGTTGGCTCCGACCTCATCTACGCTCTATTTTGGCAAGTCGCGCATTCGCGTGGAGGTTTATGCATGTTCGACTAATCGGCGGATTTAGGATATACCTCGCTTTTTCGATTATAACGTGTTTTCCGATGTTAAAGATATGGTTCAGTCGAGAGCATGATCTTGCACATTTCGCCCCTGCGTATGCATTTCTGGTAAGTGTTTCTTTCTTGTTTGGTAAACCGGCAATGAATAGACATTCCACAGGTGTTCCCCTTGGTAAGCGGGTTTATGGCCCCCGTACAATCTTTTGATCTTATATTGGTAGATGCTCACGGGAATCGTGGCGGCAAACACCCTGAAAGTAATTGATGCGTCTGATCCGAGAGCGTTGGGTGTTCTTCTGGTAGGCTACATCGTACACGGTAAACCGAATCCCGTCATCTGGCAAAGCTCTTTCCTAACTCTGATAACAACAGGTCTCGGGTTTTTTATGGCTTTCTTCTATCTTGCTATATATGTTCTTCGGTGAATTTCCTTTCTTTTCTCTGCAATGTCATCCTCACTCGTCGCTTGCAGTTTGATGGCGGTATGTACAAGTTGCATCTAGGATTGCGTCCGATCTTGACTTAAAGGCTACATATATAGAACGGGTTCATGCACGGTGGTCAGGCTAACGGTGCCTTCGTCGCATGTGGTCCGCCTGGGTTTTCTGCACTTACATTAATCACCCTCGGGGATCATGCAAGGACAATGTACGTCGAAGCGACTCATATCTTCCACCCGCGTCTAACATTTCCGCAGCATATCCGCTCGAGGATACGTCGCTGACATCGCAGGCGATGTCTGGTATTCAGCAAGCGTGCTAGCGAGCCTGCTGCTTTACGGGCTCGCACTATTTTTCTTCATTTTTGGTATCATTCCATATCGGTTCTCCTTACGGAGGCATATGAACGAAATTCTTGGATGTGCGTACTCGTACCTTCCTTACATTGTCTCATTTCTGAATTGCGTATACTACCCAGGCTGGGCTCTGACATTCCCAAATGGTATGTGATGCTGTTTACTTTCACAAGAAAGGACGCTAGCTGAATATATCTAGTGGGATGGATAACCGCCACACGCTCCCTCGGGGACATTTTCGAAATCCAGGGGTTCTGGACGTTTCATCTGGTCATGACGATCCTCATGTGCATCACCTGGCTGTTCTTGTTCATCTTCACGGTTATCGCGTTCTGCAAGGGGAGGATATTCAAGTCGCGGAAAGAGGATGTTATTAGGGACATTCACGCTGAGGAATCTGAAGGGACGCCTGCAGGAAAGACGGAAGACAGCCCCATGATACCTCCTTCTATACATCATTCTGAGGGTTCCAGTCGGACAGCTACTGTTTGAACATTGTTCTTTACTATCTTTGGATACGTATTCTTTGATCTAGTGGCTCGGACCATACGGTATCATTCCGAGGGTTCCATTCAGACGGTTACTATCTGGACATCGTTCTCTGCTATTTTTGGATACCGATTCTGTTGCTTGTAGACTATGTAAATTGCCTTGTGTATATAATTTCGCGGATCAGATTTCGGCGGTGCGTACAAGGTGGCTGTGCCTCTGGCGAGTCTTCTGCAGTGCTACCATGACGGTTGAATCCGGAGCTCATCATCATCACCATATTACATGGCATGGTACACTGTAGAGACGGCGGCATTATGATTCTGGGATCCTACTGTTCTCGTAAATTCGACAATATCCAGTTTTATAATCCACGACGACAAAGTGTTATACTACACGACGATTAACTCGAACGTCGAAACGCCTCTGGTATGACAGAAAACTGACTTAACGAAATCCTCACTGGGAGCTGATATCAGGGATAGCATTCTTCCACTTTACGCCTGATGCCATGGCGACCTCAATAGCAATTTGACGAACCGCTTTCACTTCTTCCAGTGTAGCGCCGTTCCTCAGAGACCCCTGCAAGTGCCAGTCAATTTGACGTGGTGTGTCGTTGGCTATCAGAGCTGCCACCATGGCAAACGAAGTCTCAGCAGGCGAGAGAATGTCGAAAAAGCTGTAGGTGTAACCGTACACAAAACTAGTGCAAAGAGCTTTGTGGTGATCGTGGGTTAAACAGTTGATTCAAAAAAGGTACAATTCACTGACCGAAATCAGGATATATTTCCCGCAGGAAAGGTTGAACAGTATACGCTGTTTCTCCATAGGTCTGGTCAAAGTAACCCTGGCCGTTCGCCGTTAAAGCTTCTATTGACATCGACGCATCACTTCAGGGTGACGATATGAGCACCAAAACACAGGAAAATACCACGCAACCTACCGGAGGGGTTTAGTATCACGCAGTTCATAAGGGACGACGGCATGCAGCTTGCCAAGAGCGTTGATAGCCTACAACCGCACGTCAATGATGGCGGCACCGGGGAAATTGATTTTGAACTGGCATACCTTGGGAAATCCAGACAGCATCCCAGCTTTGAAGAGCACCTCGCGCATCTTTCGTGCGAGGAGCAGTCGTTCCTCATGAGTTTTCAGGCTCTCAGATGCATACTTGAAGACCTCAGGAACGGCCTCTGGTAGGTTGCTGGAACTGAAGGCGGCGGCAGTGACAAGAGAGCAGGGATTGGTAAATCCCCTTTTCTGCTTGGGGAAGAGAGCCTCTAGACGAGCGAGAAAAGCGCGAGTAGCAATACCCACCATTGACAGAGAGGCTAGGCAGATTGCGACGTCCTGGGGGATATCTTCAATGTCCTTATACCTGTGTCCTTAACAAGCAACCAATGGAATGCATTTAGATCTGATTATGAGATACTCCAGCGATATCGGAAGACTTTTAGCCTGAAACTGTCCAGAAGCGTAGAGCTGACGCGGGTCTTTGACGCGCCATTCGGAACTTGTGGAGAAACAAGAAAAAATGGACACGCTGGATTTGAAAGAATCTCTCTTAGTCTCTCTAAGGTCCGGCGTTGTGCCACCGAAGGTCAATAGGTGCGTCATCAGAGCTCCCTAGTACCTAACCTTTAGCTGACAGTACCGGAATGTGAGAGATCCGAGAAAATGTACTAGTAAAAGGTTCAGCTTGGCCTTAAAGTAATCTTCATTTTGCGTATGCATCTGATACTGATTGCTCCTCGTTGTAAGGTGGTAGCGGAGAGCGTTACACGGCATGATAACTATACGAAATGTCAGCTAGAACTAGACAGTTTTGCTGCACCGTCTTCGACAGTCGGAATTCTGGTTGCAGGGAACAGACGACTCTTCAGAAAGCGTGTAATTAGTGAGAGACTCGCACAGTGTTTAACGTTTATCCTTCTCTGGAATGTGCATGGGGCATGAAAATGGGAAGTTTTGAACTCGAGAGCCATATTTCACGGTCCAGTCTGCGATTTAATTTTCAAATTCAATGCTGAGAAGCACGACAGTAGTCAGATATAATCTCGGCGCGTAGTTGGGTATAGGAAAGTGAATATTTCCGTCTCGCGAGGACTTTTACTATTAGATTAGGTACGGTCGCTCCTGTGGATACTCCACCAAGGTCTGACGACAATGAATTGATTAAACGGGATGGCATCTTGATCTTGACTCTTTCTGGTGATTTTAATTTTTATCTGACGCAATTATGTGAATATATATCAGAATTACGTACGTACCACGATCTTGAACAAGTCTTGAATTGAATCTAAGAAGCGTCAGACAGATGCACAGTGACGAATATTCCTTACCTTGCTGTAGTGTGCATCTACTGTCAAGTCTACTGTGCGCAACAACAGCTGTTCAATTAGCTCTCCCACCTGTTTGAGGCGCTCCATGAGGACATTATTACTCTAGTTATCTGCTGCACATAGCATAGTGAAACGGAAGCACTAATGGACAAATAATCAACAACATCATCCTTTTTGAGCCATATAGAAAGTTTTCTTCAGTTAAATGACATCTGATACTATGCCACCCCTCCATAGTTAAATATTATATGGTATTCAATGTTCTAATCAATGCTTAATACTGGGGTATGACGGTGCAAAGTTCTAAGTCCTGAAATTTGGTGATGTGTCATCATGGATTAGTGAGCCGAAAAACCGGATCACGTCTGAGTTTGAAATCCGTTGAGATTTGAGGGTTCCTCTATGGACCCCCGCCCCGGGTACCAGGCTTTATATACAGATACGAGTTCCGCGAGTATATAATAAAGACGGCTTGCCAGGCTACTCTGGGCACGGCTCGATTCCTCTGATCACGTGCATAGTTTTAGCTCCAACAACGTGATCACCATGGTTTCTTCGGTCGTGTACTAATAGTTACTTAAAATCAACCATCGAAGCGTCATCGTTTGTTGATTGCCGGTAACCCAATATCTCTGCTGTCCTCCATCTCCCAATCCTGATGCTACTCGACCATACCACCCTACCTCCATAACCCAGTTCCCTCGCCGGCGCCCTCTTGGGTCATTCAGCGGGAACTTACGTACGAGCAGGGTTAGATATTTGGTCCCAGATACAGCTCGGCTTTGAATGGTTCGGGCAAGCCTCCTTGAGCCGTCCCTGCAGCTCGGCTCGGAGCCGCGGCTTTCTAAAAGACGAGCCGCATCCCTGCACTGCGGCAACGAAGCACCAGGGATAGACTCGATCGTCGTGATCGTTGGCGCGTTTCATTGAAGAATAGTGAGGGTGAGGAAGGTCTCCTGCAGACGTGCAGTCTCGTTTGAGGGATTACACATGGGAACCGCAGGGATCATATAAACGGGATGCTATACAAAGCTGAGTTTCCGGATGCGTAATAACATAGCTGCTTATGATACAGACAATAGAAACAATTTCTCTGTTTTGAGGGGTGAGGTGATGAGTGATGCCTTGATGGGAGGGCAGTGGTCAAAAGTGAGCAATCGGCCCTCGTTTAGTTCTGTTGTTTTTCAAACTCGTTCCTCAGTTTCATCGGACTCGGGCAGCTTGTTTACTTCGGCCACTTTTCACAAGAATCACCACAACTCCTCGTTGATTCGGAACACGGAACATGCATTGATCCATGCAATCCCTCTGTCTCCTGCAATGACATCTCCACCATACCTCAAATCCATCCGAAGCTGAACCTCAGCCTAAAGGCTGAGTGTTTCATCTGCGCGCCCTCTGGATGGTACGTGCTACATCAATCACACGTACAGAAGGGCGTCAATCTCATATAAACTATAGAATCTCTTATGCTGGGCTACTCTGCCTATCACTCGAAAATCTGAACGGCAAGCAGCACGGAGTGCATGCAGTAATATTACTTACGGTCTATATCGAGGATCCTGCATACGATTCGTCGTTGAACATCAAATTCGTGGGTCATAAATGGTTGTCGTGAGCTCCATCATCTTAGCCAAGTATACAACTTACATCACCAATACAGTCTATTGGTACACAAAGCAAGCTTCAGCCTAAGCTAGCCAACGAGGTTATAATCCGCGGACATAGATATAAATGGATATCATCCCGGTTCGTCCTAGCCGGATCTAATTGACAAACCTTAGCTGCTAATCAACTACAAGATGCGGAGAAGAGACGCCTTTCACAGCTTAGCGAAATCGATCTGAATATACACGGCTCCTGACGGTTGATCTAGCAAATGCAGCCTGGCGCACTTGCGTGAACCAGCCTCCGGTTGAGCCTCTGTGATCGAACAAGGTTAGCGTCTGTTTAATAACATTTTAAAAAGGTGTTAATTCGAATCTCGATCGCGTAGTACAAAATTTCGACTCTAAAGCTCGATCTGCCTCTGCTTTCTGAGTCTACAGCCCCACATCCTCTTGCCATATCCTCCTGCACAGGATCATTTTTCAAATTTATGCCTCCAATTCCTCCTTTGGATCCCCAACACGTAGGCGCATCAGCTCAGTCTAATAACCAAAGGGATATGCCACCGCCACAAGTTCATGGTATCGCGCGTCGCATCCATGGATGGTCATGGCAGTCGGTAAGTGTCTTGCAGCCTATCTAGGAATTTCAACTCGAGACTAGGATCCGTCGTCTATGTAGTTCCCTATTTTGATGGGTACAAGTGCGGTTTATATGACGCTCTCAGCCCTGAAGCACCATCCTGCGTTCGTGTCAAGCATAGAGACGGTGTTTTTCTTCCTCAGCATTACTCTTTTTTTTGCGAACATCGTCATGCTCTTATTACAAGCCATCTGCGCGTTTTCTCTCCCCGCCAGTTAGGACTTCATTGCTGATACTTGTGTTCATGTAGTCTTCCCTCGCCATGCGTGGTCCCGTCTTCAGGATCCAATACAAGGAACATTCGTACCGCTGATGGCAAGTCTTTCTTATCCCTATATTTGCTGACAACTCGCCTAAAAACATTTCCCTAGGTCGTTTCCTTTGCTACCATAGTTGTCGGCACCATGGACTATGACTTAAACTACGGCCACATTAGCTCAAACCTAGTTTTCGCTCTGTTTTGGTCAGTCATATGCTCACATGCATGCTTTGCGTGAGAGACTTACCGGGAGCTATAGCATATACCTGGTCATTGCGATTGCAACGTGTTTTCCAATGATAAAAATAACCTTCAGCCAGCCGCACGACCTGCCGCATTTTGCGCCCTCATACGCGTTTCCGGTAAGCGCCAATTTCTTATGTCATGGGCTACGGTAAACAAACAGCTGTTTAGGTGTTCCCTTTGGTGGGTGATAATAATAAGGTTTTCGGAATGTAGCGATCTGATGGCGTCTGTTCTCGCAGATGCTTACGGGGCTAGTGTCAGCTAATACCTTGAAGGTGATTGATGCGTCTGATCCAAGGGCTTTGGGCATTCTGCTCGTAGGCTATGTCGTTCATGGTTGAGTTCGCGCAATATCTGACGGAGCTCGTTGTACTAACATTTGCGCCAGGTCTTGGACTCTTCTTGGCTTTCTTCTTTCTCGTCATTTACATTATTCGGTACGCTCTCAGTATCTCGTTGAATCATCCTTCCTAACTATCCACAGGCTTATGATGGTGCGTACTATGGTGCTGAGGGCTGAAGCCGGTGTTGGGCTGACATCTATACCTAGAACGGGTTCATGGACGGTAGACAGTCAAATGTCGCCTTTGTCGCATGTAGTCCGCCCGGTTTTTCCGCCCTTACATTAATTAGCCTTGGTGATCATGCAAGGACAATGTATGTGCTGAAAACTTATATCTCATACCTCGCGTTTTAATATCCGTACACAGCCTCGGCGCTCGCGGATACATTAATGAAGCCACAGGCGACATCTGGTATTCAGCAAGCGTGATGGCAAGCCTGCTGCTTTACGGGCTAGCATTGTTTTTCTTCATTTTCGGTGTTATTCCCTACCGGTTCTCCTTACGGAGACATTTGGACGGCATCCTTGATTGTGCGTACCTATGCCTTTCTTGCATCATCTCATTCCTTATTCACTTGCGCTTACCATCCAGGCTGGGCTTTGACATTTCCAAATGGTACGCGCTATTGCATAAATATGTACGTTGACTGAAATTTATGTTCTCTCAGTGGGATGGATAAACGCCACACGCTCCCTCGGCGACATCTTTCAAATCCAGGGCTTTTTCACGTTCCATCTCGTCATGACGGTCTTCATGTGTATTACATGGCTCTTCTTATTCACGCTCACAGTTATCGCGTTCTGCAAGGGCAGGATATTCAAGTCTGGGAAAGAAGACTTTATGAGGGACATCCAGGCTCAGGAAGAGGTAGCGGAAGAACGTCCTGCGCCTGTGGTTCCTTCTTCTGCACATCATTTAGAGGGCTGCAGTCGGGCCCTAATTACTGTTTAAACGTTATCTTCGCACATGTATACTTTTATTGCTTCCGTACTATCTCTCTATATATATAATAAACTTATTGACTTGAATCAGAGTTTAGAGTGGCTGGAAGCGGTGTGGCTGTGCCTTGGTCCTTCCTTTGTTACCGTCATGACGTTAATTCTTCCTCGCATCCCTGCACCTTTTTTGGACCCTAAATTTGCCGTTTCTATAAACGCGAGTCCCGGCGTACACTTCACGTTCTTTTTGCCATCATGAATTGGACTGCGTTATATACGAACCCACGGGTAAAGCACCTCGCCAGTAATGGGCCTCTTTCACTGCCAGGTTCACTGCCAACCTCTTGGTAAATGCACACCTCGTAAAGGGAACCATCTGAGCCTGACTGAGCTCGGATACACTTCGAGGATCGGGCCGAGTTGGACATTTCTGCTGCGAGCTTGGAACGTTTGATCCAGTATCACCGACGTCCGACGGAGTCGCTCGTATATCATCTGTGATTTTATGTCAGTTTCTGGGCGTGGGTACTTCAGCGAAAACTTTTTCCCGGTGTACTTCGTAAATTCCCCGTAGTGATCTGATGATTCTGATCAATCGGAGAACTTAACTAGATAGTTCCCATTGGTCCTCTATGTTGTCCGCCATGTTCTATGCCATACGTCTTAGATTGCTCTCTTCGGCATCTTTCCTTAACAAAGCTACTTCCAAAAAACATATCGGAAACGGTATAACGAACGAGCCAGGGAAATGGTTAGTTCCACTATATATCTCTGTCCAGCTGATCTTGACCCCAGTCCCCAGTCTGGCAGGCGGTTTTAAAGGGCTGTAGTGTTCCTCACATGGATTTATTATCCCACATCGATGTCACCCTACAATAGGATATCTCCTGCTATTGAGCTGCATTATGTGGATGTGCTCTGTCTGTCCGTGATGGATCGTCATGCAATGAGGATTTAACCCCACCCGCGGAGTCATGAGGGAGAAGCCTACAGACCATGCTTGTATCCATCCTCGCACTCGTCACTTTTTCTTTAGCCTGTGCGGTCTATAGACGATGGAGAAGAATCTCAATATCTGACGTTCCCGGTCCGGAATGCAAGTCGTTCTTATACGGTTCGTTTTGTCCCTCCTTCTTTACATTCTACTTGATTCATAATACTTGCACTCTAGGAAACTTACCTGAATTCCTTGGAGGTCAAGCTGGCGATATGAGGTTTCTTTTCGACGTTGTCTATGTGAGAAACTCACACTCGATCAATTAGACGGACTTCGAATGGCGGGATAAATATGGAGACGTATTCAAGATTCGGGGGCCGTTAGGCGTGAGTGTTGTATAGCATCGGTTGCAGACTCATGATCTCATTTTGCTTCCTTGTTAGGAGGACCGCCTATTCATCATCAGGAAAAACCCACTTCGCTACATTGTGGTACGTAGGCTATGTAGCACAGGTAGCGCCGTAGCACAGTCCCCCATATGTAGTGGCTTGTAGCGGACCACTCAGAGTACGTAGCAGCCTGTAGCAGATGATAGCACCTCACTGAAGCTACCGTATCGCAACTGTATCAGTACTGTATCCTTACATACCAAGACATACTCTGGTGAATACAGCCCATAAGACGATGCAAATCGATAGATTGGAACTAGCTACTACACTGGTATACAATGTCACCTGTACTAGACCACTTACAACTTCTGATTCCCAGCCGATCTATGTAAGTACCATCTCGATCCATCCCGCCATCATAAAGTAGGCTTTCAGTCTACCGACAGAGGCATGAGTAGCGGTCAATAAAAGCTCGGCAGAACAACTTACGATGGTGCGGGTTTGCTGGGGGAGGCTTCGGGGATGGGGGTGATGATGGCCGGTTCTTGGGCGATGCGAGACACCGATCTTTGGTACCATTACACTTACAGCCGTTGGGCATCTGTGGCTTGTTTGAACCCTGGAGACAATGATGAACAATCAATGCTGAAACGGTTCAAGGTACGTACGTTCCAGTCCAAGACATCGATAGAACAAGATTCCTCTGAAAAGCACGAAATCAGCGACGACGCATGGCGTTATGGTTGAGGCACTTACCAGCAACCTTTAGTACAGGACATCCTACCCAGATGTTGCTGCCTGAAATACAAGCCATGTCAGAGCGTGTCAGAGAAAGGGCACGCACGTTGAAAAGTAGCTATGATGTTCAAAGCCTAACTGTGTGACACACTTATGGATCCAAGGAGCACAAATTCCGTACGGAGATTCATCAAGTATCAATCAGCTAGCTGCATCGCTAAGAGAAAAGAAGATAGAACCACAAATGAGGAAAGAGTAAAGGGGGAAGAGTGCGCGGAAATGGAGGAAAGGAAGAAAGGTTGGTTGGATTTGATCGAAATCCGATGGCGTGATCTTATTGATTATGCACGTGCACAATCGGAGTTTCAAATGGACTTAGCAAATTTCTGCTACTCCGAATTCTCGCTGCAGTACACACTGAAGCTAGATAGAGTCCATCGTAACTAGGGATGTGCACCGTATCCGTACTACGGTGGGTACGTACGGTGGATACGGATACGGGCCCGTACCGTGCCACCTTCGACGACCCAAAATACGGCCGTATTCATACGGTTAAAATACGGTCATCGAGGGAGTGGCTAGGGATAGTCTAATACCATTGAAGTGAGTATGGATGATCTTAATGAAGTATATAACACTCATGTCTTGACTCCAGATATTCGTCGTCGCTGTAAAACTGTCCGTATACGGACAACGGTACGGACACGGTACGGATTTGAAGTCAACCGTACCGTACCGTGAACAAGAATTTTGATACGGTCTACGGCCGTATTGTTACGGCCGTATCCGTAACGGTACGGTGCACATCCCTAATCGTAACTGCTCCGTATGTTATGGGGCATAGGTCAAACATCCACTACAAGCTTCATTGACCAATCCTCTGCTCCCGACTGTGGTCTGATAAACAACTTCCTCCAGTCCGATAGCCGACATGGCAACCATTGTCTGCTTTCATTATCAAAAGGTCTGAAGAAACTTCATAAATACCGGCCGTGATGGTAGTATTCTGTAGCTCCTGCTCAAGGATACTGCTATCTATGTAGTCCCCACCAGTGCATATGGAACACTATGTACTGCTACGTACTACTGAGCACCTGCTACAGCCGCTACCGGATATACGTAGACTATGTATACCTGAGCGGCAGATACGTAGCAAAAGGCTTTTTCCTGATGATCGCAGACCCAAAGGCTATTCAATATATATATCATACCGCGAGTTACAGATTTCCCAAAGCCGAAGGGAGACGTCAAATTTCACACTTATTATTCGGACCTGGTCTTTCTAACGTGGATGGTAAGTTGCATCAAAAACTGTTAAAGTGCTTGACACTGAGTTGATTGTAAGGTATGATATATAGGTGACGTTCATAAGCGCCAGCGCAAAGACATGCTTCCAGGGTTTGGTGGTCCAGAATCGAAAGCCTTCAGTCCCGATGTTCTCTCAGTGTGCCGAGAAGGTTTGATCGGATACTTGGATTCAGGTGGCGCTACTCATGTTTCGTTCAGATGTGCAACAAATGGAAAGATGAAATAGAGCTCAGCGCAGACCAATCTATCGTCCTAGACGTTACTTCCTGGATATCTAGGGCCACTCTGGATGCGATTGGTTATGGTGGCTGTTGTGTTATATTTTCATAACGCGACAATACTAACTCGATATTTAGCTGCATTTGATTATTCTTTCGGCGCTCTGGACGACTCTGATAATCAATTAACGAAGGCTTATGCCAATCTATTGTGAGTTGTCCCGAATTTATAAATCGTGGCTCCCGCTCAGTGTAGTAGTTTTGATATCTTTGGTATACCGACAGAGGCCGCAATTCTTTCCCTCTCAGTCATGGATCATTTACCACCGGCTATGGTTGCCTTTCTGATGCGGAATTTTCCTGGTCGTCTATCCCACGGTTTGCTGACCAACAAGCTCTCGACTGCCATTGCCAAAGATTTAGGTCAAGGAGAAATCTGAGGCCCTACTTGAAGGGAAAGGCCGGAGAGATATTATGAGCCTGCTCGGTATGTGAGTCAATATATTGAATAGTAAATCTTTATACTGAGAATAATCAGTCGAGGCGAACGCGTCTGAGAATGCGAAAACTAGATTGCCTCCACGCGAGCTATTTGCTCAGATGAAGTAAGTGAATCGTATTCGTTGGTCAAGTCTTGCACGCTGAGGGTTTCTTTAGTACTATAATTCTGGCTGGACATGAGACGACCTCCAATACACTCTGCTTTGGTCTTCTGGAATTTTGCAAGCACCCAGAAATACAGCAGAAGCTTCGTCGAGAAATTCACGCCGCCGAGCGGGCTATTCGCAATAACGGTCGTACTGAATCTACAGCCTCAGATCTTGACTCGATGCCATATCTCTCTGCTGTTGTCAAGGTTTGACATATTTCTATACCGCTCATAAATATATATACGCAGTGCTGAAATTACGTCGCAGGAAACGTTGCGGTATCACGCCGTGGTGTACAATGTTTTCAGGGTTTCCAGTCAAGACGACGTTCTCCCACTAAACAATCCGATTACTACAACGTCCGGAAAAGTTCTCCACGAGTTGCCTATACCAAAAGGCCTGCAGATCATTTCCTCTGTTGCGGCATACAATAGGGTTTGTCTTTGGCGTCATGCTGAGTTTACATTGAAACTCACATCTTGCAGGAACAAAGAAATATTCGGTGACGACGCCGATGTGTTCAATCCCGAGCGGTGGCTCCGCGAGTCCGTCCCCAAAACGACTGCGTCATTGGGCGTATACGGGAGCTTGTGAGTATTCATTCCGGTCTTGTTGCTATCAAGATATTGAACATGAAATATAGGTTCACGTTCGCTGGTGGTGCAAGGTCCTGCATCGGCTGGAGATTTGCGTGAGGCTTCTTCTTGTTTGATCTCCGGTCGTTTCTCATCATGTTTTGAAGCGTACTGGAGATGCACATGTTCTTGATCCAACTAGTGGGAAACTTCGAGTTCTCGCTAGCTGAGGATAAGGATATTCGCCGAGAAGCTACGTTCGTTATGACTCCTAAGACGGAGGGCGAGATCGAGAAAGGTTCTTTGTTGCGCCTGAAGATCAAGGTCGCTCAGAAGGAGGAATGAAAGCCTTTCAGTGCTTGCCCCTCTCCTATGAAATATGTATTAAATGCGATGAGTAACCATAATGCATATAAAATGAAATGAATACACGCAATCAATAGACCCGAAATTCAGAACGGCGGTCAAGAAAGACAACTACACATTTCGAACAAATGGAACACTAATTCCAACAGCATGGGCCCTCGCAAGCCCACTGTTGAGCGCTATTTTACCAGATGATCTCCACCTCTGTTCTAGCACAAGGAGAGCAACTACGACAAGATCCTGAATATATGCGGCTTCGGTACTAAGCGAAATCGTGGCAGGAATGTCGCAAAGCTGTCCTTCTACAAGCCTTTTGCGAGAAGGCGTGTACCATGCTATCGCCGGGCGGTCTTCAATGAGCATCTGTTGATGAATTCTACTTCAATTTTGATTCCAATTCGAAAGGGGAAGGATGACTTTACCGAGAGTTTGCCCGTTGGAGATCCCTGAAAGACGTATCGCCTTCCGTCTTCTTCCAAAGTCACTGGACTGAAGTGATGCGATCAGTAAGTGAAAGATTGTGCATGGGAGATGACGAACAATATAGAAACCCAAGATGTCTTCAACTTAGCGAGCATGCTTTCCGAATGCAACCACTTGCTAATCACTTTCTCTTCTCCCTTGAACAAGATCTTGTCCGGAGAGAATTTATTCCAGTGAATTTCGCAGATAGCATCAGGTTGGGAGGTGCGGCGGATAGCTGTTCTGCTGCTACCATCATTTGATTCGACGACATAGACGGGTTTGCCATCAAGATAGAGAGAACAGTCCGTGGGGCAATCCGAGTCAAGTGTGAATTCCTTTACAGGAGCGTGGCTGGGGGCAACTAGCGTTACCTCGGATTGAGCTGGGGACAAGGACATGTTCGGGTCGTAGAAGAGTTACAGGTAGCAGGCGCACCTCAGTTTACCTATTTAATGATAGCTCCCAGCACTGCATCAAGGCACGACAATGGACGCCTGGGAATATTTGTGGCTAGTCCTGGTTCCGGTGCTGTAAAATTGCGATCTGATGATGGATGGGAACGAATTTATGTTCCTTCCGGGGCCACACCGGGCAAGATTTCAAGTAGACCGGAAAGTGACCAGGCGGGGAATGTCTGACAGTCTTTACAGTACTTTACACGGGAGCCTCGTCCCTTCTTCTAGCTTTGACGCCCAGGTCTTTGGACCCGTGAGACGAAGAATGGGTGCTATGTAGCGCCATGTAGCTAGCCAGTTGATTTTGAGCAAAACGATAATTGGACGGGCTACTTCCAGCCTCAACATCGACAATGATTTTGAAGACCGGAAAGAAACGCGCAAGTTCCAGGTCTTTTGAAAAATTATAAAGATGATAGTCATGAAGGTGTATTCTGTCGTGGATGATTTATCATTAACGAAGCTCTCCGTACCTACTGATCTGTCGCAAGTATTTGTCTTGTTCGAATAGACATGAGCACGGTTTCAAAGTCGTATCCAGATGTAACCAGTAAGCCTGATCCGTGTTCCCCGTGCTGCCATTCGAAGCGATTTATGACTTGACCAGCGCCGCTAGCATGTAATATATTGGCTACGACAGCGTGGAGACGAAGCAAGCGTGGGCTCGGGATAGGGATGGGTGGGTCTGAATTGCTGTGATCTTTGAAGACGACACGGTCTGTTGTCGGAGGCATGGGGAATACAAATTTCGGGGAGGGATGGTGAGTACGAATGGCATATTCGTTTGGAACCTGTAGTCGATGAGTTAGTACAGGGATCATATCCAGATATACAGGAAGCTAGCCTCAGTAGCCTGAAGGGAAAACATGAATTGCTCAAATGAGGTGCCGCAATTATGTTCGAATCCTATCCCATTACTCGGGTCGTCTATAGCAATAGTATTGAAAATAGCGTCCATTTCAGAGCCGGTCAAAGCACGTAGTATTTGTATTGCCTTTTCGTCCTGAGCAGATCTTTATTAATGTTAGTCTTATAGCGAACATGGATGACCCACATCGTTGAAAGCCTCGGTAACAGCGGGTCTGAGTATGTGCGTGCTTTTCACGGATGCAAAACTTTGTTCCGGGTCTTTGGCCTTGCTCGCGAAATAAGTTGAATGTCGTCCGGTGACTGGGCAGATATACTGTTGTCGCTTCATGACCTTCAGAGTGGTTAGGTGATACACAATATAGATATGAGTATCTTCAACCTGAATAGAGCTTGAAGGGTCGTGATAACCCTGAGTTTCGTCGTATAACCATTCTGTAGCAATCGTCACCCTTCTTAAGAAAGGTTTTGTACTTTTATTCTGGGAGCGCCTCATGCGAACTTGGACACTCACGGTTAACAACGGCTTAATTAAATTAGAAAACGACTTACTAATCCACAGGAACTTGGCAAACCATGTTACCGCGAGGGCGCCGAGGTTTCCCAAAGTGGCACATGCACAGACAGAGACGGCGACGTATCATTGGCTACGTTCAGTGTGTTCGTGTCCTGAAAAGTGTTGTGAAAAGTCAGCCATCGCAGTCAAAAGGCGCTCGTGCGTGAATGTCCCGGAATCAATGTCATAGTCCGTCAGCCAGGAAGGAATATTGTGGCACGATTCTTTGAGAGAATCGATGAGGTCTCTAGCCTAGGATACAAGCTCACGTGTCGCCGTTTGTGAGAAAATAATATGTTGAATTATATCATTAGGTGGAGTCAAACTGAACGCGCTGTTTGGAAAGTCTTCTTCATCTTGCAAGTCATGAGAGCTTGAAATTGAGCCACCAAGTTGGTCAGTTAGAGAGATTGAAGAGCAAGAGAGAGGAGAATCCAGAAGTGGTTCAGGTAATATACCCTTTGAGGACATTGGCGAAAACCAAGCGAAAACTTCAACGAGGCCCCCAGAAGCTCCCACCAAACTTTGTCCGGCAAAAATCCCAAAATTGGTCCTCAAATATGCAACTTTTGGGGCTCAAAGTATGCTAACTCGGACAAAGTCGCTTTCGGGCCTCCCGGGCCGGGGCCCGTACAAAACTGGTCGCCTGAATCGGCTATATCCGCGGACTTCGCCGTCTAGCACTGACGACCGACTTTACCTGCTTTTGACATGACTACAAATTTTCGTTGGAATTTTCTGGGAAAATATTGCGCAGAGGAGTCAGAAATCCAAATCGGGACTGATACCGGTTCAGATGTCAGGGCGATAGTGTCACTGCCAGGCCCAAAATATGCTAACTGCGGACAAAGTTTTTGCGTTTTTGGGGCCTAAAATATGCTAAAATCCGGACAAAGTTTGGCGGGAGCTTCTGGGGGCCTCTTCAACGACGAGAACTTCTCGGGTTGACTCGGTCCTGCCAAGGCGTGACGCAGTGCACGTGCGCGTGACCTCCGTGACCAGTCGCGTCAGCCGAATTTCAATTCGCTTCATTCGCTTCTTGTCCTTCTACCACAGCCCTTTCTGAATCCCTCCCTGCCCGATCCTACAGTGAGGCTCCAAAAACGATATAATGCCCACACATCGTTTTTTATTCCATCGACCTTCCCGTGATACAGATATCGTGATTCGCAACGGAGCACACGGCATTGTCAGCAAGAACTTGATACATCAAAAGAATAACTTCGTGCAGCATAAAACAAGAGAGGTTGTACCACCATGCGTGGAGCTATTATGTGCACAAAGTGCTGTGAAGCAATCGGGCGATGTAGCGACCTAGAAGTGCGTATATACGCCATTTCTCCTTGACAATAGCTTATCTCCATCTCGCATAGGCTGTATATGTCGTTGAACGACATCCTGTGTGGGCGTTTGAGCTCACTACTTATCGCCGTTAGTGAATTGACTGGAATCGGCATGTCCCGATCATCGTAGAGGCTTGTGCTGACGACGTCGGTAGTCACCAATTCGTCAGTAGCGGCAACCAAAAAGGCTTGATTATTGCCTGCCGGCTGCCTGCTAGCCGCGACTCCCTTTCAACGTTCAACTGGTATGGCAAGAGACAAAACGAAATGCGGTTCGTTTTCTCATTCAACAGGTTAGTGAATGTTTTTAATATTAACCTCAATGATAATAAAGGGCTGGGATCAAACCTCATCAAATGACAGTCATCGTAGAGGTTTCTTCCCTCTTATACAGCAACAGCGGTCTATGCTCCATGAATCGGCCAAGCGCACCGTTGGTACAAAGAAGGCACTTTTCCATTCTTCTGAACATGTTGCCCGTCGTTAATGGCCTATTAGTTCTAGATTCTGGAGCCAAGCTTAATCTCCGAGGGTGACGGCATACAAGTTATTCAATGTGTGCCGTCTCTTGCGTCTAGGATTGTAGCGGTTTAAGGGATAGTGAATCATGGTATGTCGTTATATTCTATCTTTTTTTGTGACGCTCATAGCTTTCATCCTCAAACGCCACCCAGCCATTATCAGCGCCACCATCATGGCCTTTTCAGTTGGATACATAACTTGTTATCTACCATGGATTTTCCCTTGGGGCCCTACAAAAGCCGCTTATCGATGTAATCGATATGTTCGACCGACGTGCATTTAAGCTAAAAAAGAAGCCAGCGCTTCGTCAATAGCAAAGGAAGGAAGGAAAGAACCGTGAAAGGCGGGCATATTCCAGAAGAACGTTCGCCCAGCTCTCATGCGGGAAAGTCAGAGAATGACGGCCTGGGTAAGGGGCGGCTATCACTCATGTAATGGCGATGCATGTGAGCAATTGCCATGCAACTCCATTTCGCGGCCTGGGTCTTTGTACCGGTGCCGCAACGACGATCCTTCCATCTTTTTTCGAAGCCATCGGATTGAGTACAATGATACCGGTATGTTGCTTGCTTCAAATGTTACAACTGAAGCTCCTGACACGGAAAAAATGTTCCCAGAATGTTTCTTGAACGTAAACCTCGGTCGACAGAGGATGTACTGTGTGGTATCCGCCTGTTCTGAATAATTGCCGCGGCATACTTGACGTCAGGTTTTTCCATTTGTGGGCGCAACCGCAAAGTCGTGGCTGTCAAGAAGCCCGCTGTCCAACGCCTATTTGGGTGGATCTGAGGCCGGGGCATGTCCTTGTCTTGCTTTTCCTCTTTCTTTAGGTGAACGAATGTTTTCCCCTCCCCTTACTCGCTCACAGATGTTCATACTTCTTAGATAGATATCACCTCGACTTTCACAGCCTCTTTTCCTTTACTATTGACAGGCTCTCCCCAAGGATACCTTTAACCTACCGAATCGCGGATCCCCTGTCGAACTAGGTTCCGGAATTCGAAGTGTTCCTACCCGTGCCTCGTTGCAATAACCCCAGAAAGCTTAAAACTAGAAAAGGCCCGCGTTCCTGTTTTAACGCTCGATCTTGGATACCTGCCTCTTCCTCTCGACCCTCTACCCGTTCACTGTCACTCACGTCCCTTCCCTCTGCTGAAAAAATGATACCTGATTTTTCACTTGATACGACGTGAGTGACGGTTACCATTGTTTCGACTGATGTTCGGCTGAAGATATCTTTCTTCGCACAGGATGGGCGCGGCATTCATCGGTGTCGTCGTTGCGGCAATGTATGTCATGTCTCTGTCACTTGCTCCCTTCGTTCCGCGGTTAATTTTTTGCATTTTTTCTTGGACAGTCTGCATGGTGGTACGCGTCGTTTTTCGCATAGGCCTCGAACTCGTTTCTCAAGATAATGCCTTAGTCTCGTGTGTCCAAGCCTGGTATTATTTTACGCACCAACATGACAGGTGGCCGCTCAAGTCGATCGTACATCCATTGCTCGTTTCCTCGATTCTTGCTAACCATATGCGCTAGGTAGCGGCCGTTATGGTATTCGATACGGTGCATCAGGCGCTTATATCTCATACCGGTAAGGTGTTTTATATGCTCCGACGCCAGTGGTGCCAAGCTGAACCAACTGCGTGTAGTCTATACCTATCTTGTCACTCACTATGGCGATGCCGCTGAACTTCAAAAGACTGTTTGGTGAGCTAGCCTAGCTGCCCCTATTATGTTTCTGTTCTTGTTAACGAATCCGTAGGAGTCTCCTGGCCGAGGTTTTGTTCAACGGGTTCACGGCCTTCCTCGTTCAGAGGTACGTTTCTTGGTCTCTGACTGTTCCAGTTTTCTGAACTACCGTTAGCTTCCTCACTTTGCGTGTCTGGCGTTGTACGTCGTTTATATTCGCTCTTCGTCTCCTTGTTGAGCTGACCGAGATCCTAGTGAGCAACAGAAATCATTATGTCACGGCCATCGTTACATTATTGGTCGTTGCAGAATTTGGTAAGGCAGTTTCACATTGCGCTCTGGGAATTGCTGATCCTTCTTTGTAGGCTGTGTCGTCGGTACGTTAATATAATCTTTCATCAAGGCAGGGTCTCATCTCCGTCTATTTCCAGCATTTGGAACTCTAGCGTATGCATTGTTACCATTCCGCTGCTCGTTAGCTAACTCTTATCATAAGCTTGATCAACGTGCACAACTTTGCCGAGCTCGCTTCTTTGAAGTACCTCTCCATCAGCGTGAATACCCTCGCTGCGGCCGGAGACGTCCTCATCGCCGGCACCCTCTGTCTGCTCCTCCACCATTCTAGGACTGGATTCCAAAAGAGTGACACCATGATCAATAAACTCGTGTGTACCTTTCACCTTGCTTTTACAAAGGTACTCACGGGCGACTAGATCCTTTTCGCGGTCAACACTGGTCTTCTCACAAGTCTTTGTGCTGTTGCATCCTTGATCTCCGTTAGTAGTGTCCTCTTTTCCTTTTCGTATAGATGCTGATTATGCCTAGATATTGACGGCTCCCAACACGTTCATATACATCACTTTTTTCTTCTGCATGGGACGACGTGAGTTTCTTCCTGAACCGACTAGTCCAATATTGACACTTCTCTGTAGTATACTCAAACTCCCTCCTCGCCACGCTGAACGCGCGCAAGCGCATCCGCACCGCTGCCGAAGGTATCAACAGTTCTAGCGAAATCAGCTTCTCGCTGAAGGACATCTCCAAAGCCTCCGCCTACTGCTCGCGTCGGGGACCGAACATATCCATCAAAATTGATACGACCAAGGAGTTTACAAGTGATGTGGACCATAACGTTGTGCTAGCCGGCCAGCCTACGGAGGACGGGTCGCCGGATGTATGTCATCTCTCGACCTATTCTCGCGCATCTGGCTGACGACAACGAAAGAACTCAAGCTCTAAAGCGAGCTGTACATTTCGGGAGATGGTTGAGGTGGCTTAGGGTTGACGACGAATCTTCTTGTATTCCGTTTCACGTTCATTTCCATGCGTTACCGTCATTTTTGCTGCCTATCTTTACGCTTTACGCCTTTTCTTTCCTTTTATCTTTCATATATGTATAGTAGTGGCCGTCAGGGCATCCCAAAAGTGAATAGTCTTATGCTTGTATTGCTGTTAGTTCTTGATGACATAATTGTAGTTTTGGCCGGCTCAATACTCAATCAAACGGGCTCGTATTGATGCGTCTCCAGATACGCTGTCTAATCGATCTAAAATATCGCATTCAAGACTTCGCTTTTTATTACTCTGTTCTTACACCCATAAGTTCTGCTAACGTAGGTGCTCATCTAATGAGTCGCATTTTATTGTGTCAGCTCTTATCGAACGATAAACACTGTCGCCAGTCTGTAGTGCTGTACCGTTACATACCTTTTGGTTCCCTGACTCGGTAGTCATTCGTCCTTTTCCCGGTACGGCCGGTCGGTCGTCAAGCAGGTCTTCTTAGACGACGCTGTGTTTGTTCGCTGTCTCTAAATAGATGGTACTAAATATTGATTATCAGTAGCAAAGACCCGTCCTGCCACGTCTTCTTCTGACGAATCCATTCCTCCCGACATGGCTCTGAACGTTGTCAGCTCTTCCTGGAAAGAACTGTGCACATAGGAATCCGGGAGCGCATGCTTCCGGAGTCGAAGCAGCATGCGAGTGACTGTGACGCTCATGATGGTCAAACCCAACTGGATTTCCTGCACAGAAGATGACGTCAACTCGAGTCAACTATTGCTATGGTAAAACGGTACCAAAAACCACCCAATAGGGAGAGCAAGGGGTTACGAGGATGTCAAATAATTACATCCACTCGATATTTTTTTAAGGCCTGGTCGATCCGACCGACCGACCGCCGTGGGAATAACATACCTAATGAAGGCATAACATGCGGTATTGGTAAGCACACTGCCACCCGGTTAGAAGCAGTTACCGGTAGTAACCGATCTCTCCCGTCTAGACGTTGCCGGAATCCCCAAATCCGCCTCATCAGCAAGCTGGCAGGACTATTCCTTCATCATCTCTATCACTGAGAAGATGCTTAACAGAATCACACAGCCAACATCCTCAGTGAGATCTTTATTCTTCATCAATTATTGCTTCCTCATGGCACTTTTGAGCTGATTAGTGCAGAAAAAAATTGATATAGAATTTTTTTTTAAGGCCTCTCGAAGGCAACCGACCGACCGACCGGGTGTACCGGCTTGACGGTCCGGTAACCCCTTGAGGGAGAGCTAAAAGTGCACTGGTCAAATTTAAACATCCGATACACGAACTTTAGAACAAAGACTAAAGCAGCTCACGTTAGGAAGTAGATAACTGAATCTTGGAACATCAGTTGCATTATTGGCTCTGGGCTGGGCTGCAACGTGTCCCCGCCTGATGATAGCAATGACCTCCGATTTCGCCAATCTTTAATCCCGTGATATGCTGCAGCAGTAAAAATGGTGCCCTCAAACACCAGGGACAGTACGCTGAAAATATGGTTACGATGACGTACAATAGCAATGCGACTTGTAACGGCACGATACTCACAAGTGGATTACAGTTGCCTCTGTGCTTCTAAGATTTAAAACGAAGAGCACCACAGAAACGCTCGCAGTGCAGGCAAGCAAACCAAAGAAGGACCACAAGATCCAGCGCTGATTACCGGTAATTACCCAGACACGAAGGATCAATATGATTCCTATGACAACGAGCTGTATCGTCACTGAACAAGTTGAGCATATGAGAAGTAATATTAATAGCAAATGAAGGTGAACGGCACGTACCGTATATAATTGACTCAGGGTCAACGAATACACAGAGGATTTCTTTAGATGATCTCCGAGCCGCTGGGTAAAGGAAGTCCACACAGCATCACGCCACGAGACTCAAATAACAAAATCCAGCCCGCACCTGCTCCGCATCTAACTCACAACATCAGTCAGGGGAAGGTCCAAAGAGAGGAATCAGAAAATGTACGTGGAATAGTTCAGCTTAGAAAGGAATTAGTGAATGCTTTGATCATCGCTGGACGACCAAATCAACTTGCCTCATATCGTTCGCCTTTACAACCCAAAAGTCAGTCTTTACCAAACCTTGAAGCCTGAAGCAACGTACTCAAAGCATCCCAAAGTCGAAGGATGAGCCCAAGGTAGCGATTCTGATAACGTCGTAACCAACAACTCATTCTGTCACTTATTGTGATACTGGAATATAGATTCACCGCTCACCACGAAGAACAGAAATTTAATCCATGATCGTCTTGAGGACTGTTCGCGATTTGGGTTCGGAAGCTTATACTCGTATCCTGAAATCAAAACGTGCCCAGAACAGGTTGACCTTTAATGCATGTCAGTGACGCGTGCACGCGAGGACGTCAAGAAGTACTGACCTCATCATCAAAGCTTATCACGTAGTCCCATAGGATAAATGACCTTGTTATGACTGTGCTTCATTAGGGAAACGCGAGATAAAGAAGGGTCGGGACCGTACATATCGCAACCTCAGATGAGTACGAACCCATATCGGGTGATGTACTAAACACGATGAGACGCCCATGGCAGTCCCTCTGGGTTTTTATATCATTTTTGATATGTGCTGCCGGACCCGGGGAGTCTCATGATGAGGGGGCCGATAGATCACATCACGAAAAGTGTATTGTTGATGATGAGAAACGACAATCGGAAAGGTCAAGAAACATTACGGGAGTTAGCCTGTCAATAAAGATCGACTCTATTCGGTCAGACTCGAGTGCAAGGACCTGGCTCTAGCAATCGGAAAGTGATAGCATTTAATGAAAATTTGGCGGATGGTCCAGAAGTAGTGTCTGATTCCTAGTTGATCCCAGCTGGGAACATACGCAAATTGCGATGTCGAGGTGCCCACCCCGTGGTTGGGGGTCCTCAAGGGGACGCCCCACCTAAAGGCTCGTAAACAGCTGGATATCTGTCCGAATTGTGATTCAAGTTGATTGTCGGTTAGGTTTTTTCCGGACTTGTAAAGATACACACGTTGACCTGGATCAAGGACCAAGGTTGGTGCGGAACCCGTCTCCGACATTGCCGCCGGCAAGTAATCGGGGTTGCCCACGTGCAAGCGACAGCCTGCTTTACCTTTCACCATCAACCACAGGTCACTCATTTGCTACAGCCATTAAACCAATACGAGCTCTGCCTTTGCTGGAATGTCTCTAAGGCCATGCTCTCCTTTTGAATACCTCGCCGACACTAGAAGTCTTGTTCTTTTCACCTTCACTGAGGATGTCACTGGCGGCCATGATTCGCTATGCAGTTGCACTCAACTGAGCAGTCATTCACGTACTAATTGTAGTGGCACCTCAAGACAAAGAATTCAGCGCCATTTTTCTGCAAGTATCGACAGCAGTCTCTTCGAAGCCGCCCCGATATGGACTGCGTGAAGCGATTGATGGACGGGAACTGAGAATCTTGTGGAAAATGCTGACTTAGGGAATGCCACCAAAGCATACCTGCGTGGCTGACTAAGTTCAACCTCCAACAGGAAAAATTCAAGCTCGACCTTGTCCTTACGGCCATGCTTGATTTCACACCTATAAGTGGTGGGGAACGTGCACACACTAGCATGGGATATGCTGCTGCTGTCATTTGCTCTTGCCGGGAACTGCGACTTGAATTAAGAAGAGACCGCAAATGCACTCAGCGCGCTCGCACTGACGTGGTTTGCACATTTTCCTGGGATTTGCGATTTTCCATGCTTTCGGTGATTGTTTGACTAATCGTCGGTGCATCTTAGTCCGCATGCATAGCTCCTACAAGAAATACTTACAGCGGTTTGCATACAGCTTGACAGTAGCATGTGTTTTGCACGAGAGAAGAGAGTAATTTGGACTTGGTCATAAACCATGGTTTATGGACTTGAAGACGCGTTTATGGCTGGTTTATGGCTATTTCGGCAATCTCGGAGGTCCTTTTGCGCGCTTGAAGTCCGACCCAAAACACGGTTTATGACCAAGTCCGAGCCTTCTTTCATCATCCACGAAAATGCCCCTGACTGTCAAGCTGTATGCAAACAGCTGTAAACGAAGCCGATCAATTTGGGCCAGCGACTCCGACATTCGTAGAAACATTAGGATTCGTGAATTTTGATGAAATCGGTCACCGCAACTCGATAATGGCGACGAAGGTCAGAATCTGTAGTAAAACTTGGTACACCTATTCTCACTCTTTTTAGGTCTTGAGGCGGCAACAACATGTCTGTCCTATTACTGGGTTTGGGGACAGGTCCCGTTTCGCCAGACATCCTTCCGATGATCCTAACCTCGCTTATGCGGATCTAGAAAATTCTTACATATCCAAATGGTTACCAGCCGAAGCATCTAAAGACGCGAGTGATTTAATTTCTACTGACATAGTGCCATTCGTTTACCCGTTTCTTAGTCTAACAGACATTCTATGACAACGTGGGATGTAGCCCGAAACTACATGGCCTTGACCGACGAAGAGTTGGAAGCAATTGTTCCGGCACTCAATGACCCAAGCAATGGGATTGGTTTTGAGCACTATTGTCGTATTAGTTTCGTTGCCTTGTTCTCTCTACGTGCGATGGAGGTATGTATCTCGGTTGATCTAAACATAGCGTGATTGCTGATCTACCGTAGGCACCGGACGAATACACGATACAGCTCCATCGTCCTCCATTCAAATTCGCTTTTCCGTAGCCGCCTGTGGGAGGTCGCGAGTATCGTGTTGTTTTTAAGGATTACAGCAACTTGGATCTGCCGATCCCTCTCCCAAATTCTGCATACCTTCATCTTCACGCTGCGATAATGGGAATCCCTGACATGAGCGGGGCTGGTGGAGTCATAAACGAATCTGAAAGCAAGCACGATGAAACTGGCTCTCGTTTATTAGCGCAATCAGACTACAATTTCGAAACCATTCTGTCTTGGCTAGACTTCCAAAATTCGAAAATGGTTTCAACTCATTAAGTACCCCTCTTAGATGCGAGAACCTTCGGTGTATAATTCTGGCCGTCATAGGAATAGAAACGATCAGGTTTGTTAGTGCCGTACTTCAAACTTCAACTTATGCCAATTTCGAACGGTTGGCTTCGACCACGGGAAGCGATGACCGTGGCAATCGGACCATCGAATGGATGGCGATCTGTACCTCGAAGTCAACCCAGGTCAGCACAGCTGCATTAGGTTACGCGTCTCTTCCGTATTGGACTCAGTTCTGAGCGATTGATTATGATATCCGAACGATGCTTAGTACATGCCGAATTCTCGATGACATGCTGCTTTCTAGATGCATTCATATAGCGAAAATCATTCGATAAAAAGTGGAGAGCATGGCCTGTAGGGGATAGCATGGGCGACCTCCACTTTCTGGCCATGAGAGCAAGGAAATGGCTCCAATACTAGATAGAAAGAAAATTAATACTGGTAGCTCAGACAAACACCCTTTGCTGCTCAATTGGACTAGCAGTACGGAAGCAGCCAAGTCATTGTCTTCAAATCTCCATCGTCAAGTTGAACTCAACGGTCAAAGATATATTCCTTCTACCTCATTCTCCCGCAAATTCCTTCCTGTGGCGACTCTGAACGTCGTCAGTGGGTCTTCCTCGACAGAAACCTTCCCAGAACTTAGTCTGAGAGCGCCTGCCTCCGGAGCCGAAGCAGCAAGCGAGTGACTGTGACACTCATAATCGTCAATCCCAGCTGGATATCCTGCACAGAACGTAACGTTAACTCGAGCGGAGCATTGCTAAGCTGACACGGTACCAAAAACCAAGTAATAGGGAGAGCTAAAAGAGCACTGACCAAATTTCAACATCAGTTGCACAAAATTTAGAAACAAAACTGAAGCAGCTCACGTCAGGAAATAAATAATTGAATCTTGGAACATCAGTCGCATTATTGGCTTTGGGTTGAGCTGTAACGTGTTTCCGCTTGATGATAACAGCGACCCCCAATTTCGAAAATATTTAATCGCATGATGTGCCGCAACAATGAAAATGGCGCCCTCAAACAGTAGGGATAGTGCACTGAAAATGTGATTTCGATGATGCAGACACGACCTGCATTGTATGGTACTCACAAGTGAACCACTATTGTCCCCACACCTCCAAAATTTGGAACGAAGAAGAGCGCCACAGAAGCACTCGTAGTGCAAAAAAGCAAGCCAAAGAAGGACCACAAAATGCAGCGCTGATTACCGGTAATTACCCAGACGCGAAGGACCAATATGATTCCTATAACAACGAGCTGTATCGCCACTGAATTTAGGCGTATGAGAAGTAATAACAATCACAAATGAAGGTGAGTAGACACGTACCATATATAATCGATTCGGGGTGAACGAGCAGACAACGGAATTCTTTCGATGGTCCGGCTGTAGAGGAAAGAGCTATCACACAGCATCACGCTGTGGCACTCATGTACAAAAACCAAGACGCACCTGTTCCGCATCTAAGTCTCAGTGTCGGTCAGTGTCAGGTCCAAGAAGCGGGATTGACAGAAATATACATGAAGTAATTCAGCTTAGAAAGAAATCAGCGAGTACTTTGATCATCACTGGATGACTCACCTCATATTCTTTTCCTTTAGAAGCCAAGAATTAGGTATGGGGAAGCCTAAAGCTTTGGGGCGACATACCAATAACATCCCAAAGTCGGAGGAAAAGTCCAAGATAGCGATTCTAATGATGTTGTGATCAACAGCTCATCCTCTTATGATTTATCGCGATGCCTAACGACAGACTCACCACAAAGAACAGAAGTTTAACCCACGAACTTCTTGCGAACTGTTCCCGGCGTTAGGATTTAGAAGTTCATGTTAGTATTCTGAAATCAATACGTGCCCAGAACAAATCGACCTTAAGACTTGTCAGTGGTAATGCGCATGACGACTGTCAGGGACTGCCAAACCTCGTCATCAATACTGATCAGGTAATCCCATAGGATGAGCGACCGTGCTACATCTGCGTATCATTAGAGAAATATCCCATAAAGAAGTGCCGAACTGTACATCTCGCAGCCTCGGACGAGTATGAATAGTACATATTGAATGATGCAAACACGACGAGACACCCACAGGGTCTTTATATGTTTTCTTCTAGGTGCTGTGGGAGTTTCATGATGAGCATCAAGAAAGATCATTTTGTTGATCATGATTCAGGAGAAACGACGACCGGAAAGAATCATTTTGCGATGCGACCTAAAGCTGTATGCCTGTATCCATTTGGTCTTACTGGAGTACAAGGGAGAATGAGGGCTGATTATAGTAGCGCAATAAGATTTCACGAAGTGTGGGCAGATGGGATAGATGCTGGTGTCTGATTTCCAACCGCCATAACGGCATGTTCAAGGGAGCTGAGACACGGTCGACACAAGGTGGGGGGAAGTCCGAAGGACAGTGCAGAATACAAGCCGGGCTGTGAGCTTGATCTGCATGTTCTCGAACATGGACAATGATCACCCTTCAACTAGCTATCGAAATACGAGAACTCGCTGGCAGCAGTGGTCCGTGGGAGCAAGTATGTTTGGAATTCGGCTCTAAGGAATATATAGCGGCCGTAGAGCTGAATTTTTCACAACATACAAGAGGCGGAATAAGCAGCAATCCGTATTTGAAAAAGCCAAGAGTGAAGTAATCACGGTGTTGGTGGTCGTTCGACTTGATCATCGTCGGGGAAGTAGTAAGTTGCCGGTTTTCTCCTACGTAGCGCATGTTATACCTGCGCTTTGGTCAGAGAAATCTGAAGAAGAAAATATACTACCCACGATTTAGAACTTCAGTGTAGATACGTTTGAACCCATTTTGTCGTCGATAAAGCAAATGCGAGCTCACTGACACGCTCTTTATGGACCATCGTAGGCATGATCAACAATGAACATGGCCACAGTGGTTCGACGTTCAACCCTGGGAACCCGGAGGAACAAATACCGTATGATTAATTAATGTTGCACAGCATGTATCGAATCTAGCCAAGAAATTCTCATCCCATATGTCTCGTAACGCTGACTAGTACTATAAGGTTGACGCTGCACCCCCAAGAAGGGGGTGCAAGGGAATCACCGGTGGGGCATCTTGAGACGAGGAATGGGATGGAGTAATTCTATCTTTCGATGAACTGTATTGTAACAATCACTGGAGTGGAGCTAGGTGGATCTTCCGGCATGGACATGTCCTGAGCGAACAAAGTTCTCAGACTCAACCTAGGATTGTCGACTTGGTAGAATTAGAGAGAACAGAGCTCTAGACACTGGGTATACATGACACTTCACGAGACAAGACTGCAGGAGAAGGGGGGAGGGGTCTAGTCGTATTGGAAAGGCAGCTTGCAGCGGACAAACTGGCAAAAGCGGCGACGCGTCATGCACGTGCACAGCGGCCGAAAGTAGCTTACGTCACTGGCTTGATCCAACTTTTTCAACGTCCAGCGGGTATCTATCTATCTTCGATGATCGGTACTCAGTCGCAGTCTGTTCCAACGTTTCACTCAGTTAACCCTCTGATTGATAGTGCTATAGCCGTCGTAATTATACCACAAAGACTCTTGTCATTCTGAACACTCCGCTGCTTTGTCGAGTCGGTTCTCTAAAATCAGGACAATGAGAGGAAAGGATTACTACTCGGCTCGATTTCCATGCATCGCCAGTACATTTCTCGTTAAAGGCTCAAACAAGCCGTTATGGATGCACACATGCAACCCCATCATATCTGATATCGCCATCCAGGCTCGAGCCTTCGGCAGCATGTGGTGTCAGTGACCTCTTTCTGATCCCAGTGACGAGCTACTAGGCATCGCTTTCAATTTGAACACCTCTTGTATTAGGTCAACATCGTACGGCACCGGCAGGATGTATGCTAGATTAAGCGGAAAACCGGCCCTCAAAATGAGGCTGTAGATCTTCCCCTCCTAAAACTGACATACTGCACTATGGCGCTACATCGCCTTTTCAATGATGCATCCGAAGGACTCTCCAATCAAATAAGCTCGAGACGCCCATCCTCAACCTTTGTCTCGGAGGACTCGAACACTGCCGACTGGGTAAGTTGTCTACGCCTTCGACACAATTTCGCATTTTCATTACCTCTTCTAGTTTATCGTCGAACAAAAGGCACAGGAAGGACTGATTATATTCCAGAGCCAAAGAACCAAAGGTTTCATAACGCTAAGTTCCACGGTAACTATTATCAATGAACGTTGCTTACATCTATGATCGAAAGAACTCTTGACCGTCACCGGGTTCTCTTCCGAAGCAATTCGATTCGTCTTCGATATGATCATAGGAAGATAGTTCACCACCCCAAGTACGCATCGGCCTCAAGGACTCGAATCTCTGCGCACTGGAAACCCGAGAATGGCGAGAACGGTAATAATGTGTGATATTCAGCTATACTTCGATGACCACAGCTGATGATAATGTTGTAGATTGTCTTGAGAACAAGTCGAGATGACTCCGCGAAAGCAATCAAATAGGGCTTTCAAAAAACGATCCTTTCGTTCTACAGGAAGGGTGTCGTCTGTGCCAAAGTGGTGTTGACAGCGTAGAGCAACATTTGCAACTTGATCTCTATGGTACTGATGAGGACCGCGTGTAGAAAAAACATTCCCACCCTCTACGCCAATGAATAGCCTAGTCACAGGGACTAGCAGCGACTATGCTACTTACTTTCTTGCAGCGTACGACAACGGTTTTTCGCAGACAACACCTGGAAATCGTTCATTGCGGTTCCAAGTGGATTTGAGCTTCTGGTGACGACCGACGATGTTTGGAACGATGCCTCAATTGAGGGAGAATATGGTGACACGCCGTGTGGTACGATTTAAGTCCTCGGTGCTTAACTAGGCCTGCAGGAAGGACGGTTTTATTCATGTACCTTTGTTCTAACTCGATTTTCTTCTATGTATCTTTGTATATTAAGTCATTGACTAGAAAGAAAGGGTTCACAGAACGAAAGGATCAGGATTTGTCGTACCGCAAGTCACAGCAAAGCTCTCTGCACCCTCTGTATCACTGATCGAAAATGAACGCGGTACAAAACTCCAAGTTGGATTCCCCAGAGGTTCCTTCGATTAGCAATGGACATGGTTTGAACTTTGAACTTGGGAGTTCCTTCAGACGGCATGCATAAAATTGAAAAAAAGGATAAAGTTTTGACATACATAATGGCTCCACTAGGGATCGAACTCATACCCGCCAGCGGCTTAACTGTTGTCCACTTGACGTTGGGACCAAGTTAGCTAACCGATCACTCAAACCAGATTTGAGCTTGGCTGTACGTGTGCTAAATAACCGAACCGGGCATTATACTCAGTAAGCTTCTTTTCCACTCGTCTGACCAGCGTCGTTATGGCCGCCATCGCCACTCGTGAATTCCTCTCTAGTCTGGAAGCTCTCTACCCCAGGCAGGCCCGGGGTGTCGTCAGTCCATGGTCTCTCGTCGCAGCAACAGCATTCAGCTCCAGCAATCTCCCAGAAGCTGTCCCAGAAGTGTTCAAATACGCTCTTGAGGGCGTAAACACGCATGATGAACGGCAGGTATTGGTTAGGAAGTTGAAGGACGCTTTGTTCAAGTCGGGGACTGTTGTCTGGGTATCCTAAGGCGCGTCCTACTATGGACATTACATGCTTAACCGACTGATCTGATACGCGGTGATAGGCTATCAATGCCTCTTTCTCAGCTCCATCCTGTCATTCCCTCTTGAATTGCGCGATACGAAACCCCTTCGGTATTCCTTACTTCATAGGTCTGGAATCAGTGACTTGATTCGCTTTGCTCGTATAGCGATCTATCTTTGCCGACCGAAGGCGTGGACCAAAATTCGGACAAGAATATTTCGATCGTACATACGGAGACACGGACAGCGACCATTCAGCCTTTTCTCAAGGAGCTATATCCTGACTTTCGGTGAGCTCTCTCCGCATTCAAACGCGAGAGGTCGCGTCTAACAAGATATACTAGAATTCTTTTCAACAACCTTCGGGTATGGATATACCTATGGCTATTTTGGCGCGCTCTCAACTGCGGAAACTTCATTTACGATGGTGGCAGCGCTCATAGCGAATGATACCCCACGACAGGTTGACTGGCATCTCAAGGGGTCGTTGAGGAACGGCGCGACCTTGGATGAGGTCAAAGCCGTGCGTCAGATTGCCCTCGACGTTGCTCGCACCTCAGGTGTGCAGTGGAAGAACGAGATACCCGACATCGAAGCGTAGCCCGGGCTGTGTACACTACGAGGTGTTAGCTACGGACCCTGCGATGTATATAGATTGCTATGCCAAGTCTGATCCCTTTCCGACTGCTCTCGCCGGCCGAAGCAGTGTCAACTCCATCGCGCCTAGGTCATCTCTAGCTCGCATACGCGACCTAAGAAGCATTCAAGATAGCAAAGCTCACCACGCTACTTCATCCAAAATCATTAGTATGAACGCTTACAAACACAGACTATTTCGCACCGCCAACTAGGTGATGGGTGCGTAGCCAAGAACGCTGAAGACATAGCGCAAGGTTTTGGTCCGTCCCCGAGTTGGGAAGGAATGTACATCGCAAGTGCTTGGTTTAGAATCCTACAATTTCTCATTTCCCTGGTTCCCAAATGTTCGTTGGCGATGGTTGTGGACAGAAGAATGGATTCTCCCACCGTATATATGAGGAGACAGAAGAGAAAGCCGAACTTCGACCTCCTTCCTTCCAAGGATAGTCCAGAAGCGTAAAATGAGGATAGCATCCATGAAAGCAAGCTCGAATCACACCAGTTCCTAAAATCAGCCTGCGAGCACTGAATCGGATTGGAAGATGACCGCCCATAGCAACGACGACAGTGTGAGTGCGAATCTCACAGGTCGATGCTAGCGAGCAGAAGCTCTTGAAACTGATGATACGTGCCTTTAATTCAATCGTATTGATACATCTAGAACGGATACTGTGGTTCGAACGAAGACACGTTCCAGTAGAAAGCGTACCTGGAAACCGATTAGTATCGAACTACGATGCAGCACAAGGAAACTAACCTAATCAAACCAGCCGGCGAAAAACCAGCTCAGCCAACTACTTTACGCGAACAAGGCGCAACACGAATCTATTACTCTAATGGTACAAAGTCGTTCAGGTCGTAAGAAATGATGTGGGTAAAAGTAATGCAAGAGTATACGGCATAGCAATGATACAACATAGAAAAACATAGTAGGACAATGGCTTGGCTAAGATTCCGGATAGTGACCTGGTATTAAATAAACAAAAATAGTGATTATGCAAACCATATCCATAGATAAACCGAATGTGGCCGCCAGGACCAAAGTAGAAGAAAGTAGCCGTCGGGGAAGTAATGCCGATTAAATGACGTATGGGAATAAAGATTAGGATATATGTTGGATAGATGATCGATTCGACAAAGACAAGACGACAATTTTGGCAAGGCAGCGCGGAGCGGGAGCCTAATTTTCTTTCATCTCCTCATCGATAGCCCCTCTGAGCTCCCCGCGGAAGGGCTGCGGCTGAGTTGCACAGGTTGGCTGGAGGCTCTGCACAAGCGGCTGCCTCGCATGATCAGGAGAGAATGGTCTGTGTGAAGGCCATGTATTTTTGGGCTTGTCAGTTGCACAGGGCGGTAGTTCGGGTAAAGGAGCAGTGGGTGGAGGCAAGGAGGGAGCGGGCGGTTGCGTCCTTCGTACAGGTCTACGAGGACTGACAGCAAAGAACACGTCAGCAATGTCAAAGAAGGCAGAAGCCAAGGAAACGTACCGAAGAGAAGTACCGACGCTGCCGCTCCTCATTCGCCCTACAAGGCTCGTCCCTTCACTGGCAACGTTGGGCTGGAATTGGTTCTCTACCAGAGTGCCCATGACTGAGCTAAGACTACCACTCCTGGAACGTGAGGGTGACGCCTGTAGGTGGATTTGGAACTGTAAGGCGGTGCTCGCATTACGCGAAGGCGACTTGAGAGCATTGATGGACGTTCCGATGCTCAGACTCGACCGACGCTTGCGAAGGCGTGGTCGTAAGGCTGAATTGGTGGTAGCAGTCGTCTCCGTTACCAGCGTATGACCTCGGCCGTCGTCGACCTCGATGTCACTGGCATCGTCAAAGAGAGGTGAAGAGGGTGAGTCTATAAAGGAGTTGACATTGAGGTTGGCCGTGAAGATGTGACGAGGAGCAAGAAGACCAGAAGAAAAGAATGCAGAGTACGCTGTCATGGTCGATGTCGAAGGGTAGGTGGAGGATGGCGGGCACGGTAAAAGTGATGGTTGAGGATGAAGTATAGCACGGTTGCAAATATGAACAGCGCCACTGCCATAACAACACGTACATAAGCCATAGCAACGACAAATATTATAAATCTGTTTTTGGCAACACCCCTGTCGGGCTTCGGGTTCCATGTCCGATATTCGTAAAAAAAAAAACCCATCCAATCGTGATTCGAGAACTCGAGTCGCACTCTCGCCGACTCCCGCCTGGTCCTCGAAGAAACTTATCTTCATGCTCAGGATGGCTTTGCTTTGGCAAAAATCATTTTCTCTACTTCTTGCTGCGTAGAGACATGGCAGTGAAGCACCGCATGGAATGACATGAAACAGGACGCGCCACGCAGGGCTTATAAGCACTGGAGAAAATTACGAGCGCTTTTTCTTGCCTAAATATTAGGCTCTCAGGAACTTAGTCCCACCTAGGCGAATGGAAAATGGCCAGGCTGAGAACCAGGAAAGATCGATCTGGGCGACCTCCTTTCTGCCTTCGTCCTCGTACGACTTTTGTCGGAGAGCCTGCGCTTGCCACGGCGTGCCGTACCGCACCCCTCCCAGACTGTGACGGACTCAGAAGACATCTTCTCTAGGGATATCTAGACTACAAGCCCTTGATATCTGTGTTCAATCTGCTCTGCATCCATCCCTTGATCTCATCATATACCGTGAGATGGTCCTGAGCTTATGGAAATCTTCGACCTTCCGGAAATCTAATCGGGGACATCAGACGAGATGTAGGCGAAAAATACGTTATCCCGCTATAGCTGTATTCCCTGAGTGAACCTGAATTTGGAGGATGCGCGAAATGTGACGTCAGCAGGCTGCTGATTTGTCGCATTAGCTATTGTGCGTTTGGGTGTCATGGGCTAAGAGAAGATGCCTTTGGAATGCAAACAAGGTTTCCAGACAGGTGTTTCATCGTAATTGAGGTGTTCAGGTGAGAAAAAAGAAGAGCTCGAGCACGAATTTCTCACAAACGAACACATCACAGAGACGACATGTACAGACACCGAGAGCGATGCGAATGAGCGGGTGGGGTGACCACGGTGATCATGGGAATCTGAAGAAAAAGACAAAGTTGCTCCGGGCACATGGAACGCCAGGCCAAGCACGTCCTTGTGACTTGGTATGACTTCGTAGCGTGCGCCCAGCCTGGCAAGGCGTCTTTATTATATGTTGCGGAACTCGTATCTGATAAGGCGCGGCTACCTAGTGATTACCACCAGGAACAGCCGAAAGTCGCCTGCAAGAACTCAGTCTTCAAGCTGTTCGTGTAGTATCTCCAACTTAGATCTCTCCCGTTCCGTTGTCACGCGCATCCCATCACGGATTCTTAACGATGCTGCGCATGCTCGGCCCGCTCTCCCACTCATCGCATACAGCGGCTACGGCATTGCCAACAAAACTGAATAACAAACGCTCTCCTAATGAAATCCTATGTCTACAAATCAACAAAAATCTGGAAGAACACCGCCGCCGACAACTGACGCAGGCGGGTACGTCGACGATCGTTCGACATCATCCAGCATCCTGCCCAATTATCTCGATTCTACGGTGACCAATTCTTTCGAACCCTCTTAGCGGGTCCTTATCATGATACAATAACGATCCTTCTTGTTCGTTACGAACTCTGTATCTTGGCATGACCGCGTGAGTCAGTAATGCATTGCGGTGCCATCTTATTATCATTATGATTCTGTTCGTGCCGCCAGTCCGTGATTTGCCGCGTCTTTATGGGGTATTCCACAATCTATGTCCCTAGGCTTTCGGTATACATGTTGCGCAAATTCTAGGCCGCTGCAACCTGTGTCCGTCTCAGATATGAACCCCATACTGTCTTCGGCCTTGTCACTAAAATGTGCAGAACGACGAGCTGGTATACTCAGGCGCTCGGTGATAACAATGGATGCCAATGGTAAGCGCCTGACATTCTTCTCTGACTTACGTTTTTCCTGAGAGTTTTCGGTTAAGTCCTCGCCTGATCCTAACAAGTTCCTTGCAATCTGGAGAATACAGAAATGAGGTCGGTAATGTTGCCTATATAAGCCCAGTGCGTCTGTGCTGGAGATGATGTCCCTTCCCACTTGTCTTTGTCCACTACAACAGCCAAGAATGTCTCTCTATTACAGCTGTGAAAAATTCTCCCGGTGTACGTTCTTCAGTACAAGTTCACGTAGATGCCAGGCGATATCTTACCAATAACCAGATGCAACGCCCGCTCTACTAGCTTGGGAATACTGCATAACCTTGGACGATGAAGTTCGTTTGTGATCGATCTCCCCACTGTGGTTCTCGATATCTCACTGTGTTGCTCAGATGACTTTTTTCTGGGTTTGGGCATATATGATCGTTTGCTTTCAAATTTCTCATTCATAATGGGACAGGTTCCCAAAATATCTTCAATTCAGTGCTTATTTTTCATGGTATGATGGGACCGGAGTGTCTCATACCCCTTGTGATAGCTGACTTTCTCAGACTCGTTATCTTCCTATGATATTGGGAGTCTGGGACATCGTCCCAAAAATCCTGATGGATAGCGATAACCTTTATGATGAGCTAGCCCGGTCCGGCTTGAACTTGCAGGTATTTTTGTTCTCGTGGTCAACTGTATACGGTAAGTTTATAGATTTCGACATAGGCGTGTCTGATATACAGTTTCTCAGTCGTAGGAGTAATAGGACGTCTCATAGTCATCGAGAGCATTCTCATACTACGCGTTTGGGCTATGTCAGGCAGGAGAAAAAGTGTTCTATACTTTTTTCCCGTCGCTCTCTTGCTGAATTTTGGTGTATCTCTATTTCTGTATCTCCGGTATGGCGCCACATCTTGGGATCAGAGGGTCTATTGGTAACGTTTAATTCTTCGTTTCTCGCCGAGTTCTAATGCATAATGGTTATTTAGGATTCCGATGCTCGTTTTCGAAATAATTCTATTCACAACCGCAGTAGGTTATGGATTACAAGGGATGAAAGTCACCCAGATTCTCGCCCGCTCACGCCACAATTTCGGACCCAAGCCGATCATGGGTCTGCTCCTCAGAGACAGTGTCTTTTACTTCGTGGTGTACGTCGAAATATTTGCTTGCACTAACGGTATGCTGACAACCAGTTCTTAGTGTCGCTGGCTGTTATCCCGTCTACGTATGGCTTGTAGGAACCCCATCTTCATAGTGTAAACAAGCAGCTGATCTGAATGATTGACAGAACTCTGAGATGGGCCTGGCTCTCACGAGCATTCCCATAACGCGCATGCTCCTCAGGTTACGCAAGCGTGCTGCAGAGGACTTAAACATTCCAGCCACTCAGGATATAGAATTGGAGACTCTCCGAATTGCGAACTCGATAACAGAAGGATCCCTTACCACCCACGTTTGAGGGTTGTTGAGAGCGAGGAAATGAGGAATTTTAGGTAGAGTAGACACAAACATTGCAGACGATACAACAAGTATTATATCTCGCGGGATCACCTGATAGACTAGTGGTAATAATTCATGCGTATATGACGGGGTAAGTAAGTTCACATCCTGGAAGTTTGAGGACGTCTATCGCTTCCCAGGTTTCCATTTGGGAGATCCTCTTACAACTGGCAGATTACTCCGCGATGAAAGACGCGCCGTCAATTTGGAAGTCAGACAAGGATTAATATCAGGGGTCCCAAGTAATGCGGGACCTGTTTTCGAGTCCTAAAAAGATGAGGAAGCCAATCGAGGAGGGAACTTATGCTTAAGGTTGACTGCACAAGGCGACTAAAATATAACTCATTGAATAATCATCATACACTAGACTGGCTCTGAGGACCGACTTTTTGAACCTGGAAGCGGGCTTTCTCAATCACCTTAGCTTCCGTTTTCTTTGATATCAGTCGCAGCGGTGAACTATAAACGGACCATTGCTTACTAGCTGTGGTGTTCCCAGACCGGGCGACCACGATACATCATACCTTTATTAGAGTGACGGCATTGTATCGATGATTACTACTGTAAGACTTGCGTTGCACGAATGCAATATTACCTTGACGTTTTGCTTTCTGTCCACTTCCACAAGAGCCAATAAATGAGGCATCCGGGGGCCTGCATTTAGTGTAACGCACCGTCTAGACAACTATGAATTCATAATACATCCATTCTTAGGGATACTACCTGCTCGCCCTTATTATCGGCATTCAATTTGCTTTATATTCCTTCTCGATCTCGCCGCACACAGCAGGGAGAGCGGTCCCGAGCTTCTTGAAATCCTCGACCTTCCGGAAATTTAATAAGGGGCATCGTGAGACAAACGAAAAATACCTCATTCCAAATCTGCGCACTACACCTTACCCACCACATCCCATTATGATAATAAGGAGCGGCGTACACATTGTGTTTGACGAGCAGCTTATTCTTGAGCATCTGGTCTAATTCCAATGTCGGCTTGAGGTCACCTGAAAGGGGCATGACTACGTTAACCTACAAGTGCCGAAATCAGCAGCAGCTTCAAAGGGGAGGACCAAATGCACCATATGCGCAGTAAATTGTCCGTCTTCATCCATGACTTTCGTGTTCAAAACCTTCGCGAGAGTTTTACCCCCCTCAATCGCTAGGTTATGGCAATGCTCGTTGATCACGGTTTCACCGCCCAGCCACTTGCGGAATTCAAGCGCCGCAGCGATACTCAGGTAGGGCGCCCAGTCAATGGTCCCATTCCCTAAGGATGAATGAGAAAGACATTTGATACCGAACAGGGGGGCCCTACATTCGAACTGCTCTACAAAATTTGGTCCTGTACGATCTTTGGGCGAGACGTAAGTAGACGACGTCGGAAAGCTCGACTTGACAATATGTTGGTTCCTATGCCGACGGTCGATCAGTGGATACAAATTAACAGCTGTACGATCGCGTCACCCACCTCTTAGGAACATACAACACCGCAGCACCCCTCTTTGCGAACAGCCACTTGTGACAATTCTGACGCATTGTTAGTCAGAAGCTTCTTCGACGCTTCGATGTATTGGCCACTTACGCTTATCCAGAAATCTGGCTTGACTTCATCCAATTTGATGTCCTGGCTGCCTGTCCAATCGCATGCGCTGCATCGACAACGCTCCATACATGTCGAACTCGCGGCAAATATCTGTCATGACCTCCCAAGGAAGAAGAGCTCCGGGGTTAGAGATAATCGCGTCGATAACAGCAACAATTTTAGCATTCTTTCCGATGCGTTCCCGGACCGATTTTAAATGGTCTCTCCACCGAGAAACGATATCTTCCTTTGTCGTTGGAAGAGAAGAGTGAATTGCGCAACCTCCGGATGCGGCGGGATGTCAGAAATGTATTGCGCCGTCCGGGAAATGGATCCATAGGTCGTGTTGCCTGAGTTGCACTTTTACTAATGCTGATCCTCGAAGGAAACAAAAATCTCACAGGTAATAATAACATCCCCCTTTTCCCAGATAAAATTCTTCAGGACCGTATTAACTCCGTGAGAAGCATTCGGGACCAATACCACCTCGTCTACGTTACTGACTCCGATGAAACTGGCGACCTTTTCGCGAACAGCGACGAGCATAGGCTGATAGGTTAATCGCATGAACAGATCCGGATTCCTTTCGATCTTGTCGGATAGAGCACCGCACCACGCGCTGACCGGTCGAGGAAGAGATCCGTAGGAGCCTTCGATAATCACACATTGAGCATCATGTTGTTTCATCACGACGATCCAAGGGCTCACCGTGATTCAAGTTCACGTATTCGGGATCAAAATGAAAATACTCCTTCATCTGATGCCCGAACGCCGGCCGCTGCGCTGGGAGGACCAAAGACTCCAGGGAGGAGGGAGGAGGAAGAGGAGGGCCCATTTCGATTCCAAGCTGGAAGAGGAAGAGCAAGGGAGAGAATTTGCCTTGTAAGTAATCTGTGAATGAGTCATGGAAGGCAGGATGATAGATTTCGGCCGATCTTATCTCGACGGACCGCCGCTTATTCGGTTAATATTTGACATGCCGCGGCCAATGAACACTCCAGTTTGTCCCACGATCAACGTCACCAACGGCATTGAAGTTGAACGACAAGCGTTCTGTTGAAGGTCGAAGGCAGATCGACATAGAGCTCTGGATTAATCCAATCGAAGTGTTTGTTTCGTCTCCGCGCACGACTTCATTAACTGATACGATGAATATAGGCGAGTTCGTTGACGTCAGGGCTATAGACCTGGGCCTACCTGCATTCATACCAGGTGAGTCGTGCAGCCATAACCCAATGTAACCCTTTCCGTTTGTTTCCATTGACAGATGCTTATTACAAATCTACTACGACTTGTGGACGTGTAACATCGTATCCACTAAGATGCCTCTGCATTTTGGCCGTGAAGTCCGATAGCGTTATGTACGGTACGTTCTTTTACCTGCTACCTTAGTCTTGATGTCTACTACTATTATGGCGTGCTGACTTTAAGAGCGACAGTTACTATACAGATCCTAGTCATGGAGATCATTCTCATTCTGCGTGTCTGGGCTATCTTAGGCAGAAAGAGAAGCGTGCTCGTGTCTTTCTCCGTTCTTCTTTTCTTGAACGTGGCTGCAACTCTCAGTCTTAACCTTTACCTTGCCAACATTTCCCTTTCAACGTACATAATGTCGCTCTTCAACTGATAAGGTACACTGTTGGTTGCATATCAAGTTCTGCGGCTGATACGGTCACCACGGTTACTTCAGGCTCCCCACGTTTTTATTCGAACTCATCATATTTCTAACGGCTGCAATTTATGGAGTCAGAGGAGTCAAAGCCACCAAGATTCTGGCGCAAATGCGACAAAACTTTGGTCCGAAACCAATGATGAACCTGCTACTCAGAGACAGTGTCTTTTACTTCGTGATGTACACCAGGCTAACTCTTTTGCTACTAAGTATGTCTGACCACGTTAACGGCTGTTTAGCGTCCTCTGCTGCGTCCCTATCCTGATACTCGTGGTGTGTAGTCATCGTCTATCATGTCAACTCCTCATACTTACTACCGTACAGGACGATAGGTTGGGCCTCAGTCTCATGAACGTTACAATAACGCGTATGCTTCTCAGGCTGCGCAAGCGTGCCAAGGCGGATTTGAACATGCCTCTTTCTCAAGACATGGAGTTGAAATCCTTCCGAGTTGCGCATCCGGAAGAAACATCCGTCGTTTCTGACGCATGAATAGTCTTTATTGACTCGGAAGGGGACGCTACGAGACCTTGTGGTGGGTACTACCGTACAAATTACACGCTTTGCACTTGTATTAATCGGGTTTTCAGGACATGATTAGACATGTAGAAAGATATCTGTAATCACTGGAATTTCGATTCTTGAAAATTATTTAGAATAATCCTCCGTCGTGATACGAAAGGGAAGAAATTTAATGAACGTCAATCTCTAGATGACTTGGCGAGATATCGGCACCGTACGTGAGACCGAGATATCCACCGTACACCAGTATCCAGAGATCCTCAAGAGAAAAAGTATTACAATAATGACCTTACCTCGTCGACATCAGAGATACCGATGAAACTGATGACCTTTTGCGAATCCGGATTCGCTTTCGAGAATCCTGCCCGGAAGCATTGCACCGGCCACCAAGCTAATCGGCTGAGAAGGGTGTCCGTAGGAGAATTCAATATTGACGTGCTGATCGTCGTATATCAGGGCGAAATTCGAGAACTTGACTTGATTCAGGTTGACGTACTTGTTCGAATACCATTCGAGTCAGTTAATTTTTCGAGGGTCACCCCTTCATTCGATGTCTTTATATATGAGGCAGTTTCGATTAATTGGATACAGACATAAGGAAATTTTCGTCTTGGTAGTGTCATCTATCAATGAAAATATTTAGCTCTTTGCGCCAGTGATACATTCTATCGTATCCATATTTCTGTTTGTGAGAATCTCCATCTGGACCAGGGTTCAGATTAGTACATGGCGAAAGTACCCCAGGAAATTACTGCTAACAGGGTTACTTCTTAGGCCTACATTTGAAAAAGTAAGGTTGTCCAGTTACAGGAGAACAATGAACGGAATGATTGACCTCGACATCTCGAACCCAAATGCTAGTCGAACTGTTATTGTAGCTGTTTAGGCATACTTGACATTCACTGCTCACCAAGCAGACGAGTCAATGGGAGACCGACCATTTTCTATTCTGATCGTCCTTTGCTATACTGTAAGCGCTCTTGCATGCAGGCTACTAGTCGATTGATCTTGCCCTGTAGCATCGGCACAAGAGATCTTAGAATACGAAGTCAAAGTATTCACCCTCGGCCATGAAGACCCGGGGACTAGGACGATATATCAAGACTTTACTGCCGAGTCTGATGAGGCCTAGGGAGACCAAGTTTATTTGAGTACGTACAAACTACGCGCAGTTCAAATCACTCATACATCAGGTCATAGATACAATCTTCAAGCTACCAAAGAACCAGGCCGCTTTGCTCCCAAATAAGACCTATCCGATCCACTATGACCAGGGATACTACCTTGCAGGGTTCGACGTTTTCCACCAGCTCCATTGCTTTGTCAGTTACTCTTTACTTTCTCTTGGAGGTTTTCTGATATGATGCATAGGATATTGTCGGAATCCTGAGGTTTCGCAGTGGGTAGACTAGTGGCTGGTAAAGCCAGACTAATGAACTTGATTCTCTGGCTCCTACAGAGCCAGTATTTATACTACGAAAGTATCTAGAAAGTTCTACCAAAAATGTCCGTAAACAGTAACTATCTGATTAAAGCTTACCTGGCATCATGCTGGCTTGAACCTTCTATCATCTTCTCGTGGCTTCTCACCGATATCTCCAACAGATATTATCCAGCATGCTGTCTATAAAGAACATTACAACGACCCAAATGCCGATGCAGACCATGTATCTCATTGTATAGATGCGATCCGCCAATCCTTAATGTAAGACTTGCGTTATATGAGTCCAAGCGATAAATTCACACCTTTGATAGGTGCAGCACTGATACATCAGTGAATGTCTGTCGATGGAGCGACGATCTCTCTCTTGTTGTTGGATACAGCTCACAGGCCCATACCTGCCAGAATTTTTGATAAGTTGCGGGACTGGGTACGTGACTGCCAGATCGACCATTGGATTGATATCAGGGTCTTCATGGAAGATGAATTACCTTATGTGTCCCCCGGTGGACCGTGCCATGTAATACTACCTACCTACCTAACCCTCCAATTATCAGTTAGGAGACCAAATGCATGGCATTTTTTCTCATGTATGGCTATCAGTGGTATGATAGGGCTGAGAATGGCAAGGTCCTCTTGCCTCTCATCCATGATCTGTGAACATGAGCCCTCACAGCTGGACATGGCTAGATGCTTAGCAAAAAGGTGATATCATCATGCTTTGACTTTTGTATCACTCTGGGGTTACACATTCAGATTGGGCGGGGTACTGCTTGTCAGTGCAGAAATGAGAATCTTTGCCCTTTTCACCGCCAGATCGTAATAAGTTTTCCAATGTATTTACACCTTTTGTTCTTTGTGCCTGGTGTCTCACATTCATCGCTTCAATAGATTATTGAGATTCTGACGATGTACGCATCATGATTCCTGGATAACAGGAGGACACTTCAAATGATATCATTCATCCCTTCTATTACGCCAGTATGCTTCTACTTTGTAATGAACCACAGCTGCTCTGCGACTGGAGACTTGACCTCTTTCTCAGGATCATCTCGACTTACTCTCAAGATGGTCTACAACACCGTCAGCTGCTGTCATTAAAGTATAGTCGAATAACATACATTTCCCCTGTCCTCGCCATTCTCGGGTTGCCAGCAGAGATCCGAGTCTTCGAGGCGGATTCATACTTGGCATGTCAAATTATCTTCCTCAATTTTATCAAATACGAATCGAGTGGCTTCGGATGGGAACCCAGTAGTCAAGAGCTCATTCTAGGATAGCTATGAGCAATGTTCGTTTCTAGCGTTTGAGATGAATTACCATCGACCTGAGTACTATGAAACCCTTGGTTCTTTTGTTCTGGAATTTAACTAGCCCTTCTTGTTCTATGATAAGCTAGAGGGAAACCTCAAAAAGGTGAAATTGTGAGAGAAGGACCTACAACGTACCCAATCAGCAGTGTTTGAGTCCTCAGAGACAAAGGTTGAGATAGGCATCTCGAGCTCATTTGACTGGATGTTAAGCACTAACTCTAATCAGAACCAAGGCTGATCTCTATCCTGTCACTCGCGTTCGGTGATTCAGTGTTAGAGAGGTGTTGGTTGATTGTGAGAAGTTAGGCATCACTTTATAGCAAAAGCAAGGAGCTTGTAAGAGTTAGGAGTATATAACCTTAGCCAAAGCTGGGGTCTGAGGCCACAGCATAGGCTAGCTTAAATACATGTTAAACTCGTACTAAGAATAGTATCTACAAGGGTGCATGCAATGAGAAGTGCATCTTTCAACGAATGAGGAGGGAGGACACTAAAAGAAGTATGCTCCCAACAAATGAGAGTAAAGAGCGCATATCACCTGCATCTGCATGGGACTCCATCTGAATAGGCTGCATCCCATAGACCGCCCTCGACTGGCAGTCGACTCTTGTCCAACTACTAAGAAGCATGATGCCATCAAGAGAAGTGTGATGGTGCATGTGGGTTGCTGGTCACCTGGGGGGCAGCAGCATGAACTGGGGTGATGGCAACCTGGTAACCGGGTAAAGAGTGTGCCGACAGAATATCATGGATCCGAGAGATAAGATAGGCAGGTCTGGGGTTCCGATGGATAAGGATAAGATAAGATAAGGAAAATAGGGGTAAAACCATAATAATACCCCCCAACTAAGACTGTTGTCCTGACAGTCCTTTAGATGTATTCACTC